CTGCGGGACTTTTCAAAGCGCCGTTCATTCAGAACGTCGTTAATTCTGCAGTTGACTTTGCAAAGTCGGCAGAAATCGTTAATATCCGCAGGAGACTTCGGATCTAAACGATTTCTGCTGACTTAAACAGTGATAAGTTGAATATAACCCTTGTTTCATATTCCAAATGCAGATTTACAGAGTAGCTAATTTTAACAACCGCCAATCGAACTAACATCTTCCCTTTGAGCCACAAAGATGGTGAGGTTAGCATGTATCTGCGTCCCTGGCTAAGTCAAACCAGCTGACACTTGTATGAGTTTATATCAAACACATTTTAATTGTTAATTATTATTTTTATTTATGGTGTCCCATTGTTTAGGTGAGTTGTTAACCAGATCATGATTTGGTTGTTTTTCCTTCCCACTCATTGGATGGGGAGGCCTAAACACCTAAACACTCTAAGGTGGGTTCCATCTAGAAAACTGAGGGTAAGCGCAGAAAAAACAGAGTTTCAATGCATTAGAAAGTCTTCTCAGTTATTCTCCATTACAACTTCTTCCTTTCCTGAAACTTCTTGATGGATTAAGCAGTTCATCAGGCTTTTCTGTTTGACTCATCTTCGCCTTCAAGGACATGCGTTGAAAATTAGCTAACTGCACGGTTCGCTTAAAAAGTGAAAAAGCAGGTTTAAAAAAAATCTCTGTAACAGTAACGAGAGCATGCTGACTTATTATACTACCATCCCAGTTATAGTCATGGACCCAGCCAAGGAATCAACTTCTTTGATGGTTCATTCATACCTGGCCTGACAATTGCAATGCCGTCGTACCAGTTCAACAATTCACTCAGACATTCCAGCCATGGTACAGTTTCTGGATTAGCCTACCTGACAACACCCAACTGGAATGTTATACCAGTCATTATCAACAGACCTCTTTGGCTGCATCAGCGTTACCTTAAGAATGGCGTGGCAACTTGAAGACAATGACGAGTGTTGCAATCAAATTTTTGTCAAAAAATGGGGCCTTGTAATGTCCTCTGTGGCTCTTAAAAATGAGCGATATCTTGGGAAAGATGCTACAGTGACTCTTATGCTCGCGTTTATGGATCTGAAATGTCTTAAATTCACCAACGTTGCCTCTCTAAATAGGGACTGTAAACGGTAAATGGACTGAGTTTGAGTATCATCTTCTACAGTCTTCTTACCACTCAAAGTGCAAGTATTAAGGGGCAACCAGCAGGGGCTGTTTCAGGTTAAGTGTCTTGCTTAAGCACAACAGGACCTGGGATCAGACCTCTGACCTCCTGATTCTCAAACGATTGATTCTACCCCTGATTCGCACCCACCCTCGATAAAATCCTCCAATTTAGGCAATCAATAAAATAATCAATGCTGTTGTCAAGCATTTGGAGTCAGCCGTCACATACTTTAACACTTTGGACAATAGGTCACATTCAAGAAAAGTGGTAAGGGTGGACTTTTCAATAACTTCATGCCAAGACTCAGTACGCTAAGAACTCTGTTTTTGCTTGAGATTAATGTTTAAGCTGTGAACAGTGACCCTCCATTATCCCATCAAATCTACTGATTCTGGCCCCTTTTATCAGTAAGGGAATGCAGCAGAGGAGTGGTTAGCAGACAACTGCATCCCCTGCCCACCTTTTTAGACCACACAAGCAAAGAGCAAACTGGTAAAACGCAGAGATGTCTAACTTCTACCTGACTTCTTATCATGTCATTAATATTCAGATTAAAATCTAGGACTATTCGGCCATGGTTGGGATATTTCTTGATGTTTTTGTGACTTTTGATCTGCTTGAGTCACAGAAAACATAACCAAACACAACCATACATAGATCACACCTAATTGATCTACAATTGATCTATTGAAGAGGAAATCAAACAAGCAATTTAAGCTAGATAGCTAGATGCAGATACATGACTGGATGATGCAGAAGACTTTTTTTATGAGTCACTCTTTTCAGAGTCTGAGGTCAAACTATCAATATCTCAAACACGATAACAAAGAAGGACATTGACTCGAATGGTCAAACACTTGACGTCAGCCTTACACTTTGAGTAATATTTGTTTGTAGGGATGGAAGTATGATGAGTCATGAGTGGGTTTCTTTTGCTGTCATTCATCTACAACAGGCATCCTTTCGTAACACTTCGGGACATAAATTACTACAACACTTTAAAAAGTTTTGCCTGTTCATAAAAAGTCATAGAAAGCAAGATTTGTATTAAAAGTTCAAACATAACATTACAACTGTTTTCCTAAACCAGACACTGGTACATGGAAACACACTCGCCATTGTTTCTGATCACATCCACGGCAGGTTGTCCAGCGCTTCCTTCCAGCTGATAGCAGCCTTTCCTTCCAGGGTTGAGGGGTCATGGCTTTGAGCCCAGTTCTTGAATGACACAATTCATTCCACCAGGGGGATGGAAAGAATGAACTTATCTGAAGAGCGTCACGCTTTAGGGACTCCTTTAAAAGTTTTAAGTAAGTAAGGTAATCCTGGAGCTCAAACAAGCTGAGTTTTCACAGAAATTTTTTCATGTTGTGATTTTTTTCAAAGGTTTTTTTGATATGATATAGTATCCCTCCAGCAAAACAACACAAAAGTGGGTTAAAGCATGATTGATATACTTTTTTAGATATATTTTTGATGACGCTTTTTACTGAGAGCATTTCATAAAATGTGAATGAAAACTACAAGTACACAACCTAATCTGCATCAGAATACGCAGCCTGTCATACCTTTAGAGAAGGATCATTCATACACAAAAGAAAAAAAAAGGGATCGCATCTCGAAAAGATAAACTATAGCCACCCTGAACAGCAGGCCTCACTGATCTGTCTGTCCTCTATTGTGTTGTCATGTAAGTTTTCATTGTTGTTATTGTTGTTATGCAGGTAATTTATTGTTGGTGTGTATGTAGTGTCAGTTGTCATCTGAGATATGTAATGTACTGTCAGTGAAGACGGGACAATAAAATCAATCAATCAAACTATGACTTCATTTATGCACACAGCACCACACAGTCATAAGAAACAGCTTTTTTAAGTGCTATTATCATGATGATTTAAGTGTCATTTTTAGAAGCTATTTAATGCAGTTTCAGGGCTTGTGCTCAAGTTTTGTTGATGTCTTGTCCAATTTCATCGTCTATCAGCTATCTATGATCACAGTCATCAATACTTAGCTGGCAAATACAGTGTGATTTTTGATCTGCTTGAGTTACAGAAAACATATCCAAACACAACCATATATAGATCACATCCAATTGCTCTACAGTTGATCTATTTTAGAGGAAATTAAACAAGTATTTGAAGCTAGGTCTTCATTCTACTGGATCTAATGCTAGAGCAGGTGTGATTATCAGAAACACCAGCACAACTCAGTGGATAAAGTTATTACAGAGGTAACTACTTTACCTCAGTGATGTTTGCAAATTGAACTGAAACATAATAATAAAAAAACAGTCATAAGAAACAATTTTTTTAAATGTTATCATGATGTTTGAAGTGTCATTTTTAGAAGCTATTTAATGCAGTTTCAGGGCGTGTGCACTAGTTTTGTTGATGTATTGTGCAGCTAAATGCAGACAAAACGGAAACACAGGTTATTGCCCCCTGATGACTCAACTCCAGGGATTAAACAGAACTTGGGTGACTTAGGCCAGACAGCTAAACCTGGCCTAAGAAACCTGGGTGTCATCTTTGACATATGTCCTTAGTGCAACTGTAAACAGTTGACGAGAAACTGCTTCTTTCAAATGAGGAAAAATCTTTAAGCTTAGGAAAATGGTGTCGCAAAATGACTTGGAGCTCATCATTCATGTCTTTGTGTCGTCACGTTTAGACGACTGTAATAGTTTGTTTTCATGTCTGAACAAAAAGGAGCTGTCTCGTCTTCAATTAGTGCAAAACTCTGCAGCAAGAATTCGAACCCGCGCTAATAAGAGGACTCACATGTCCCCTATTCTTAAAGCTCTACACTGGCTGCCTCAGTTTTAAAATTCTGGTCCTAACATTTAGAGCCTTGCATGGTCAGGCTCCATCTTACATTTGTGATCTGATCCAGCCTTACACCACCACTCGGGCTCTGAGGTCCGTGGATCAGAATCTGCTGATGGTTCCGCACACTCCTTTTCGACCAGACCAGAGGAGACTGATCCATCCAGGTCGTTGCTCCCAGGCTTTGGGATGATCTTCCTCTCTCAATGCGCTTCAATTGTCTCTGTTGGCTCCTTTAAAAGACAACTCAAAACGTATTTATTTGCTCAGGCTTTTGTTTAATTGTTTCTGGGCTGCTATGACTGTTTAATGTTGTTGCCTTGGCCTTTTCATTTGTATGTACATTTTTATTTTTGTCTATGTGAAGCACTTTGTGACTTTTTTGTCTGTGAAAAGTGCTATACAAATAAAGTTTACTTACTTTCTTACTTAATTTAATCTCTGCTTACTTTGTTTTTTTCTTCCTCTAGGCCATTTCTGTCAGATTCACTTCAAAATACCCACAGTGTAACCCACCCACCCACACACACACCCACCCACACACACACACACACACACACACACACACACACACACACACACACACACTCATGGACAGACACAGGACACCGTTCAGTCTGACTGGTTTAGTCAGTGTAGAGATGGTGCCACACCCCCCCAGCTACAAAGCAGTTCACCCACCCATTCACCCACACACACACACACACAGTCTTCCTCTGTCTCTGTCTTTCTCTCCCCTCCCCTCCTGTAATCTGGTCTGAATAAAATACTATTATATCATTCTTTACATGAGTAGTTTTAAACTTTATAAGTATTATCTGTTTCACAATAAAAAGTCTTTCTTTTTCTTGGCAAACATGTTGTCACACCCTGTCCTCCGGTTGCATCCTCCTGTTTCAGAACACTCAAACTTTTTATCTGACTAAAAGTTCATTTGACACTGTATCCAATCATTGCTGCAACAGTACGTGTGTGAATGTCAGTGAATTCCTCCAAACTATGCAACAGGGCGGGGCATGGCTCTGTGGCCCCTCCCACCCCCTTTGCTCGCTGACAGGTACACAGCCTCGATGTAAAAACAAAAAGTGAATGTTCCTGATCACAAGTCCTGTTCTACCGGCGTGCAAGGGGCAGCTCTGACACTAGGAAGGCGGAGTGCACATAATCTGAAAGAAGACACATAACTTGGGCTACACACTGGAGCCATAGGCGACACTTTCACACACGCAGCTGAGGTCCACCTGTCTTCTTTGGATTGTTTTGTCATCGGCAGCCGCTCATAGGTGATCTGTCACCATGTTCAAGAAAAAGAGCAGGTCCACTGCTATAACCACGCCAAAACCAGCGTAAGTAGACTTCTTCAGCGACTGATCATTATGTGTTTTTTCTTTTCGACAGGATTTTGTTGTTTGGGATATTCTTGCTGCTTTAAGTGTGTATCTGAATAATCAAATATGAAGTCAAACGCCATTGAAAGTCTTCATTGTAACGTGACCTTGCCTTGCACCGACTGAGACTATCCGGGTTTGGCACTTGGGAGACACGTATTCCTCCACCTAACTTTACAAAATCGATGTGACAGTATTTGTTTCAGAGTAGATTATCAGCAGTGAAGCATGTTATCATACATTCTTCAGCTAAATCATTAACTCCCACCACCTTCAGGCTTAAACGACCATGCAAAGTTGGCTGTGCATCAACAAAGTAGACTCATGTTTTGATTTTTTATTAAATTTATTAGCATTCATTAACAGAGTAAGGTCCACAATGTTCCACGAGAGAACAAGTTGTACCATTATGAGAACTTGAGAACTGACATTTCTGACATTTTTGGTGATTTTACTAGATTGAACCCACTTTTAAGTGTGTTTTTTTAACCGCAATTAGACAAAAAACATTTTTTTGCATCAGATGTGGTAGCTGTAGTAGATAGAAAGCTGTAAATTAGGTTGTATAATGTGTGCTTTAACTCATGTTAGGGTGTGGTTGATAGGCAGTGCAGTAAAGTGGTAGTAACTGGTTTGATAAGTATTCCAAGCCATTAAAGACAATGCAGGAGGATTTGCTCGCTGCCTCTCCCACAGCACTCCACTCCTGATCAGTTAAAGTCTGGTTTTCCCACCTGGAAATGACAAAGTGCAATGAGCAATGTGTTGGGTTGATAACTTCCCTCTGCCTGCATATTTCTCTTCAAGGAGCATCTTTAAAGACAGTTAAGCCCCCCCTGTCACTCAGCAGGTATTAAGGTCATCAGGAGCCTCCGTAATAACACCCCTTTGGTGTAAAATTCCAAGTTTCACTAATCCGGTTTTTAAATCACCGTCTTTTGATTTAAGGTGTGGTCCTGAGACTGTCACACCTGCACCGGAGAGCAAAAGAATGTCCCTTTTCCTGCATTGTATGTACATGAAGTCTCTGTGCTGCTGTGCACTGATTTAAAGGCTCTCATTTGACTGCTGCTATTTTGCTTTTATTGGTTTCTACTCATTAAGTGCCAACATTGATTTTTAAGTGAAGATAAGCTTGAGAGATAAACACTTCTTTACCTTGAAAACCGCAAACAGACATCGTAGGAATCCTAATGATGCAGCTCCACCCTTTGAATCTTCTCATGCTGCATTTGCTCTTCAGGATTTAGTCTGTGCATGTAAAGAACACAAGAGCTCTGCTGATATCTGGCAAGTTGTCAGCCTGAACTAGCTGAAACACAGCTTTAAGTCAAACAATCAAAACCTCAGAGCGTACGTTTTTTACCCATCCTCTTAAACAAACAAAATAAGGTGAAGTGCGGTAACATATTCCTTATCCTTTCACTGAAGGATTACAGAACAGATGAGCAGTAACCCAGCCGCTGAAGTTCACTTCAAACATTGTTTCTGTAATCTGTTTGATTAACAGTTTCATTTATGAAATCTCTGAGACTGAGGCTTGATACCCAAGCGGTTTCTGAAAGAGTCAAAAAAACATCATTCATCGTTCAACTGCTTTTATAGTGTTACAACAAAACTTAAAAGTCAATACTCAATGAAATGATCAGCTATTGTTCTTAAAGTTGAAAACTGAAGCAGTATTTATTACGTTTCATGTTGTGTCAAATCGTAACACCTTGAAATACACGTGCACACACAGATACAGCAAAGCAGGCAGCTGAGAGAGAGAGAGAGCAGAGCCCAGAGTTCGCTTTGACACTCTTTGACAGCAGCAGTACTCCACACCCTCTATGACATAGTGCTGAAACTTTCTGGTTTCAATTTGACCCTCTCCCTATGGAAACATCTGAGTTGTGTTTCTCAAACTTTTGCACCGGAGCCAGTTCTTTTCCCAGAATCAACACGAACACACTCAAAACACTGAAGAAGAGCCAGTGAGCCTCCCTGGAAACTTACAACAACAAATTTGGTGACTAACAGCTGCGTATTAAAGTAGATGATTGGCATTTCTTAGATTTCTGGATATTTTTACAACTGAAAATATACTCTCGTAAACCTGGTGCATTTAATCTTGTTGATTCAAAACATAATTAACAGAGAGATATGCAGTCTGTGTTAAAACAGGTGGAGAGATCTGCATGCGTCTGGTATCGCAGGTTTATGTTCTAACCTGACAGAAAGCACCTGAGGGTGTTTTTTTTTATTACAGAGTCTGAGCGAAGTACCTCAGAACTCTACAGTAATCGACAAGTTCAAACTTGTCCTGAGATCGTTTCATATCGAGAAAAGCAAGGCATTAGAATTAAAGTTAGTGTCCAGTGTGTATAAAACAGATGTTATGTAACATGCACATAAAAGGTGAATGGGTGTGGTTTTGCTTGTGTGTGTGTAAAGAGATAGCTGGCGGATTTCAATTGACTGGCATGGTTAGTTTTGGCCTGGAGCCTGTTACTGAAACAAGTGCACACACAACCAGAGACAGTTCCCAGACTCAGATTAACTCTCTATAACTTGCATTGTATTTAACATTGCTGTAGTGTATCTTTAACAACACAAAGGAACAATATGAGTTAAAGTTCTTTTACTATGTGGAAACAATCTTGTTGTCTGTCTCTAAATTACCCCCTGCATATTTTTTTATAGGTCTTGAAATGACTTGTTACTTATTTGCAGACACAAGGGCAGATGTCACATACTTCAAAAAGCTAAAATGAGCTAAATCAGGTGCTTGTGCTTCTATGCTGTTACATAAAAACATTGTTAGGGTGATACGACTCGCAGCTGGACTGAATTGTGCCGTGTTTTGCATGAGCATTTGCTTTTACGCTCATCACAGTAAACAACAACTGCAGCAGTCAATCTGCAAGGTCTCCTCAGCTTTGGTTATCTGTCCCTGAGTGGTCAGGGTCTTTACCTGTTGGGCATTAAAGTCAGAGAGCAGAACAGTGTCAGCAGCTGTTGTGTGCATACGAATGAATTCTTGTTTGTTGTTTGTTTTTCTACATTTTACAAGTTTTTATTATATTAGCAGAATGTGCATGGATCATGTTTTTACAATGATTCAGATAAGTCAGATCAAGTGTTCTGGATCCTGTTTTGGAAACACTCCCTTTATCAGATATTTGATAAAACCAGATGTCACTGGGGCTTTAATAGCAATGAAATGACCTCATAGCTATACGAACCTTGCAGTCAGGCACAGTATAGATACAGAACATATGTCTTTGTCTCTCAGTCTGAGTTCACTTTGAGTTATTCAGAGAAAAAATGAATCCAAAATCTGAAGGGATTTTTTTTCCTGAAAACAACCTGTCATACATGTAAGCATCTTTGTAAAGGACACTCAAAGTACACAGTGTTTCTGTCCCTGCTGATATTTAAAGCTCCTGTGAGGAACTATCAGTGTTGACTTTGTCGCCCCCTGTGGACAAAATGATAACCCTTTTTATTGTCGCTGATTTCATCTTTTCCTTTAGGAAGTGGTTCGATGATGAAAATGTCCTCCTGTTGTGTTGTTTGTAATGAAATTTATCACTTTGCTGTGAGGGGGGGATAACAAAGTCTTTTCTTCCTCCTCTCAGCAGTTAGATACATTGAAAATGAAAATATAGAAATAGCTAGCATTGTCATGGGCAGTCTCCTTTGCTTAAGAACATCACAGAGATGCAATATGGTTCCTTTCATGATTCATAACAACCCCCCTGCCTTTTCCTTTCAGGGCCCCATACTCAGAGCTCGGTGCGTTGATTGAACGACTGCAGGGAAATGCTGATAAGGTGGAAGGTCAAATCGCGCAGGTTGAGCAGAGCCTCAACAAGGTACAGTCACTGATAAAGTTTTCAAAGAGGTCTCAGAGTATTTTTTCTTTTTTTAAATCTGTTGATATCTTCTTCCCCCGATGGTAAAAATGATCCAATAAAAAGTGGCCCTTGAAACCACTGAGATATGTTTCTGTATTTTTGACAGTAGTTGAGAGAAAATCCTCACCTTCAGGGTTTAGTGTAGGCTTTTCTTGAGTTACTTTCAACCTAAAATGTTTTTTTTTTCCCCTGAAGGACGTGAGCAAGATCAATGAGGGGAAGCAGCCGCTGTATCAGGATGACACCAACAAGAGAATCCTGAACTGCCTGGAGCTGCTCGACAGCCTCGATCAAGACGCTGTCAAAGCAAAGGGCCTCAAGCATCCGCAGGCAGAAATGATTGAAAAAGAGTGAGTATCACACAGCTGCTTTACCTCCTCGAATCAATATCCTGCTGTGGAATGTAGTAAGTATCAACCAGCTGCACAATTGGACATTATTTCATTACTCTTCAAATGTTTGAGATAGGCCTGAATCCACACATGAAACTATACAACAAGGAATACAGTCTAGGCCTGTTTGTAAAGCATGCTGAGATACCCTTTGTTGTGAATTTGCACATTATAAATGAAGACTAATTGACAAACCTTAATTAAACCTTGCATACAATTACCAGAGAAGACTTTTCCAAGTGAAAAGTGTTTTGTTATGTGAATAATACAACAACAGTATGGTATTCTCTCCAGTATGGGCTAATTAAATCATACCATTTAACGTTGTTTCTGTCTGTGTTTAGCATGAAGCAACTGCGGGAGAGAGTGATGAAACTCAAAGAGGACCATTCCCACATCTACCACTTGAGCCGCACTGAGGGGAAGCCCACCATAAACTGGGGAAACATGATGGATGAGAAAATGGTAGGAAGCATGCGCATGTGTACAAGAGCAACCCGAGAGCTGGTAGATTTCTTGTTTGGCTTTTTAAAATGTCAGGATGAGCAGTGAAAAAATGAAAATACTTTATGTCCTCCTTGAAGTTTGGCTGAAGTCTTGAGGGCACATGGCGCCCATCTTTTCTCAGTGGTTGAGCAAGCGTAAAACATCGCGATATGTTATATTTTAAAGAAAACTCCTCAGCACAGTTTCAAAACTTCTTTTTAGGCTCTTTAATCCAAGATTTATGGATTATTTGAACTCATTCAGGGAAATTTAGACTGTGATAGCATCAAAAGAAATGATTAAGAAGTGATGCAAGGAGCCTACAAACGATTGTCTATGTATTTGCTTAAAGAAAGCAGTATTCACCCTACCTAACTTTACCCTACATGGTTGGACACACAGCTTCATGTTACTGCTATTGTGACATAAATGTTATTGCGACTCTTTTGCTGCTGGATGATTGATGGGAAACTGCTGACATCAGTTTTTTATCTTGTTTTACTGACCCCATGTGGCAGAAACAAATTATTGCAGCTTTAAAAGAAGTTTATTAGAGAGCTGATTTCATTAGTTGCGTTTAGTGGTAACTTTTTACTGGAGGTTCTTTGTTTTTACGTTAAGAACTAATCCTTGCCAGCTCAAATGTAGTTCAAGCTTAGAAGTAGCACGAATAAATGGCAGCGGTGTAATTTACAGCTCATTTTTTTTATCTCCTTGCTCAGGAAAATCTGAACAACAAAGGCTTTGGCCAAGACCTGCCAAGTGTGGAGAGTGAAGTCGAGGATCACAACATCTTCCACAGTGAGGTGGAGGCTCTGGCTCCTCATCTTGCAGCCGGTGGAGACAAGGTACAAGAAAATCAGGGGAAAAAAGGAATGAGATTTATCATTAATAGTGCTTTTCATTGGAAAAAAGTTCTGCATTTAAAAAAAAGTCACCGAAACATTTCCTGGGTGGTGTTATTCATCCTTTATTCTGTCCTTACAGGAATACGTCAGCGGTCTCCAGATGAAGTACAACAAACTGCTGGTAATCCAACTATAAAAATAAACACACATTCATCAAATTAAAAATCCACTTAATCCACCTGAACAAACACTCAAGTGCAAGTCAACCCTCTTAAATGGCATTTGATGGCAAACTCTGAAAATAAATTCGATTAAATACATTAAATATTTCCCAAAAAAGTAGTGCACGTTTCTCTGAGGCCTCTTTTCAATAAAGCTTCCACTGTGTCATCTTAAAACTATAGATTTCACTAGAATGTCTTATTCTCCAACAAATGCCATTTAAAGAAGTCCTCAGAAGTAAAACCTTTAACTAGAAAATGTAACTATTTTTTTTAGATGTTTTTATTTTACCTTGATTTATTTTGTCAACGTAGCTCGCAGGCTTCCTTAGAATTGAGTCGCCGTGTTGTGCTCTATTTTGAAGTTTATCCTGTCATCTGTTAGAACAAATCAGGCGAACGTCAGCGCGACCTGCTGAGCTTGCGGGACTATATGCAACGCTGCACTAATGAGCTGTACTGGATGGACCAGCAGGCCGAAGACAGGATCAACTATGACTGGAGTGATGCCAACTTGGACTACCCTGCCCGCCAGAGGCAGTATGAGGTAGCTAAAGGGAGCAGAGACGCAAGCTGCACACACTTCCTAGATGACAGAATTTGATTCAGAACTTATTGCATCTATCTTGCTCCGACAGAACTTCATCAGTAAATGTCTGGAGTCAAAAGAGGCCAATGTCACCAAGCTGAATGATGATGGGGAGAAACTGATTGCTGCAAACCATCCTGGGAAGAATGTGATTGAGGTACAGGCTCATCTGTTTACTTTTATGGATGTTATTTCACGTCTTTGGATGAGTTGGATGCCCTGTGGAACCAATGGAACTGCCTGACCTGTGTTTTTACGGATTTGCATAGCTTTTTAATCTTCATACATAACTATCCCTTGATAATTGTGAAGACTTTTGGGGTTAATTAAAGAATTTAGATTTTTCTTTTTAGGTGAAGTGTGTCTTAAATTAACTTCAATCTGTTCATTTCTTCTAAATGAATGCATTATTGTTTGTCAGGCTCACATGGAGGCAGTCCATGCTGATTGGAAAGAGTACCTGAACCTGCTCATCTGTGAGGAAAACCACCTCAAACACATGGATGAGTACCACAAGGTTAGTGAAAGATTTGGAAACGGCGTAAACTCTCACTTGATTTTAACAAGAGTTAGCATTCACCACAGTCTGTTTATATCTGTGTCTAGTACCACAAGGAGGCGCGTGACACTCAGGACCTGCTGAAACGACTGGATACTGAAGTCAACCAGAAGTACAACCCAGAGTTCAAAGATGTGTATCAAATGGAGGGTCTTATCGGAGAGATCGATGTAAGAATTGCTTCATATGGAAATGGATACTTAGACATATTTGACCTTTTTTAACACTGGCTAACATCTCTCCCTCTGTATGTGCATGTGCTTCTATAGGACCAGGCCAAAGCCATGGAGCACTTTGATGAACGGATCCAGGCTCTTCAAAAGCGTAGCTTGCAGGTTCTGCCCCTAAAGCAGCGTCGGGAAACCCCTCAGAAGCTGCTGCCCGTTGAAGCGCTTTGCGAGTTTGATACAGATGAGGTAGGGAACGCAGGTTAAAAGCTGAAAACAAGGTTTAATTTTTCTGATGGAGATGAGGATAATTTCAGATATTTGGTAAAACCCTGTGACAGATGAATGCTGAAGGATCCTTTGAAGTGTTATAAATGACTTTTCAAATGGAGATGAAACAGCCCTTTCTAACATTACAGGAATTACAGATTTTAATTTCTGCTCATTTACAGGGCCAGATTGTGCGTGGAGAAAGCTACACTCTGCTCCGCAACAATGGGCCCAAATGGGATGTGAAGGACGCAGCTGGACGTAAACTTACCGCTCCGGCTGTCTGCTTCATGATCCCTCCCACAGACCCAGAGACAGTTGCCACTTCTGATAAGTAAGTGTGTAAAACATACATTTACCTCTTCATGGATGTAATTTGTCCTAGCATAGCTGTAACTGTTTTTATTTTCATCTGCAGCCTTGCAAGTCAGCAGAAAGCTCTCAAGCAGAAGACAGCAGCTAGTAAGGCAGGTCTGTTGAAACGCTTTGATGAGCTGAAGAAGGCGAGTGGGGCTGGCACCGCTTCAGGTACAGGATATATCATAACTGTCTGTATTTTTACCTTTGTATCGAATGATCAGGATTAATTCAAGTAATGAAACTCACTTTACTGTGTGTGATCTCAGACAAGGATGAGCAGCAGTGCCGCCAGCTGATGGCTGGTCTGGATAATGTCGTCAATAATCTGGACAAACAAGAGAAGGCCATTTATGCCAGAGTGCGCCCACCGCTGGAGCCAAACAGGCCTCTGCAGGACAGTGTAGACCGTGTGCAGGATATGAAGGTAAGCAACCGGTGCATTGCTTACTTCAGGCCAGGACAGCTATCGAATCTGCTTTTTACAACACGTTGACCCTGGTGTTTCCTTTAGGACATTGCTTCTGCTGTCGGTAAGATTGAACCAGAGAAGTCCTCTAAAGTACAGGAGGCAAAGAACTTCCTGATCGCAAACCCGAACTGTGCCAGCGCTCCTCAACTCTACAGCAAGGTGGACGAAGCCAGCAAGAAGTACGACAAGGTTGATGAGCTTCTCCGGTGCTCTCAAGACAAGTAAGGGAGCAGACTTTAAATCTGGGTTTTTTTAACGTTACAGTCTGTTTTGTTGGATGACATGCATTTCTAATCCACTCATAATTCCCCTTTTAGACTGAAGAGTTCCAATCAGTTGGAGACTTCTATACAAAATGGAAAGACTTTGCTGTCCACCTTTGAGAACAAGCTGGCCAGGGAGGAGGTTGCACCATCTGACCTATCATCACTCGAGAAAACTCAGCGGGAACTTGCTGTAAGATTGCACTGTTACTTTTATTCTTTAGCACACATTTTATTTAATAATCCACTTAAATGCATCATATGAACATCACTTTGTAGGATGTTGGAGCAGAACTGAGGTCCAAGAGGGCACAGATCGCTGAGATAGAGCAGAACCTGCGTGCGGCTAAAAACAGCTGCGACAACATGAGCGGCAAATGTCATGAGCACTGCCCTGACATTGAGAGACAAGAGGCAGAAGTCCAGAAGCTCACCAAACGCTTCAACAACCTCAACAACCAGATTGACACTAGGTAAGAGGATCAGGACATGAGCACTTTTGAAGTAATGAGAAGAGAACTTAGTAGTTAGAGATGGAGATCATGAGCATGTCATGATCTTCTCCTCTTTCATTGGAGTCAAAGAGGAAATTAACAGCTTATTACTTTGATTTACATGCAAGAGCTTAATGATCCCATTTATTGCCTGTTGCAGAGCTCAGTGCTTGCAGAGAGCCAAGATGGCGTACAAGAACTACAACAGTGACTATGACAATCTCAACAACTGGTTGTCTCGTGTCCCAAATTACGATCCTCGTGAAAGTGATGACACTGCTCAAGTGGAGACCAAGCTGAAGAATCAGAGGGTGAGACTGATGCGCTGATGGGGTTCAAGTTTTGCTCATTTCTGGTGTATTTCTGGGATATTTTGTCACTGATGCCGCAGGAAAAAGTTAACACTATCTCATCTGTCTGCTACAGAACCTGCTCTCTGATATTGCAAAAAAGGAATCCGACTTGAACAACGTCTCCAAAAATGCCCAGCTTTACCAACAAGCTATAAGAGTAAGATATACATTCTCCATAAAACCACCAAGTACAAAATTTGTAACAAATTAGATAAGCTAAAGGTTTAATAATGGTTCTTCTTTCTAGGACTATGAGAATGAAACAGAGAAGTTCAGAGCCATCCTTGACCTCGAGGATGGACTTGTACCTCAGACTTACAAGAGGAGCAGACTGGAATCCCCTGCTCTCACAGTCAAGTCACAGGTGAGGCACGACAGTCAAATTCTGTAAAAATTAAAATTTTTCTGGTCTTGTTCAACTACATACTCCAACGGCCATGTGCTGCCAAAAGCAAACTATATTAAAGTCATCAACAACCTTGTACTTGATGCCACAAAAAAATGGTTTAATAGATGCAGATGAAATAAAAGATGCTCTTTTACATTTGCACAATAGAAATAATTGCGAGGTTAAATAAATGAATGACCCAATTGAGGCCTCCAATTGAAAAGAGTCCTAACTCACCCCTTTGGTGTCTCCTTGACTCATTGTAGTTCTCTGAATATAGAATATATCTCTAACCTGATTTAATTCAATTTATCCACATGATTACAGGAAGCTGCCATTGGTGCAAGGTTTACTGAGGTGAATGCAGTGAACAGGCTGAGGCTGAATAACCTGGAGTTTGCCCAAGGTGTTCTCAAACAGGTGAAAAATCATCACAATATAAAGACAAGTGATATGGATAAGTCATTGATGAAAATAACTAATATTTTTTTTTTCCTTTTCAGCAACCTTCGCCCACTGTGATCCAGTCAACAAATGTCAACTCAGTCTATTCATCCGCTCAGGGTGATGAACCTTGGAGAGTCAAGAAGCAGCTGGAAGATGAAGTCCAAAGACGTGAGCAGCTAGAGAGAGAAATCGAGATTATCCAGACAGATATCTATGTCCTCGAAGGGCAGAAGCCACAAGACACAATAGTTAAAAAGGAGCTGATTAAAAAAGTACCTGACCCCCAGCTAGATGAGGAAGTCCATAAAGTGCAGCAGAAGCTGTCAGAGGAGCGCCGCTCAACCCACGTCATGGAAAATGACCTTGAGGTGCTCAAGCTGAAGTTGCGCGGCCTTGAGACTGAGGTCAAAGAAGGGGCACAGCAGTTCACAGTGAAGGAGGTTCTGCGTATAGAGAGAGACCGAGGTCAGGAGGAAGAAGTGCGCAGGCTCCGAGAGGAACTGGAAGAGCTAAGAAGGCAAAAATCAATTAAAGACAATGAGATCATCGAGATTCAGAAGCAGGTGACACTCCTGGCTGAAGAAAAGAACAGGGAACAGGAGGTGATTACTGAAGAAGAGGTCATCAAAGTCCAGAATGATCCCCAGCTTGAAACTGAGTATCGAGTGCTGCTTGATAGGAAGCAAAAGGAAATGGATGGCAGGAAACAGCTGGAGGATGAACTGCAATTTCTTCAGGAAAAGCTACAAAGATTGGAGAAGGAGAAATCAATGGCAGAGGAAAAGATTTCCATCAAGGAGGTGCTGAAAGTGGAGAAAGATGTTGCCTTTGAAAGGGAGGTAGAAAATCTCAGAAGGCAGTATGAGGATGAGAAGGCCAAGCGAAGATCATCACAGCGAACAAAGGCTGATCTCATGAGGAAAATTACCAGCATGGAGGAGGAGAAGTCCAAGGTTGTTATCCAAGAAAAGGTGCGAGAGATAGTTCGCCCAGACCCCAAGGCTGAGAATGAGGTAGCCAATCTCCGCCTTGAACTTGTAGAGAACCAGAGGCGCCACAAAGATGCAGAGCTTCAGTACAGATCCCTGCAGGATGAACTGACCATGCTGAGAAACAGAGGACCACAAGTGGAGGTCAAAGAGATCATCAAAGAAGTCATCAAGTACAAGACGGATCCTCAGACTGAAAGAGAGCTGGAAAGACTTCGGAACGATATTGTCGATAAAACTCACCAGATCGAAAAATCTGAGATGGAAACTCGCCAACTACGTGATGAAATTTCAAGATGGAGGGAGACTAAACCTCAAGTGCAAACCAAAGAGGTGGTCAATGAAGTGCTGCAGTATCGAGAAGACCCCAAGACCAAGGAGGAAATTGAAACTCTCAAGAGGAAGCTGGCTGAAGAACAAAAGAAACGTCTCGAGCTTGAGAATGACCGTTTGTCCCAAGAGGAGAAAATCAGAGTGAGGAAAATCGATCTGTCTCAGGTCCGTGAGAAGATTGTTCAACAAGAGGTGGTCAAGATGGAAGAAGATCCTCTCCTCAGGTCAGAGTGTGACTCCTTCTCACTGAACATCGGCAATGAGCAGAGACAAAAGGAGAGCCTGAAGACGGAGCTCTACCAACTGCAGAGACAAAAGGCCGACTTGGATCTGCAACTGGAAGAACTTGAGCGTGAGCGTAGAGCAAGACGTGATGCAGAGCTGGAGATCCAGAGGCTTAGAATAAGACTGAATGAGCTGGAGATCCATGACAAAGAGAACCGTGAAAAAGTTACTGTCAAACAGAAGGTCGTTCTACAGCAGGATCCTCAACAGGAGAAGGAACACTCCATCCTTAGACTGCAGCTTGACGAAGAAAGGCACAAACGTACTCTTCTCGAGAAAGAGCTAAATGCTCTCATCCAGCAGCAGATCACTCTGGAAAAGATGGATGTGAAGGAGAGAGTTGTCCGCACTGAGAAGGTCCAAGTCGAGAAGGATCCAGAGGCTGAAATTGAGATCGAGAATCTAAAGAGAGCTCTGGAGGAGGAGAAAAGAAGAAGGCGAGACCTGGACCAGGAGTATACCTCCCTCACAACAAGGCTCTCTGAAATGGAGTTCTCCAACACCAAGTCTACAAAAGAAATCGACTACATCCGTGATGAAAGCAACAGACTACAGCAAGAAAATCAAAGGCTGCAAAATGAAATTCGCAAGCTTAAGTCTGAAATTGAGATCACCAGCAAAGAGACGCGGCTCATCACTGAATCTGCTCCAAGGGAGGACGGAAAGAACCTTGAGTTGAGGCTTGATTCTCTACAGAGGGAACTAGGGGAGCTGAGGGGCATAACTGCCCAGAAAGATGATGAGATCGAGAAGCTTCAAAAGAACCTGTCTGCAGTGAGAATGAAGAGGGAACAGAGGGAGAGTCACCTCAAGAGGTCTATAGTGGTCATTGACCCTGATACAGGCAAAGAGATGCGTCCAGAGGAGGCCTACAAACTTGGGCTGATCGACTGGAAGATGTTCGTCAACCTGCAGAGCCAGGAGTGTGACTGGGAAGAAATCACAGTCAAAGGCCCCAGGGGAGAATCCTCGGTTCTTCATGACAGAAAATCAGGGAAAAAGTTCTCTATTGAGGACGCTCTGCGACTTGGTCACATCACAAATCGCCAGCTTCAGCAGTACATAAACAAAGAGATCTCCATCCAGGAGTTTGGTGTTTTGGTGTCGGGGCAGAACAAGTGAATACAATCATGCTAAAAAAAAGTTTGATTAATTTTCAATACATTATTTTCTCTGTTTCAACTCTTTTGTCTAAAATCTTGTTTTACTGTACCGCTGTTCGTACTTCAGTGCTATGGTGAATTGGCATTATTTGATTCTTAAACTGTAACTCCCAAGTGCACTATATATTTATTTGCTTTAGCATATTCATTTTGGATTTACGGATGAGATAAATAAATGCACATTACTATCCTACAGACAGCTACATGGCATGTTATATGGTGAAATAACTGCTCAAATAACCGTAAAATTCTTGTAGTGGGTGCTTTCACTTTGCCACTGAAAATTTACAAGGGTACTAAATTTTTTAATTTTGTGGGTTTTTTAACAGTTTTATCCTGTGTGTGCTCTGTCCCTTTAAATAAAACTCAGATTAAAGTAAAAAAAATGTGTTCACGTGATCTTATTGAAACATTTTATTAAACATTACCCATGGAAATCAAACATTTTATTTTATATATTACACTTCAGTTCCTAATGCAAAGACCTGAATTTCTAATTTGTAGGACATTGATAAGAACAAATTAATGACATAATTGCAATTCTAGAGCTTTGTTTTATGATTGTAATCATCATTATTATTATTACAAAGAAAATTTTACTAAAATCAAAGGTTAGCTCCATTCTGATCAACCTGCTATTGGTCCATGTCATTTGGGATCATCTACAGCCACATATGCATCTACTTGAGACTTTGTTTACAACGTACTTCATAATCACAACTATGGGTTCCTGTGTTCCTGTGAAAATGCAGATATCTAATAGGGGAGAGTGGGGTAAGATCAGCCATTTTTCCTATTTCGGATCACTACATCAGGGCAATCATAGTTTTGGCTCTAACTAGTGTATCTGCATATATTTCAAGATGTTGTGAATCCCTGCAAACCAAGAGAATGAGTGTAAACAGAACTGTCTTGATAATATAGCATGCCAAAAAAAAGTGGTCTCCTATGGTCAACTTACCCCATGGGTAAGTTGACCCACTTTCCACCCCATCCCTCCCTAAATAATAGTCACTTCTTCACATTCATGTGTATTTTAATATTTAAAACAAATTTAAAATGATCTTTTTTGGTCTGAACACAATTCTAATAAAACTTGTGACAGACTAAATTCACTTTCAAGAGTGAAAAATGTTTTTGGTTTTTTTTTATAAATGTCTAACCCCTTCACCCATGTGCTTCTAACCTTCACAGACTCCATGAATTGATGCCCATCTCCTAAATATTTGGTCACATGATCAATTTCTTTTACCATTTCCAAGCAACAGGGGGTGGCTCAACTTACCCCACTCTCCCGTACCTGTGTTACCATAAACCTCTTGTGAAAAAGACATTATATTTTGAGTATTTCCAACAAAAAAACTCTGCACCCGACTCTTATATCGTCAAATTATCACATTATTGACTAAACATTGACTTTTCTCGGGTTCATTTAACACATCTTGATGCATTTAGAACTACCTCAGTAGTGTATGCGGTTTGTTGACACTTCCGTCTTCTTATTAAAGAAGCACTGTGCGTATGTAACTGAATGTTGCAGATCGGTTAGTGAATGAAATGTCTTGTAAGGGGTTACTTTTGAACACCTCACAGATGTACTAAACAGAGACGGATGTGAGAGGGGAAGGGCTCGGTTTTTCCATGTGATCAGTGGGTGTGTGTTGTCTCTTACCCTCATTCAGTGCGACGTTTTATTAATGTTGTAAGATGGCGACGGTGCATCTGAGAATCGGAGACCTGGTGTGGTGAGATAACCCTTTAAACATTGTTAAACCGCTACGAATTTCTGAAATCATCTTCAACGCGGGCACCATATTGTCGTATCAGGGAGTTAAGCGTAGATGTTTCGCGTAGACGTTATTTATGCAAGTTAACGCCTCCTGTGCTCGTTGATGTTAACCTAAACAAACTGCTAGCTGAGCTGACTCAGCCAGCAGCGTCGTTAGCTGCAAGCTAGCGGACAAACCAAAGACAACGTTAAAAAACCAAAACGTGACATATTCATACATCCTCACCCGAAAGAAATCAAATATTCACCGGATGAGTGAAGTTTTAGATGTTTACTTTACACTAACTTTACAATGTTGTTGAAATGTTGTGGTGTGTGACGAGGTTTGCTAGCGATTTAGCTCGAGCGGATATCTAACTTATTTGGGACGATAGCTTTGCCGTTTGGCTTCCGTGTTTTCTGTTAGAGCTGTTTCTCTTCACTTAGACAAACAAGATATATATTTTACTTTGTATATCGTCCAAACTTAATGAGAACAATTGCTGCAAATTGTGTGTTTTGTGCGAATGACCCGAATAATCCGCACCACCGAGGTAATCCGAACGTTAAATTAGCGACCGTTTGTTTGAAACTGTAACAGCGCTTGGTTTCCTCAAGAGGATTTAAAATCGTAACTTTATGTGTTTTAAACTTTAAAACCTGACAATTTTGGATCACAATTTAAATATTAAATCCACAACATTACGTTTTATACACTGTTTTAGTAAGAATATTCATAATAATGACAACAACAACAGTGAGACGTGCAAAATCATGTTAAACTTTTGGCACTTTTTATAAAAACACTTGAGTAAATCCAGAGAAAAAGTTACTAAATAGACCATTTACATGTTTGACCGTGAAAGTAACAGGGGATAATCATTTATTGTCATCACTGACAGTTTTAACTTAATGAAATGTTGGCTGTAACTCCCTGTATGCTGCCTGTAGATTTTGTGGTGATATGTAATGATAAGGACTGTTGCCAATCACCGTTATGAATTTAGGGTTCAATAGAGAATAAACAGCTGTCAAAATTGTGGTTTGTTATTAAACTTCCCAAAGGAGGATTAAAGAGAATTATACATTTCTCAGACATGTACTTGGAGCCTCTGCACTTGACAGCTTTTGATAATGGTAAACCTCTTGAATATTAACCTTGCCAGAACAAAATGTAATAGGAAAACTGATCACATTATTGAATCAGAAAAGTTTTAGGCATTACACTTTGCTCTTCTTCACATTGGCCCTCATTTGTCAAGCTTGCGTACGGCAGAAAACTTGCATACACCGTGCGTACGTGAGGATCAGCATTTATCCATCTGCACGTGAGCGTACACTACGACCAAATCTTAAGACAGGTCTGACATCGTGTACGCAAATTTGACTCTGTGTGGATTTGCAGTGCAGCAAATGTCTGTCTCAAAATAACTGATAAACAAACCTCAAACCTGTTAAGCACAACCAGCCAGATTTCATTAAAGATTAAGACGTAAATAAAAAAAAAATACATTTGTTATGTCCTTAGTGAATAAGCCTATTTGATAGAAACACTGCCACAGAGCAGGAGCGCCATTTTAACATTGAGCACACATGCACACGCGCCACCGTGGAGCGCTGCATTTCCGACCATAAATCTCATGTGTGTCCTATCAAACTATGAATCCTGCGCTCAGTTTTACGCAAGATTGATATGAGGGCCATTGTGTCTAAATGTTGAGAAAGATGCACACCAGGTTTTAATAGAATGACTTTTCTCTAAAGGGGGAAGCTTGGCCGTTACCCACCATGGCCAGGAAAAGTAAGTGTGACCAACTCAACAGTAATCCTAACATTTCCTTGAAATTCTCCACTAATATTGTCCTTTTTAAATATTCATTTCAGATAGTGAGTCCTCCAAAGGATCTGAAAAAGCCAAGGGGCAAAAAATGTCATTTTGTGAAATTCTTTGGAACTGAAGACCAGTAAGTCTGGATAGAGAGATACTTGATCAAATCATTCTTGCATTTCTTTCTTCATGTGTGAGAGCTGTGTTTCTGTGTACCTGTCTCACAGCGCCTGGATTAAAGTGGAGCAGCTGAAGCCATACCACGCCCACAAAGAAGAAATGATCAAGATAAATAAAGGAAAGCGTTTTCAGCAGGCAGTTGATGCAGTGGAAGACTTCCTCAAGAAAGCAAAGGGGAAAGATCAGGTAAAGGGGAATTTATTGAACTCTTAATCCAGCTCAACATTTCTTTTCAAAACAACACATTTAAACGCTACTTTGTGTATTTGACCGTTATAATGTACATGTTAAGAATACAAGTGTGATGGGTGTTTAAGAAAGATGATTTAAAGCATTTAGAGACATAATTTTGGGATTACTTGTTTTGTCAGAGTTGTGGATTGTGTGATGCAACATGACAAAACCCACCATTGTTCTGCCTCACTATTGCCACAACACAAAATAGCTTGAAGGGCACTTCTAGGTCAAAGAAACTTCCAGTTTGGTAGCGAGACTTATCTTGAGTAGTAGTAAATTCTGCTTGGTGTCATGTTCAGTATCTACAAGTGTTTATTCAGGCCGACACATGGTCTCTGTGGAGGCCATCTGCCAGCCAAAATGAGTGCACCTGACATTTGGGAAAACAATTATCTCTTGTCCCCTGTAAACAGCTAAGATGATGCTATTTTTAACCCATTAGGCACACACACTTTGACCACACTCTGCTGAGAGGGAAGATGTCACGCAGAAAGTAACAAACTATGTTTTCAACAGAACTCTGACAGCAAAGGAGAATCAAAAGGAAAGAAAACACCCAACAAGCCACTGAAAATACTTGAGGAGGAGGATGAAGATCTCAGTGCCCTAAGGGACCCATCTGAGAAGGTATGGGGACACTGAAAAGTTTTTTTTGTAAGCACCAGTTAAGTGTAGATCTTTTAAAAATGTGCAAATCTGGCAAAAAGAGTGTAATAGAGACCAAATAACAGTTAAAATAACGTGGAAAAAACTGTGTCACAGACACCAAACAAATTGGTATATAACGTACATATGTCCTCTTGAAGATGCAGCACAGTGCAACACCCAAAACTTAAAAAAAAAAAAAAATTATTAAAAAAAATAAAGTTGGATAATGAAAAAATGCCTCTCAATTTAGTTTCAGTTTTGAAGCAAGTTTGCTGGGTGGCTTGTTTCGCTTTTCATTTATCGTAACTTAAGAATTTTCTGCTGCTAGTTTGTGTAAAACTCTGTACATAATACAGTCCCTTGAAATTGTGTTCCTCCTAATCAACAAAGTTGTCTCTCCTTCCAAAATCAGTCTCTGTTTCATTGAAGCCTTTTCAGCTTTGATAGGCTAGATTTGGGGTTGAAGTTGCTGTTAGAGCTACAGTCTTTTTAGCCAGTTCAGTCCATAAAATGAAGGTAAAGCATGGACAGAGGCAGAGCTGGTCGCTGTATCTTCACTGAAATCAGTATTGTAGCTTCACGATAGCTTTCCCTTTTTGAGTGTGTACAAAAATGTTTTCAGGGGATACTGGTAAACATTTATCCACCCCTGACCTAAGTGCCAGTGAACTTTTTCTGATTCGGGTTCACTGACCTACTTTTGAGGAGATGCACCTCTCCCTCACAGTTAGCTGCTGAAATATTAAACAGAAGATAGTATATTATCTGGCTGAAAGGGATGATGATTTTTGAATGACTGTTCATTGATGACTCTGAATGGGTAAAGTTCACCTGTTTCAGCGTCATCATAAGCACTAACATTAGTTGGATCCAAAGCCAGTGATGGCAGCTGTCAGTTGTCAACTGGACAGCTGGGGAAAAAAAGTGAGCTTCTTGTGACGTTGTGCAGCAGAAGGCAGATGTTGGAGTTGATGTGTTTTTCAGCACATCTATCAACTGTTACTCTCAAATTCCTTGAGGAGACTATGAGAAGAGCTGATGAGTATTTTTTTGTTAATCATATATGCCCAGTACCTGTAGTTATAGCTTGGTGAAGATGCATACGACTTCTATTGAAGTGTATCCCAATGGCAAAATGCATTTTTCCTTTTCAACCTCTTGATTGCATGCAGATCAGTTTTGTATGGATCATCCTACTCAGAAGAAGAATTTCCAAAGTCACTGAGCTGCTGGTCTAAGACTGAGCCAATTGAAACTGATGATTGATGAAAGTTTGCCACAGCTGCAATTCCTGCTTTGGTCTTCACTTTTAGTTGTTAAAATAATGCTTTAAGTCCAATGAAATAATTTCTATCCAAAGAAATCCAACATCAAGAAAGTCCTGTTCTCCACTGTATGAACTTATGTTGTAGAAAACACAGTTGTAATACAACGCCAAAAAAAAAACCCCAATACAGGACACATTGATCCAAACCCCACAGGTGAAGAGGTTTATGTGTGTCTCTCTCCTCCCCTAAGGACTTAACTGACTCTGATCCAGAGCCATCAACTATTGAGAGGCTTGGGGGTGGACCCTGCTCAGGATTCAAATGGGAAAGCAGTGTAGGTGAACCCCCTCTCCCCCCCTACCACCGAGCTTGTCTTGCCTTGCTGTTTTGTACTTCTACCTTGACCTTGACCTTTGGCTTGAAATTGAATTAACTGCAAACCTTTCCCTTCTGACCTTTTTGGTTCTCACTCTGAATTACTGAACCTGTTTGCTTGGCGTGTGCTATTGAGGTGGTTATTGATGCTGAGTGTGTCGCCTCCCAGAATGGTTTGAGTTTGGCTACGTTTTTTCCAACTTCCCTCATTCTTTAAGCTTAATGATCAGTACTATTAGTAATGGCAGCCAATCGCAGATAACACTTGGAAAACTGTGTATTCCTCCTTAATTGGTATAGCTTTTCAGTAGGTGAGTGGGCATGTGAATGGACTAAGTGGTAAATGTACCATCTTTATATCGTTTTTGTAGCCCTCTGACCACTTAAAGTACTAATCCCATTCACACACTGCAGGGACAGGTGAGTTTCAGTGTCTTGCTCAAGGACACCTTAGTGTGTAGATGATGGGAACTGAGATTGAACCCCCAACCCTCTGATTGGGAGACAAGAAACCGTGCATGAGTTTCCACTAACATTAAGAAACACAGACAGTGACTGGTTTGTGGGTTAAATTGATCAAATTGAAAACTTCTGCTAAGCTTTCTTATGCATTACAAAGTTGTGTTCTTCCTGCTCACCTTGATAAATATTGCTACACATGAGCACATCCGAGGCTTTTAGAGTTTTGATTTGAACCTGTTATACAGGGAAACTGCCATCAATATCAATCAGCAACAGAAGTTATTTTAAGCCTGGATGGAACTGCACCCAAATTCTTCACCAGGAACTCTCTAAAGTCATTTTGTAGGAAGGCTGTTAAAGGGCCCTGTTTATGTTCTCTACCAGGACGCTGCATGTTCACTAGGAGGTCTGTCACACTGAACTTTGCTTTTCTGTTGCAGCCTGTGAAGGATGACCCACATTTCCATCACTTTCTACTCAGCCAGTCTGAGAAGGTAAGAGGAAACCTGCTTCTTCGTATTCTGACATTGCTACATCAGCCTCGGTTTCAAAGTGTCGGTTAGCCTTTTCTTCTGTGAGTTTGAATATGTGATCCTACCATCTGGTGCTCACCTCTCAGTAGCCCACCCTCTAAAGACATGCAAACCTCCGAGCCGTTTGTTCCTTTGAAGTCAGGACAACGCCTTATGTATCAAGTGTAAACACTGGCCACTCTCGCCCTTTTACGTATGTAGCACACTGCAGGACATTCATTGAAAACCCAGTCTACAAACAGATACTCAGTTTGGTGTAGGCAAAGGCTGACCCCAGTGTTGAACAATTGAAGAAACAGAGCCTCAACACTATAGACGGTGCTAATATCACTGCAACGTGTGTAATATAAACACAAAAGTGGAAACAGTATACATGCAACTGAGCAAGCAGAGAAGACGGCTGCTTTTACATTATTAAACATGGTAGTTGTGCCATGTAAACATGCTGGTGTTTAAAGGTTTCATTGTTTTTTTGTCTACAGCCAGCATCATCAATGGAACCCATAAGCAAGCGCCTGAAGATCATTGAAGAGGTAAAGTAGACAGTAAATATAGGTACTAGGGCCCAACCGATATGGATTTTTGGGAGCTGATGCCGATACAGATTATTCGGTCGATTTTTAAATTTTTTTAGGAAGTTATAAAAAATATATATATACCGTAGATATCTACAGTATACTATAGATATACTGTAGGTTACTGCTCTTCATGCCGACAGGAAGACCGACTGATCAAACAAGGACCAGGAAAGCGTTTTCAACTACCCTTGCGCGCCGATCGGTGCCTCCGCGTCTTAACCCATGTTACTCATTTCTGGTCCACTCTCATCTGAAGACATGCAGCTGCCTCAGTAAGAGAAGTAGCTCGATCACGTAATGTGTACTGTTGTTTATTCTACCGTCACTGGCACGGCTAACAGTGTAGCAAGGCTAATAGCAGGTGGCTAACTCTAACTTTAGCTTGCATATTACATGGTGCTTCACCGTTAACTCGGCGTGACCAAGACCAGCACAGCGGGGAACATCATGAAGTGGGTTGAACTGAAACTTGTTGACTTATTGTGTATTTCACAAACTGGTTTATTTACCGTTGAGGTGGACCACTCTCCTCCGTGCGTCACTGAGCTGCCTGCTTCAGATCCATCACTCTGCTGTGCTGTGAGGTAGTTAGTGGATGAAGATTGTCATGAGGTTGCGGCGCCATCTACAGGATAAGTAGGAGTTTTGGCCGATTACTGATTAGTCTCAAACGGGCTAAAACTGGCCGATTCAATCGGTTTGCTGATAAATCGGTCGGGCCCTAATAGGTACAAGTAAAAAGTCAATGCACTGAACCTCGTGGTTTAAGCCCAGGATCCACAGCTCACATGCACCTGACAACACCAGCGTCTGTGCCAGCAGTGTGAGAAGGGAAGTGGTTATCACTGATTAGATAGCAGCCTTCGCCACTAGCCTGCATGTGAATGGATGAGCGGTTCAAGTAATGCAAAAGTGCTTTGAGTGATCATAAAACCAGACAAGGCATTGAAAATTAAGTCTATATTTGATTCATTTAATTACTGACATTTACACTTACACATATATTTTAATTACACAGAATTGTAAAGGTGACTGTTGTGTTTGACTTGGCAGGACACTGGGTCAACATCTATCCAAGCAGCAGACAGCACAGCCATCAACGGCAGCATCACACCAACAGATAAGAGGTACTGACACATTACTATTGAAGCAGTGCAGAGTATCATGATTGATCAAAATGACATATTAAATTGATAACTAGTTTAATTTAATTTAGAGATCAGTGAAAGTGATTTTATGAGCCATCTTTGGTAGTATTTGGATTTTAACCAAGAGTACACACTGACAAGCGTTGGCTTGTTTGTGTTTTGATTGTGTGTTTCTTTTGGTCCACCAGGATAGGGTTCCTGGGTCTTGGGCTGATGGGTAGTGGTATTGTTTCCAACCTTCTGAAAATGGGTCACGTTGTCACAGTGTGGAACCGTACAGCAGAAAAGGTACAGTCATGAAACCCAGCAATTTTCAAAGAGTGCAGCTTTTGGTAAACCAGACAGTGCTCTTAAAACTGGTTTGCTGCTGAGGGTCAATAAGCGAATACCCTTTGTGTTCCAGTGTGACTTGTTCATCCAGGAAGGGGCAAGGTTGGGCCGTACTCCCGCAGAAGTTGCTTCCATGTGTGATATCACTTTCTCGTGTGTGTCAGACCCAAAGGCCGCCAGGGATGTAAGTACTTTCTTAACTGTCTGGTATTTCTGTGCGATCCAAAGCCTTATGGGTAGAAAAATCCGGTTTAAGTACCTGTGGTTGTTCCTCTTCAGTTGGTGATGGGACCCAGTGGAGTGCTGCAAGGAATCAGGCCAGGCAAGTGCTACGTAGAGATGTCCACGGTAGACCCAGAGACCATCACAGAACTGTCACAGGTATATGGTCGAAATGATAATCCCATTTTTTTTTATGGTCAATGAAATCAGGGTTATAAAACATGATTACATTTTCATTTCAGGGGATAAAACTGCCTCAAATATATTTACTTTTATGACTTTGATGATTAGAACACCAGATTTATACTTGTTAGTGTGGGATCATCATTGACTATTTCTATGGCAGGTGATCACATCACGGGGCGGGCGTTTCTTGGAGGCTCCAGTCGCAGGAAGTCAGCAGCTCTCCAACGACGGGATGCTTGTTATCCTGGCAGCCGGTGACAGAACAGTCTACGAGGACTGCAGCAGCTGTTTCCAGGCGATGGGCAAGACCTCCTTCTTCCTGGGTATGAAAGTCTTCATGTTCAGTGTTACTGCAGTGCGCTACAAAGATAAACTAAAGGATCTTTCCAGCTTTCTGTTTCCTGTTCTGAACAGTTTTCAGGCCAACAGCAATAATAGCAGGCGCATATTGTCCTTGGCATTCAAATTCCCCAGCCTACATGATACCTGTGCCACTTGGTCATATGATCATTTGTGGTGGACTGAAGGTTATTAAAGATGGTTTTATCATCTGTCTTTGAGTAAAAAGGAGTCAGCCAGTCAACATCATCATTTGATAAAATATTAGTCTGTCAAAAGTCACTAAAGCTGATCTTGTTGTAAAGTGTCTCAGTCTACATCATTTCTTGTGCTTCGGGCTTATATCAAAATTGATTGATTTATACCCTTTACTTAAAGAAATGAGTGAACAGACAACATATCAAATCTGGAAAGAAAAACCGTTTTTGTCTGATGAAATTTATGCGCTCATTTTGAATTCTGAGCAGGTTTCATCAAGTCTGTACAGGGGCATGTTAACCAATGTGTTGCAAAACCCCCCTTTTTTATTACAAAACTCTGTAAATGTTTTAGAACTGAAGAAACCAGTTTTAGGAGTTACAGAGGTGAACTTTAGTCCCATTCTTGCCTTAGGTAAGAATCTACGCTGCTTAAAGTTTTAAGAACCTCACACTATTTCTGATTAAATATTACTGCAAGAAACAACTCTCCAGCTTTAAGGTGAAGGATTACTTTTTTTTGTAAGTCTTGATTGTGGTGAATAAAGATGAGCAGATCCTCTTTTGATTGACAGCCCAGTATTCTCAAATTTTACTTCATCACATTTGTGTTGTGTGTGTTTGTGTGTTATTAGGTGAAGCAGGGAATGCAGCGAGGATGATGCTGATCCTCAACATGGTGCAGGGCAGCTTCATGGCCACTATTGCAGAGGGTCTGACCTTAGCCCAGGCCACTGGCCAATCACAGCAGACCTTTCTGGATATCTTGTGCCAGGGCCAGATGGCAAGTACTTTCGTGGACCAGAAATGCCAAAGTAAGTTCATACAAATGAGGGCCGAAGTTGCTCTTTTTTTGCTGACTTGATACTCTCATTAATTAAATTTCTGTGTTTGTGTTATTTTATCAAAGTTTTGATTTTTGAAAGGTGTATTTAAAAATATCAACTTGTGCTTTTCAGATATTTTACAGGGCAACTTTAAGCCTGACTACTATTTGAAACATATTCAGAAGGACCTGAGGCTGGCTATTTCCATGGGCGACATGGCCAACCATCCAACCCCAATGGCTGCAGCCGCCAATGAGGTAAATTTTGCTCCAAAAATCATGAAATGAGAATGAATTATGATTCTAAAAATGGATTACAAGTCTTTTGCAGAAAGTTTGCAATTCCAATGAGTGGTTGAATTTCCTGCAAGTGCCCACTACTACAAAATAGAAGGACTAATGAGAGTTAAGGCTGTTTTAGCCTTGTCGCTAGTGTGAAGCTTAGAGGCGTGATGGCAGACGAGAGAAGTAGTAGTTTTGTTGGACAAATATGGCTGGAAATTTTCTTTCTTTCACCGTTTTAAGTTTTGTAATGACAGAACGAGTAAGCAAAACCCTTTTTTTTATCGTAAATTAACTTGTTTTGCTTATTTTCTCAGGTTTACAAGAGGGCTAAGGCACTGGACCAGTCAGACAATGATATCTCGGCAGTCTACAGAGCCTACATTCACTAGAGCAAGCTGTGATCTCTCCTCTGGACCACACAGTCTTTCATCCCTTGTTATGTGTCTCTTGTCATGTATTGAGTTTTTAATTTTAAGTTCTCTGGATTATGTTTTCTTTTAACCCAAGCTCCGGTCATGTTTCCTGCCCACAAATCACGAGATAATTCCTTTTCTTTAAGGCAACCTTAAGAATGCACTGACTGTACTGAAGGTGAATAGGCTGTAAGAGTGCGACAGATGAGGTTGTTCGACTGCATTTCTGCAGTTCTCTGTAGGAGAGGTTTGTGTGGTTTTTGACAACTAAAATTTTCTAGTAGTCAGTCTGGGTGTATGACAAGGATTCTGGGTCTTGTACCACTGAAAAAAGTGGGCTGCCAGACTCATTGCTGTCTGGTTAAACGGATACTCAAACCCTGATGATTTTTTTTTAAAGTGATTTATTTAATTGCGTGTAATCTTTGCTTTTCTTTGAATTCTATGGAAGAAGAAGAACACCAAGAACCTGCCACTGCATTGCCTTAATATTGTAACCCCTTGAGTCTTTCAACAATAGATGTATTTATTTATGTTTCTTTTAGGTCTACTCGGCAAGGTTTGGCATGGCTTGTTTTTGTATTTGATGAAAGGATGTTGCTTTTATGTTGGTGTTAATGATCTTTCTCGAATGGGTTTGGGAAAGAACAGTTGTATTGAGGCCTTAAAATGCAGTAACAATTTAAAATTCTTATCAAGACTTGAGATTATTGTATTTGAAACCCTTCATTCTTATGTTTGGAAGTGCATTCATCTTTTCAATATTTCACTTAAATCATGTGAATCCTCCTGATGAGTTTTATTTTAATTTAAGGTCGTCGTCAAGCGCGAAAATCATTTGTGTTTTATTTTACTGGTAGTGGAATTCAGAAGTCGTGGCTGAGTTTCAAGGGTGAAGTATCGACTGTGGAGTAGGAGGAGGATAAAAAACAAAGCTAATGTAACAGTTTTAAGAAGGTTGAGGAAGCTATTTTAATTTCAAGACTGAAACCTTTAGCTGTAGAATAAATACATTTGATTTAGTTTGAATGTCATGAGTCATCAACTGTTTAAACACTTATAAGGGGTAGCTTATTTTTTTTCTTTGTTCAGTGATCCTGCTACCCACAGGGGATCCTGGTCAGCTTGGCCCCTTTGTTAAAAACAATCCGAAGAACCTGGACAGAACCAAGGCTATGAACCTCTGCAGATGGATTAGTTCTACCACAGAGTTAAAAGACGCATTTCACTTTTGTTGTGTCTGTTTAGGGTTAGGGTTAAAGGATTTCTCTTCCTCTTGTCCTGTCTTTAAAGTTTGCAGACTCAAACAGAAGATTACTGATGCACTGCAGGGAAATGTGTCACGTCCCGTAGTGTTTATGGTAAACCAAAGTGCTTAAAATGTTCCAACAGGAGTGTTTGGGTTGGATTGTCTAAATTACATGATAAGAGTTGACCTTGTCTGCAGTGTTTTATAGCCCAACTACCATTCTGGTTCCTCAGTCTGTTTGCCAATGAAGGGGCTAAGCTGTCCGGCATCCTCAGTGGAAAGAACCATTCACTGTAAACTATTTAAGCCCACTTAAAAAAGGGGGGGAAAACTATCCCTTACAGCTTAAGTGTTTTTAACATTTGCATATTTAACCATCTAAAGCCCATAACTGCATGTGAACATGATTTTTTATTTTATTTACTCACCTTGAAAACAGTTTCAGGGTCAAAATGAGGAGGAGGATAAAAGGGTCACACAAAACAAATGGGGGTGGGGGTGGGGGGGGGGGGGTAATTCAGATTTCAATCTGGAACCATGTCAGAAAAATGCTAACAGACTGATGAAGTGATCACAGGTGATGACAGATGTTTTATTTTGGCTGATAATGAGAAATTTCATTAAAATCTACAACAAAGAGCACCGACCAGTTCACTCAAGGCTTTAAAATGTCCACCTCACATGTCTGCTTATGATTGGGAATGTGATCCAGAATGCAAACACATGTAATCTCTCAATTGTGTCCCATGTTTGTATCTACCTAAAGTCTGTACCGGTTATACTGAACTTGGATCTATGTTACTTTATGTCCAAACAGGTCGCAGGTTTCTGTCACTGCAGTGTTGAGAACTGTGATTGATACTAATGTGGCTTTTGTGGGTATACTTTATGATGTGATAACAAAATAGGCCTTGACATTTTGGAAAGAAATGCTTTTATTAATGCTTTGAGTATATTTTCACACTTAGGAACAACCAAATCCAGTTTTACAAAAGTTGCAAACCAATATGCAGTTGAAAATGACTATGCGAAAGTGTCCAAGAAACATGGCATTGATATGCTGGCTCAATCCAAGGAGCAGCCGAGTCTGACTCTTAGTCCTGATAGAAGCACAAATCAAACAAGTCGGGTTCCTGTCAGAAAACTGTTCCTTCCACCACTAAACCTGTCCTGTACACATGGAGTGGTATTCAGGATTAATATGTATGTGCTAGCATACATTTTGGATTTCATCAACAGTACAAAATCCCCATTAGGCAAGAAATACATGGGTTTGATTGAAGGGCTCCCATCCACAAGAAATACCCAGAAATTGCGATAACTATATATCAACTATTCCTAAGACCCACTGTCATCACCTTGAATGTGATCGACTCTTACATGATCAAGTTGTAGCAACAAGGCCTGATGTGAAAGATGATGATTTTAAGGTCCAAGGTTCCTTTTTTATGATCAGTTTACACTGTAAATGAATAAGTTCTTATCAAGCTAAATCATTTAACTGCATGTTAAGAATCCATTATACCATGTTGTAAGCTTTTATGTTTGCCAAACAATTTTAATTTAGATCCTCCTTACACACTCGAGTGTAAAGAACTGTTTATAGATAACAGATGTAAATAGTACATATGGTCTAGTAGGGTCTCTTTTATATCAGCAATAGTTTGACTTTATGGAAGCGGCAGTTTTTGATTTTGACAGAGTGACTAACATCTGTGTCTTAATTCTTTAGGTTCGGTTCAAGTGTAAATGGTTTATATGTGGCTTATATAATCTGGTTTATTATCACAGAAATTTCAGTAAATTGGATTTTGTTGATTGGAGAAGAATGCAACTTATTTTGGGGGATATTTATGATTTGTGTACATGTGGAAATATCAAGACTTTCGTGCTGTTGAATAAATTCTATCCTGATTACTGACATGCTGACTATCTGTTAATAGAAAAATGTGAAACACGGACAACAGAAATGAAACAAAACGGATTTATTCGCTTTATTCCAAATAGATCAACTCAGAAAAATTATTCCCGCATAAAGTATTAAAATTTAGTTTTAAACAGGGTCAGGGTTCTCTCTCGCTTGTTCATGACGCCAAGCGGAAGTCGTATTCCCCAAATTAGTGTTGTGTCGTTAGCGAACGATTCGTTCAAAAGAACAGAATCTTTTTAGTGAGCGCACTGAACCGAATCACTTCCTCGAGTGATTCGTTCGTTTGTCACTTGAGTAGAGCTGATGTGAGAAACAGCATTGCCAGTTGAGCAGCCGGCGAACGAGGGAACGCATGCACAAACATCTGAATCACTTCATGAACGAATCACCCATTGAGCTACACTCTCTGGAATCATTTTGTCAAACAAAACTACCCTTTTTTTACTGCTAAATTGCCTAACCTGCATACATTAGGACACAGCATGTAACAAGTCATGCATTAAACCCGCAGCATCCTATCACTGCAGCAGTTTGCAAGGGAACGGTGCATTCTTCAAAATATTCAGTGAATGAATCACTCACTGAGCCCAATTTACTAAGCAGACCTGATAAATAGTGCACTATAGGACAGTACACTTAGAACATCATGACTTAAAAACAAGTTCATTTTTACAAACCTGTTTGCCAAATCAACACAGCCAAACACTCTTGTCTTCCAGTCTCAGAAACTGAATCCTGAACCGTTCAGCTGTGTATCAGTTCAGGAGGTTGGAGTCGCAGGCTTCTCCTGCCAATCGTACATGATTTAGTGATTTGGTGAACGAATCTTTTGAACGAACCTTTTTAGTGAACCGATTCTAGTGATTCAGTACATCTAAAAGAACTGCCGTGCCCACCACTACCCTAAATACAAACTAGCAGGTGGAGCCTCTCTAATAGTGAATGTGTGACAAGTCAAATGGTGCATTCAGGAACCCTCGTAAAGAACGAATACTCTCAGTATTACAGCGATACGGTCGAATTAAATGACAACATTTTAAGTCATCGCATCCAAAATATTGTTAATCACATGACAAGTCGCATAAGAACACTTTGGGTCCTGTATATAAGGAGAAATTGTACATGTAGTGCAATAGTAACTTTAAATATACACTTAAATAAATAATATTTTAAATCATAAAGTAACAATTTTACTACCAACCCTTTAAACGTTGTATTTAAGGTTTTCTAGCGAGTAATCAATAAATATTTTAATTTTTTTTCGAGTTGTTTTTTTTGCTTACACGCGTACTTACGTAATATCCGACAGCATTTGAACGCACCAGATCCTCCGCTAAGCTAGTGGATAGTGAAACGCCTCCATCCTAAGGGGAGGACAGTGTCATTTTAAGTAGGTGTACGAGACTTTGATTCTCCATGCAGCACAAAATGCTGAACCCGCAGAGATCCTTGTCTGAGCTGCCTAAGATGTCTACTGCCAGTCAAGTGGAGAGAGCTGTTTTGGTAAGCTGTTCGTCCTCTTGTTTTTGCTAAACAGAAGCGCAGAGCTGTTTAGCTGCACGGCTTGCTGATTGTCTGACTTGAGCCGTCGGTTAACATGGCATTTATTAATAACAGCTGAAAATCTGTGGCTAACTTGAATGATACTGAACGTTAATAATGTGTTGTGAGCCGAGAGGGACGGCAGCAACCGCGCCGCAACCGCGCAGGTGCGGTAGCCGTCGCTCGCACTGTCATTCTGTGATGATGTTGAGGACGGGCCTGGATATAATGAACCATAACTGGGTCTGCTCTTATTGTCTGCACTGATGGATAAAGACTTGTTTTGATGAGTGGTATGAATTAAGACATTTATTTTGGAAACATCTCATGAGAGAAGAATGAGCACTTGTTTATTAACAGAGAAATAATTAAAGGGTGGATCACGTGACAGATACAGAGCAGATACCAAGGCTGAACAATCAGGTCTTTACATAGAGACCTTTCCTTTTGTGGCTCCACATTACATTTATCTTGTTTTACACTCTTGTATTTGTACATGTAGAGATGTATCCTCATATATGTTTGAGTTATAGCACTCCAAAAATCATCCTTTGCCTCAACTCAATTCAACTCAACTTTATTTATAGAGTTTATAATGGTCAGTTCAGCGCTACCCAGACCCTGAGCAGCTCCCCTTTTCATTGGCTGTTTGTATAGTCTACTAAAACATGGCAGAATGCCGGCTATCAAAAAGGATATTGACCATGTTTTATATCGATATCGAGGGAAATAAATTTTTGTTGTATATCATTGCCGTCCCCACCCTCTGGATTGTGATGACCCCCACATTTTTAAATCACTCTTCAAAACACACCTTTTTAAATTTGCTTTTAACCAGTGAATTGTTCTTTTATTGTTATTGTGTCTTTTTTAACCTTTTACATAATTGGTTTTATTTCTCAAATTTTCTGTATTTTAAATTGTGATTTTTTCATTTATTTTCTTCATTTTCTTTGTAAGGCTTCATTGAGCACCTGTAAAAGCTTGTTATAAATAAAATTTATTATTATTATTATGATTATTATTATTATTTTATCGCCCAGGCCTAGGTGTCACAATAAAGAACATCAAAATAAAAGGCTCTGTAAGTAAAATATACATATTTTAATTGGATCAGGTAGAAAACAGCACCCGATAGAACCACAGGACTTTTTATGAATGTATGACACAGACAAAGAACTGTTTGACTTTCTTTTGGAGCCCCTCTCTTATGTTAAGCTGATTAAAAGTACTTTTTCTTCATGCTGAACCAAGCAGCCGCATTCACTGTGTTTTTAATCACATGGGCTGACCTTATAAACTAGCACTAGAGGAAGGTGCAAAGTACAACTCATCTCTGCGAGTGCAAACTTTAAAAAGCTTTAAAGAAATATTGCATCTGTTTGCTGCAACTACTTTTAGCTGTTTACATGCAGTTTAGGTCACGTGGGGTGAATGAGTATGACTAACCTGAGAAGTAACCTTGAACTGCACAGCACAGTAGCAAAAAGTAGACAATAACAATGGAGGGATGAGTTTGACACGTATGCTAACAGAGCCAGCTGATAATCTTTTGGCACAGACATGCACTGTTTATGAATTCTCGATCTCATCCTGGAAGAAAGACTCATTGTTCAAACTTATAGCAGGCTCAAGGCTGCTTATTATCCCAATGCATGTCCCATATTTGTTTTTTCATAATCACAACAAAGTTGAGTTCTTATTTTGTGATTTTCATAGGAGGAGGAATTCAACTGGCTGCTGAAAGAAGAGGTGCATGCTGTGTTGAAGCAGCTCCAAGATGTCCTCAAGGTAAAAGATAAACTTGATATATTTACACCCAAAAATAATAAGGTTGGATTTTGTTTATTCATAGTGAGTCTTTTCTGCTATCAACAGGAGGCATCACGGCGTTTTGCCATGCCAACACCAGGTCTGGAGAGTCAGCTCAAACAGGAAAACTTCATCCTTGGAAGCTCAACGTAATGCCCTCATTATTTTCCCAAGCGTAACTCTGTTTTTTAATCTCTTATTAGTCCAAAGAGTGATCCTGAAATGATGTTATATTTCATTTACAGTATGGATCAAGTGAAGGGGGTGCTGACTCTGCAGGGAGAGACTCTGACTCAGGCTGTAAGTTTGATTGTTTTACAGAGGCTTCACACCCCTGTTTGTGAGTTACGTATTGATTTGCATTAAGGTGTTTTTTCTTAATTGTTCTGCATTTTTAACAGGACATAAACCTGAAGGTTGCAAAGAGCAGTCAAGTGCTGCACTTCCAGTTCAGAGATGACAAACAGTGGAAACTGCAGCAGGTACAGTTTGTATACTATGACTCGACCAGAACCATAAAAACCCAAATAAAAAAAAAAAACTCATTAGTCCCTCTCCAATCCCATCCCATCAGATCCAGGATGCCAGAAACCATGTGAACCAAGCTCTCCAACTGCTGAGCAGCCATGATGAGAGCTACCACTTTAAGACAGGGGCTGAGGTTAATAAGGTCTGTTTCCTCACAACTATTTATGATCTTTCTCTTCCTGTCCTTTTCCTGTTTTGGTAACATTAACTTTGTGTTTCTATTCTGCAGCTCATGGATGCTGTGATGCTCCAGCTGACACGTGCACGAAACCGCCTTACCACCCCCGCCTCCCTCACCCTGCCTGAATTGGCCACTAGTGGTCTGATGGTAAAGGACAGTTGACAGTACACTCAACATACACTGCATGACTGACATCATAACTATATAAGAAATACCTGATGTTTAAGTCATTGGAGAGCATCCTTCACGCTCTTTCTGTTTGTCTTCTTTCATCACCAGAAAATGTTTTCTCCTCCTATGCCTGGGGATGTGATGGCCAACTTTTACATCAACCTGAGCAAACTGTGTCTGACTGTCTACCAACTTCATGTGATGCCTCCTAACAGCACCAAGGTCAGAGGCTGTGACTCAGTGAAGACTCTGTGTGAAGCTGCAAACTGCTTCACGTGACTCATGACTTCTTGTTGTGGTTTGTTTTGTTAGAACTTCAAGCCAGCTGGGAGCTCAGTGCTGCACAACCCAGGAGCAATGTTGTAGGTTCTCTTTCTTTCTTTCTTTCTTTCTTTCTTTCTGTCTTTCTTTCTTTCTTTTTTCTCTTACTTTTTTCTTGTCTTTCTTTTTTCTTTTCATCTTTTTTTCTGTCTTACTTTCTGTCTTGCTTTCTTTTTACGCTTACTTTCTTCTTGTCCTTCTTTTTTCTTTCTTTATATCTTTCTTTCCTCCTGTCTTTCTTTCTGTCTTTTTTCTTTCTTTTATTTTGCGTTTCGTTTTGTTTGTTTCTTTCTGTATTTCTTTCTCTCTTTCTGCCTTTTTTCTTTCTTTCTTTTTGCATTTCTTTCTTTTTTCTCTTACTTTCTTCTCGTCTTTCTTTTTTCTTTCTTTCTTTCTTTCTGTCTTTCTTTTTTCATCCTTTTATTTTGTGTTTCTTTTTGTTTCTTTCTGTAATTCTTTCTCTTTTTCTTTCTGTCTTTTATTCTTTCTTTTTTCTTTCTTTCTTTTTGCATTTCTTTCTGTCCCTTTTTTCTTTCTCCTTCCTTCCTTCTTTCTGTCTGTCTGTCTTTCTTTCTTTCTTTTTTTCCTTCCTTCCTTGCTTCCCTCCTTCTTTCTTTCTGTTTTTCTGTCTAATTTTCTCCTTTCTGTCTGTCTTTTTTTGTTCAGATGGATTTTTAAATCCAGTCTAGTTACAGTGTGTCCCCTGATTCTCTCTAAACTCTTCTGGTTGTTTCTGGATATTTTTTCTCCGCAGTGAACTTAACAACAACCGCTTTGAGGTGAGCCATGTTCATAAGGTGGAGTGTGTGGTGCCGTGGCTTAATGATACGCTGGTGTTCTTCACCATATCCCTGCAGCTCTGTCAGCAGCTCAAGGACAAGGTTAGTGTTTCTCCAACAACAGATCTCCCTAAATGTTAAATTATTAAATTTGATTTAATAATTAGATTTGTGTACAGCATTAGTGTCTATTTTTTTCTTGTTAATATTTCTTCACTCCTTTCTTTTCTCATCCTTGCAGATATCTGTTTTCTCAAGTTTCTGGAACTACCGACCTTTCTAATCCACCTTCAGTCTGACCAGACCGAACTAAACCAAACCCTCAAGTGTAAAGGGACGTCCTGCACAGGTCTTAATTTCTTCACCTTTATTATCCAGCCATTCAGTTTCAAGTGTTGCATGATTTGCTGAGTGAGCCAATCAAACGATCAGAGACGCTGATGTTTGCCATTTCTAGCTTCGTTAGCCTCGCTGACTGACATTTATCTGATGTGTATTGCATCCCAGAAACTGACTTGAATTTTCAAAATGTGAATGTTGCTCATCAATATGTTATTTTGTTACATTTAGGCAACTTAGACCGTAATAAGTGTTTAGCTTGTTCTGATCCTCGAGTTTTGGAACACTAATTTGACTGCTCAGGGTTGGAAGACAAACAGGGGGGTAGGGGGGCTTCACTACAGGCTGATACTTTCTTTCCCATAGGCTTCAAAAGGGCATCCAGTTATGTATTCTTGGTCAGCACTACTAAGTCAGTGCGCACAATTTTCTGTGATGAAGTGCAGCTTTGTTGAGTGTGAGAAAAAAAGCAAGAAATATCACATGCTACATGTCGGTTCTGTTAAACCTCTCGTCTGTTTGTTCTGTGTTATTGGATGACTTACTGGACTTCTTTAGTTCTCATCTCTCCTTTTGTAAAGAAGTTAAGTAAAGTCCATATTTGTCGCTAAATTCGCCATTAGCTGTGTCTTGGCTAGCAAAGCAAATACACAGATTTTCGGGAACGTTTTGCACTTAATAAATAATCCAGACCAGACTTATTTTCTTCTGTGGCTAGCTATGATCAGATTGGTTATCAGCTTTGAAGGTTGGATGCCAGATTTAAAACCGCTTCCACGAGGCTGCCTTGCCGTAGGTCAGAACCCGAGCACAGCTGCTCTTTCAAGGTCAATCCACAACAGTGTGGACTGAGTCTGGAGGTTTAGAAACATCCTCGTTTGATTTGAAACTGAAAGCATGTGGGAAAGATCCAAGCATTATGTAGTTATATCATAATGTATGTTATGTAAGATATTTAGTGTAAGTCGCTTCATTGATTTTTGACAACAGTCTTAAATTCTCCCATTAGGTGTCTTGGCGAAGGTCATCTACACCTTTAAGGGATCAGTACTGACCATATTTGACAAATGGGTTGAGAGAAATTAAAACATCTGCATCAACATGTAGGTTTATCAAGAAAGAGCAAATAAAGAGCCCAAAACTCTCCATATAAAATGAAAAAAATAATCAAAACCCAAGAAAGAGGTGGTATCATTCACATAGCAAAAAGTAGGTTTGCATTCAAATTCCTTGGCAACATGAGTCTCCCTCTGCTGGTCGTTTAAAGAATGCAGGTTAAAGGCACTTAGGCTTTGGCTTTGCTTTTGGAAACATGATATAAGGAACTCAAAGTCAGAGTGTTTGTTTTAAACATGAGACAACATTATGGAAACAATCATGGTAATTTCCAAAACAGCACCACCTACATCTTCAAGCAAAAAGACCCCTAAACTTTTTATTTTACTTCTTCTATCGCCAGTTTTATAGGTCACAGACCTACTGCTCTACAGTATAGCAGAAATACAACACTATGACAAAGGGAAGGTGGCATATTTTCAAGGGAATCTTTTATTTCTATCAGAAGACACAGAAGCACCACAGAAACATCTCCACAGCTGATTGAAAATTTATCCCAAAACAGTTTCGATTTCATTATCAGTAGTTATGTAACAATCAGGATGCAGCTGCACCAGAAATTTTGCAGTTTTATTCCAACTCTCGAAACTTTTTGGACTTCATTCAGCCTCAAATTAGCCGTGGTGACAATACACTTTAATGTAGATAATCTGTGGCAAGTGACTTCAGGGTTTAAGGATTCAGGGATAACAGCACATAGGGAAAATATTCTTATGTCATCAAAATGGTTGTACGACAAAAGTTTCTTGTGTAAAGACTCTAAAACCGCATATATGTGAAATTAAGGTTCGCTTACAATCAACTTTCTTGTCAGGCATTCTCGTATTAGACAGTGTGATCCCTGATATATCAAAGCTGTTAGAAAGTTTAATATAACTCGTTGGATAAAGTGGTGATCGCAGCTTTAATATGACGTAAAGCTGGAGTTACGGGCAGCTGAAATTGGAGCTAGACCAGTGCGTTGTACCTTTTTTTTGTGTTAAAATGACAACTCACATTCCCTGTTTCTTCATTTATGAATTTGTTGAAATGATAAGCTAATTTTCATGTCTGTATGTGTACGTTTTGATTTCAAGTGTTTGTCTGCTTTATGTTCATATTTATTTCACTCTGTTTGCACATACTGATTCCATGTAAACCAAACACTAATACAATTATGAACAAATGACATTATTCCAGTAAGTGTTAATCTTTTTGAAAAGCTGTCTATCATGTAAAATGTGGAAATTATTTATCTGATAAGTCTGCAATAAATATATTCTTAACAATAAGATGGTTTTGTTCCCTTTGTCGTGTACTGGGTGCAGTTTGAGTCCTAGATGTATTTCTGATCCCCAGTGTTTACCTTTTTACTTCATGTAGCCTCTTGAATGGATCTAGTGAAGGTTTAAAACCTTAATCCTCACAAGTTGCCTTCATAACTGGCTAGGCTTATGGATGGAGTGGATGAAGGAGAAGTATTCACAAGTGTTTCAGTAAGCATGCTGGAGGAGTTGCAACAATTTACTGCCTTTTATGAGGCTGTAAACCCTCCTGCTGTCCTCTGAATCACATCTATCTCCTGTTTTCCTATAAAAACTTGTATTATGTACTTTGTCCCTACAGAATTTTTTATTTTTTGCGTTAAGTATTAAGCAAATATGCATGGCATTATGAGGATTAGTATACACACTGAAAGTTTAGTTTTGTTGTCTTTATTACATGTAAAACACTGAAACATTAAAATCCTTTCAGCAAACAAGACAAGAGGAAGTGCTATTAAAATCTACAAAGCTGTAAAACCCAGGGAGTTCCAGCCCCTGTGGTATTTAAGGCAATAAAACTCACTCTAGAGTGACAGTCAGGCGCTCTATTTCCATTACTTTGCAGCTTAGTACTAAATGGCAAAAGGCTGATGACTGCCCTTTCATTATATGTGGTTGATTAGTCAGTTACCAACTGGTTACTCTAAATTATAACTTCTTTTTCATTGGCACAGCGGTCAACTAAGAGGTTCTGCTCTCATTTGCCTCGGCAGTATTTGATCAGAGTCAGGGTTCCAGACCCAGATTTTCAATGCCAACCCTCCGCCTTCGAGGCTGTAGAGAAAGAGAAAGAGATAGTGAGACTACTCAGTCCAAGAACACCGTGACTCAGTAGATGTGTCCTTCATTTAATTTACCTAACCAAACCTGAAAATAAATAATAAAATACCTTTTCATGATCACAGCAGCAGCAGCAGCAACAGCGGATGAGGACCAGAATCACCAGCAGCAGTACCATACCTGGTATCATGTACACATCACATCAACAGTGAGGCAGCAGACCATGTATTTGTCAGATATGGATAAAAAAATGATTGACTAGAACAAATTTATACCTCTAGTAACCACAAATGTGCATATTTCCTTTCAATGCTCCATCACTTACCAATGAATATAAAGAAGACTGCAAAAGACACAATGTCCCAGTCAGACTGGAAGAACTGCTTTGACTGCAGTCTGGAAACCACATCATTGAACTGATCCTCAGCCATGCTTCTGTCTGCTCCTAAAAACACAGGAGCACATGGACTCTGATCATTAAAACATCAAACAAAAGGTTGGTGGTATGTACTCCAGTTTTGGTACTCAGCAGTGGTGTATGATGGGTTCCCACATGGATGTGAGTTTTGTCTTTGGCACAGACTTGTGAATATCTAACCATGGTTCAACAGAAAAAAAATAGAATTCATCCATCCGTCCACCCAGATCACTATCTGAGAGGATTTTGCATTTTGTAATGAGGCCGTTACTTGCCTTCTAAACTTTGGATAAGTTTCTTGGATCTCACTGAACAGCACACCTGTGGACTAGAACACCTGTTCCCACACTATGTAACATGAACTTTAGAAACAGGGATGGTTAAAGCTACAGGTCTTATTATGTCTATTTGTTTGAAATGACAATAAAGTAACTTATTAGGTATCATTTTATATCACAACTTCAGAATAATTTACACACAGCAAACAGAATACACCTGAATCCAGGTCACCGTTAAACTGCGCCCAAGTTAATCCGTTATTATAGAGCCACCACGAAACCCTTCATTTACTGATTACATTGATAAATGTAGATTGAAATGTTAAAATGACGATAGCATATTCATAAACAGCTGTCTCAAACACGCTTATTCGTTCGCAAACAGTTTGTAAAATAGTATTTTTGACATAATTTGCTCACCTGCGGAGTTGTTTGCTTTCTTCCGGGTACGGAGTTCGACCAGACAAGACACTCACACAGCAGTGTACGCTGTCTCACAGAATTTTGTTTAATGTTTACTTTTGTTGTAGGTTATCCAGACCGATAAAGACCGAAAGAGTGAAGAACGACCTCAAACCCCAGTAATAACACAGCCTTCGAGAAAAATAGAAATGACTTCCTTGTATGACGTTATTGGTTAACAGGTGTCCCTGGCACTTGCCGCTCACCTGGTTGCCATGACAAATCATTTCCGCCATGTTGGTCTATGATCACAAAAGAAAAAAAAATATTGAAACTTAAATTTTAATTCACTTGGGGGTAAAGTGGGACAGTTTCTGCAATTTCTACTCTTTAAAAAACATTTTTCTGTATGAAGCTCGTACAAAATGTCATCGTAGGTATGAGCCACAGCTGCTATAGAAGTTGCCATGATAACGTTTTTTTTTTTGGAAACGTTTTATTTTTCGTCAAAATATAAACATGAAAGCACATTGGTGATACTTAGAGCATAAAGTGTTGAACCATCTTTTTAGATTAACAAAAGAACATGAATAAAAAAAAAAAGAGAATGTGCGAGGGTCTTATTCAAGGATAGTAAATGTCTTATTTCGGCCTTACTGTCTTTTTAACTTTTGTTATACTTGTACTTTATATTATATTATATTATACTTTTCGCTTTCGTCCTCCCTTTTAACTGAATTTTCCTTTTTTCTTAACTATTCTATGTTTTTTATTTTGGTCCGCATGGTCTCATTTTATGTTGCATGGTTCTTGTATTGTCTGGGTTCCATATGACATGAAAATGGCCTTCAATTCTGTTTTATTGAGCTTTTTGTTTTTATTTGTATTTTTTACATGTGCTCTATGACTATATGTCAAAGCACTTTGTAAACAACTGTTTTTTAAAAGCGCTATACATATAAAGTTATTATTATTATCCTAGAATAAGACCCTCACATTAAAAAGCTGGTTCAACACTTTATACTCTAATGCTGCGTCCGAACTGCCCGCTTGGATACTACATGCTACTGCTACGTGCTACTGCTAGATCCTACTCCTACATACTAAAAACGTTGGCCCAATTCGGACACACTAGACGAGCGGTGGGGAAAGACGACCCCCGCAGGCAGAGAGTAGGTACTGCGCCCGTGCAGACAGTGGTAACTGAAGCCCCTCATCTGCGGGCCTGGCTGTAGTGCTGCAGCTGTGCAGTTTAATGATGGAATAAGTGAGCTTTACCTCCATGATGTCGCCACTTGCTCATAAAATGATTACTTGGGCAAATATGACACCATGACATGACAAAGAGATACAACCGCACATTTTTTAGGACAGTGTGTGAAGTTACATGAAACTTACATCTGTACTGTCCCGCCTGCTGCTGCTGCTCCGACATGGTGCGCGCTACTGTGGCCAGCCGGCGTTCGCGACACTTTTAAATAGGCAGAGCAGCTGGTGGCGCTAGCATCACATGCGCTTCTACAACTTTTAAGAGGACGAAGAAGAAGCCCGCGGTGCATTTTGGGTCAGTAGCATGCCCGTAGGATGCACCGAGACCAACCTACAATGTGGGCGTGTCTAGCATCTGAAGTAGTATCTGAAGTAGCATGCTACTCGCTCCGGTGGCCAATTCGGACATGCTAGATACTACTTCGACTACTACTTCGACTACTACTTGGCAATTCGGACGCAGCTAAAGTATCACAAATGTGCCTGTAGGCGGGATCCAACCTAACACGGAAGTGCCCCTTGACATACAGCTCTGTTGACCAATCAGCACATCGCAAGTGTTTATCGTCACAATTTGCTTACGTGGAGACAGGATGTGTACTTCCCTAGTCTTCCGGGTTGAAGTTCCTGCTGCTGGTGGTGCTGAAGTTGTTTTGGATGTGCAATGGCAGAGGACCCTTCCCCAGCTGTCCGGGTCTCGGAGATCAAGGACCCGGCGGCTCTCTTCGAGCGCTACAACACCGAGGAGATCCGCCGGATCGAGCGCAAAGTCCGCGGTGAGATCGAGCAGAAGAAAGAGGAGCTGAGGCAGATGGTCGGGGAGCGCTACAGGGATCTGATCGACGCCGCGGACACCATCGGAGAGATGAGACAGTGCTCGGAGAGTGTGGTCCAGTCAGTCCAAGACATGCACCAGTACTGCCACAACCTGAAAAGAGGAAAAACCAACGTGAGCAGCAGACAGGAGGTGAGCGACGCATCTGTATTTGTTGACTGTAGCGTCAAACCAGTTTGATATCCGGCTTTTGTCCTTGTAAGAAAGACTGTCACGCCTAAATCTAACTCATGTGTACAACGGGACTGTGTTGTAGAGTCAGAGTGTATGGCAGGACAAGTTCTACACCATGGCCTCACAGATCAAGCTCCTCCTGGAGATCCCGGAGCGCATCTGGAGCGCCATGGAGGCATCCCAGTACCTCCAGGCCACTCAGCTCTACCTGCTCTGCTGCCACCTGCACAGTCTGCTGCAACTAGAAGCTGCCACAGGGGGACACTACAGTCCTGTCCTGGCCCGCTTCCCTATCCTGGTCCGACAGGTAGCCACCACTGGTCACTTCAGGTACTTACACATCCTATTAGTACGTAATACTGTATGTCTTACTTTAGTTAGAGATGAGTTCATTACTAAATTGAGTTACTGGTACATGAGATTTAAGCTTGAATGGATATCCAATGCAAAAGCTAAGTCACGGGTCAGATCATAGAGTCTATCTCATCACAGGTCCACCATCCTCATGGACAGCAGGTCTCTGCTGCAGGGCCGCGCAGTGTCAGACCAGGCTATTGCTGAGGCCTTGGTGTCCACCATGCTGTTGGAGGGCAGCTCTCCACGTCAAGCCCTGGCTGACTTTCTGCTGGCTCGGAAGGCCTCTATTCATCAGCTGCTCAACCAACCACAGCACGGTAATGTACAAGTTATAGCCATAGTGTGTGGTTCCTTGTTGGCTAACAGAAAATATTATTCACTGTCTTATTATTTTTTACATGCAGCAATGAACCATCAAATGCAATAGTCTCAAATATGTTTTGGCACAGGCGCAGGGATCAAAGCCCAAGTGTGCAGCCTGGTGGAGCTGCTCGTCACCACTCTTTTCCAGGCCTATGCTGTTTTCTACCTCCCCTCTGATGGGGGACCCAGACAAGGGGAGGGAACCCTGTGTTGCGGCATGCTCTTCTCCATCCTGGAGACTGCCACCTCCAACACACCTGCAGGTGAACAGCAGTGATGCTCTGTTTTAGGAAATGTTTGGTCATTTCCCTCTCAGAGAACTCTTTGGTCTCCTTCAATGATCTACGGCCTCTTATTGGCCATTAGGCAATAATAAGATTGGTCTTGGAGGTATAGGAAGTAGGATAGATTGGAAAAAAGTGTTCATGTATAAAAATGAAATAAAGTCCTTGTCTCCTCAGCTAAAGGAAAAAGGGTGATGCAGGAAGAGACGAGTACAGGCGGCTGGTTTAAGTACCTGCCTCCCTCTGTCACTGAATTCCAGCCCGCCCTTCGCAACCTGGCACAGCCAATCCAGAGAGATCAGCTCCGGGACACCCTTCAGCAGTGGATTGACACGTAAGTTATTGACACGTAACAATCAATCGGGACACTTTTCTTTTTTTACGCACTAGCTCAGGGGGTTTTTATATAAAGTTAACTTTAATGAACTTTAATGACAGTGTTTATATATTTCACACGAAAAATCATCATGATGACGGTCATAATTCTAAAAACATCTGCAGCTGTTGCAAATGTTCTCCGTCCATAAGGAACACATGCAGAATCTGATGTTTTGGCATGATTAGAGAATAAGCTCATCTTCTCCAACACCGACTTGATTTATTTCACTTTTTTAATCGTCCTGTCCTTTTTAGATGCAAAGAGGTAATCTGTCGTGGCGTTGGCGGCCTTCTAGTCTATGTGAAGAGCCTCAAAGGGTTAGCAGCCATCAGGGATGCTGTGTGGGATCTCCTGTCCACAGAATCCATTAGTCAGCACTGGGGCACTGTGTGCCAGCGGCTGCTGGAGCGACCACTGGTGGTTTGGGATGACTTCCTCCAGCAACTCTTCCTTCAGCGCCTGAAAGTAAGTGAATCCTGAGCTTGACTGTTGAAATCACAGCTTATAGTTTCTGGTATCTAAATAAATACCCCTGTCTCTCTATAATAGTGAATAACTATTTCCTCCTTTTGAGTCTGGTTTAATCTTGACAAGATCACAGGCCTGTCAGTCAGTAAAAGGGATATTCCGGCGTAAAGTTAATTGAGGGTCAAACACACCGTCACCGTCAAATTAATTTTACGCCAGAATATCCCTTTAAATACAGATGTTATGTGCTGTAATTTCTGAATGGGTTTCTCCCTCAAGGCTATCACCAAAGAAGAAACTGAAGCCATCTCAACAAGCTCTGTTCAGCTTCTTGTCTCAGCTGTAAGGGACTTGGAGAGCCAGACCTCTTCATGTACCAGCCCCACCTTCAGCCGTGGGGCCCAGTATGAAGTAGATGTGGCATCCTTCCTGTGGTCAGAGTCTCCAGGGGACCTACTGAGTGATGCAGGGTGGGTCAGCGTGAGCCAACGGGGGCAGCAGCATCAGAGGAGTAGCCTTGCCATGAAGACTCAAGCCCTGACACCTTGTGTTCAAAACTTCTGCTCTTCTATGGATGCGAAGCTCAAGGCAAGACTGGATGACCTGCAGCACTACCTTCCATCCCAGGACACAGGTGAGCAGCGTTAAAGCAAAGCTACTTTGTGCTAGTCTGCTGGTGTTAAGAGATCCTCCTTTACTTTAAGAGTGTTTTCAAAGTTTATTAACCAAAATAAAAATGAATATAGCAGGTCTAAGCATTCGTAAAGCAAGAACCACTCTCCATTTTTAAGACTCGTTTTAATACCCATTTTTATTCATTGGCTTTCAACCCTGCATTAGACGCGGCTCCTGTATTAGTGTTTTATGTTTTGTTTTAAGTTATTTGTTTCTATTGTTTTTAAATTAGTTTTAAAAAACATTAAAACTATATTTTACTTTCTAATATCTGCTTCTATTTTATCCATTGTTTTAATTGTTTTTTGATTGTTTTTTATGTCTGTGTTGTTTTGTGTATTTATTTACAGCACTTTGTTCAGCTGTGGTTGTTTTAAAGTGCTTTACAAATAAAGTTGAGCTGAGTTTAGTTGAGAGTTGAGAACCCAGGGTCCTTGACAGCAGTGGGATTATGGTAGAGAACAATGCACCAGCTAAGATTTAATAATAATAATAATAATAATAACTTTATTTTTATAGCACTTTTAAAAACAGACGTTTACAAAGTGCTGACAAACAGTCATAAAGCATCAGCACATGGAAATAAAAACAAATAAAAAACAAAAGCTCAGTTTAAAACAAGGCCTCCTAATTGAAGACCAATTTCATTTGTCATAAGAAACCCAGACACTACAAGAACCCTACAACATAAAATGAGACCACGAGGACCAAAATAAAAACATAAAATAGGTAAGAAAAAGCAGTGTAATAAAAAAAGGGGGTTAGAAAGCAGGAAACAGGATAGTAAATATAAAAAGACGATATTAATAATGAGAATAAAATAACAAAATAATAATGATGGTAATACTAATGATACAATGAAATAACAAAAATGAGCAGGAAAAAAAAATAAAATCAATAAAAAGCCTAAAAGGTTGAAAAGGAAAAGATTATTAGTAAAACAAAGGCTAGAAAGACGGTAAGTCAAAATAAAGTCGAGATAAAAGAGATAGAGGGGGTTCCGCTATAAAACCGAAATACTAACCAGTCAAAAACATTTACTGTTATTCTGTGCTTTGCAGGGTCGGACTCCATGCCAGTTACAACCACCCCCTCTGGTCCCACAGCAAACACTTCACTGTCTTCCTTCAACCGCTTCAACGACTCACCCGCCGTGGAGGAAGCTTTACGAGAAGGCTGCCTGGCCTGCGTCCACAGAATCCTATCTTCCATCCGCTCCGAACTGGCCGCAGCCTCACCCAACCCCGGGCCGGCGCACCTCAGTTCGGTCCTTTTCATGGCCAGACTGTGCCAGTCCATGGGTGAACTCTGCCCCAACCTTAAACATTGTATACTGGGGAAACAGAGCGGCTCGGAGGCTTCAACGAAGGGGACGCCCAGACAAGGCAAGAAGTTGGGCAAAGCTAGGGCAGCCGCTGAGGTCAGCCCTGCTCAGGCAAAGTGGGCGGGACTTAAGGAGGAGCTTCTCAACTGCAGCATGGAGGCGTACCGCATCTGGAGCTCCACCCTTTCAAAAGTCAGGCACCTTTTAATATGTTTATGTACATGAGTTGATTTGTATGCTCAATTTTACAGCAGTTAGTGGTAGAAACACTCACTTTATTCATGATTTCGCTGCAAGAGGCTGTTAGCTGTGATTAACAAATAACGTTTCACACCATATTTTAGTTTCCCTATGGTGTGTCTAGTAACACTGCTTGGTGTTGTGACAGGTGCTGCTTGACAAATTAGGCACAGCTCTGCACGCCCAGTCTGCCAGTGCCATCCTCACAACAGCGACAAACTGGGAGGACCTGGAGATTCAGGAGGAGGCAGAGTCGGGAAGCAGCGTCACCTCAAAAATCCGTCTTCCTGCTCAGGTCAGCTGCTCACATCTGTTTACACGTTTTCATTCATTCTGTTCGTTGGTTCGATGTGATCGTGACCTTTTTTTTGTTGTTGTTTGTTTGTTTTTCAGCCATCTTGGTTCGTCCAGTCGCTGCTGTTCCAGCTCTGCGTGGAGGTTAATAGGGTGGGGGGTCACGCGCTGCCCCGGCCCACTCTGCAGGAGCTGCTGCAGGCCTGTCACACTCAGGCACTGCAGCACTTCCACAGCCTCACACAACAGGACTCCAACAGGGTAAATCAGACACACAAACCTTAACATTGTATTTTTAATTAGCGGAGATTAACATCTACCTGCATGGATCAAATTTTTCTTTGTGGGTTTATTTTCCTCTGTTTCTGCGTCCAACAGGAGGCTGTATTCCCCATGACTCAGAACAGAGCCCTGCAGCTGTTGTTTGACCTCCGTTACCTCAGCACCACACTGGGCTGCAAACAAGAAGAGGGAAAGAGCGCCAGATCCCAACAAGACCCCAGGTAATGATGTTGTGCTTTAGACACACGACACAAAGAAGTGGCTGCAACAGAAAATTTGATTCACGGCAGACATTATGTTCACACATGAACATCACTGCAGTTTTTCCCTGAAGTAGATTTCCAGCTGGAGTCTTAGGAAATGTTATCACTCAGTTTTGAAAGATCTCCTCTGTGTGTCATCCAGATTTCATGAGGTCTGCGACTGGCTGGAGAGCTTCATCGACCCATTCGACCTGGACGTGTTCACCCCTCACCTAAACTCCAATCTCAATCGCCTTTCGCAGAGAACCTCGGTACTACCACAGAGCAGTCCTAGCTTCAAATTCACATTTGATACGAGCCTGCTATAAACCAATAATAAGTGTATTTGCCATTATTCACCAGAAACAGAATTTATGAGTGTTTTTCTCTTGCTGCTGTGTCTCAGGTGCTGCTGGGGCTCCTGACAGGCTCAGAGAAACAGTTTTCCTTACGAAGCAGTAATGCGAACTCTCAGGAGCCGTACAACATCCTGCCACTGGCCAGCAGCCAGATCAGGTCAGTAGTAAACTTTTAAACTTGTATTTGATAATGTTTTAAATGAGTAATTTCACTTTGCCACTTAAAAAAAGAATTTAGATAAACAGAGGAGGTTAAACGTTGGCATGGTGCATATTTCTAAATAACCAAACACCGCATTTAAAACTAGCTAAATCCTTTTAAACTCTAAATAGTTTTATGGTTAAGACTTCAACTACGATGTTGCTATTTATATTACACAGTTGATGTTTCTTTCTTTGTAGGTTTGGGTTACTCCCTCTCAGCATGTCGAATGTGCGTAAATCCAAGTCGACCTCCAGGAGTTCTGATACTCCTCATCAACCGGTAAGTGGGGGTCTGAGACTTGTACCTTAAAGCCACCACAATACACTAGGAATATTATTTTCTCCATGAGCACCACCACTGACACTTTTTGGTTGAGGTAAAGTGTGCAGAATAAGATACCATGATGGTGTTGCTGTAAAGTGCAATACTGAAAACTGAAGTAACCTCACTCACAGCAAACCCTGATTCACAATCCAGGCCTCAGGTATCTGACTCTGCTCTGATACTGGTCTCACTTTTTCTTAAAACCAGCGGTATGATCAGATTTCTGTCTTTTACTTTGTTTTACCTTTGGTTAATGTTCTGTTAATGCCCTCTGCCCTCCCAGCGTTTTTGAGTGCGAGAAATACAGGCAAGTCCAACAGTATGTGGTCATGTTTTTGGTGTGTTTTGGTTGTGTGGTGAAGTGTGCAAAGGTTTACCTTGGGTGTGTTTGGAGTGCGACAGAACTTGAGATAGACTAAAACTAAGAACTTCCGCTCTGCAATGTCCGCACTAACCCCCCTCGTCCCGCTTTGGCTCAGGATAAACTTAACAGAGGATTTCATCGGGCTGCAAGAGTAAAAACTTTAGTTGACAAATCCCAGCTTGTAGTTTTAGTTAGATTTTAGCCCTTTTTACTCGGACACCAACAAGATTCAACTCAATACTAACTTTGTTGCAATCAGAGAGATGGAATATTTATCCTCCATTTTCCTTCTTTTTACTTTAGACGTAAAGGTACGTGTCTGTGAACGTGTATATCTCTGACTCTGAACAGGCCGTGTAAAAAGGGCTGGTGTTAAGGTTTCCACAAATAAAAAGTAGATGTTTCAGTGCAGCTCAAGCTGGAATTTGTTTTCTTATTTACATCATTGTTAAAAAAAAAATACGTAAGTTGATCCCTTTTACTTCCCCTCTGTGTGTTAAGCTAACTCAGGACCACTTTCATAGTTTCCAGCAGGCAAAGTTTTTGTTCTTGTTTTCTCGACACTGTATTACAAGCCTTTCAACATTCCCATGCATAAGAGGGTAGCCTTTGAAATTCCTACATCATTAAACTCTCTGTAACCTAAAGCTGTGGGACCTTGAGGATCTACTTTTAGTGCTTCTTATTACCACCACATTCACAGCTACTCTCATTTTCAGGGGAGCCTCCTGTCTTAGTATGTCACTCATAAACAACAAGGGATCATATATTTACTCTTCAAATAGAGGCAGAAACAACACAGAGAGCATGAATAGTATGTTAGCCAGTTTGAAATCGCCCCCTACTGGCAACAAGAAAGAATGCAACCTCAACAATGTGCTCTTATACACAGTCCAGGGTCTAGATTCAATGAGATACTTTGAATGACAGTCTCCAATTGTCTATAACTAAGGCTCTGGATCTATCAGGGGCTATGGGGAAGGGTGTATGTGTTTCTCACTAATTTAATTGACAGAAAGGGTCTGATTACCTACCGTAAGTTCAGCAAACCTGATGTTTTCTTTTCCGCCCCAGCAGGAGGACAGCTTCCGGCCGGGCAGTTTGTTCAGACAGCTGGTTGATCAGGGAGAAGACACAGCCACGCCGTCTTTATTCAAACTCAGCTGGCTGTCTGGGATGGCCAAGTAACATTGTTTTGCTCACGACTTTTTATTTGCCTTAGTGGAAACTTTGTAAAAAAAAAAACAGTATTTATAGTAAAACATAATTTTGTCCCTGGAGGAAAGTGTTGTTTGTGATTTATTTTTGTATAGCAGCAGTGGAAGTGGGATTGTTTACATATTATACTGCAGACTTTTAAAGGGACCTAAATGAGGATAAAGAGGACGCAGGTAGATTAGGACTAAATAAACTCTTAAAATCTAAATTTTAACCCTGTGGTTCGGCATATTGAATTCTTTGAAAACTATGATCATTCATATTTTTGGATAAAAAAGTCAGTGACCCATGTAGGCATGATAAAACCAAACTACTATGTTAAAAATGGTTAAAATAAGACCTGCTGAATCAGACACATACAAAAGACTGTTTTAACCATTTTTATTGATGCAATAACAGATGAAGACATAAATTCAACCATCAATAGAGAAATAAGTGGTATTTACATTCAGTGTTTTGATAGTAACTATAAGATAATTTGTCTGATCAAACTCTGTATTTCAACTTTGGTTTATAAAACCACAACCAGTCTACTTGATTTCACACTGCAGCCATTAAAGAATACAAAATAAACACAATGAGAAAAACCGTTTTACTGTTTTCCCAAGCTGGTACACATGAAAAACTCTTATTTTAGTGAGCTTATCTGAGATAAATATAAAAGACAAACAATCAGTGCACAATCTAATTTAATATTTATACATATATTTTGTTATCGAGGTGTTTAATGAGAGATTGTTTGATTAACTGTTGATTCAAGTTACAGAAAAGACTTCTTATGGGTGTACAACTCACTCTGGGAGAATCTTTGGAAATGGTTCATCACTCCCACCATTAAAATGAAATCTAGTGTTGTGTATTTCCCCTGATATAGATCTGTTTCGTTTAAATAGAATCGAAAACCTTGAAATGAAACCAGAGAACTTATTGAGACAGCTCTACAACTGCTGTTTTGCTTTTCAGAGTCAGAAACTCTTCTTGATGTCATTGGGATTTTCTCTCTGTTTGTGCTGAGTCATGTCATCGCTCTGTTATCTTTGGATAGATCGAGATTTTTGCTGTGTCTTATTTCTCTTTGATAGTTTTGGGTCGCTCTGCAGATGGGACTCTTTGTTGTGTCTTTGTGGTTATCGCGTCTGTGTGAAATGTGTGAAACTGAGTCAGATTTACTTTCTGTCAAAAAATGTAAACATTGACTTTAAAATCCAGCTCAGGAGCCCCTCCTGTCTCTCATCTACTGGGCCTGTGTCCGTGTGGGTCCATTCAGTTTAGCTTTCTAGACTGTAACAGCGATTTTTCTTAAATGATACCTCCAAAAAAATCAAATCACATTTATTGGCATACACGAATTCTTCTGTATGGTGTACCCCAAATAGGCGGCTGGTACATTTGCATACACAAAGACTCACTCTCCTCTATCTCTACTTCTTTCTGTCTATTTTGCTCATCATAGCTTTTACATCAACAGGAGCGGAGGCAGCAGCGGCCTTGGCCTTTTCCTCTTCCTCCTGCTGCCAGAGGATCATGGGATGGATGCCTGGGCTTCGGCTCTGAGCATTTTGCTCCAGCTGGGCCGGGCTTGAATTGAAGCAGAGAGATTATCTTAATCGTGTTTTATCATTTAGTATTTGTTTATCATTTACCTCAATCTCAAAAGTATTTCTAGCTGCTTTTATTTGGAAAAGGAAGTATTCACTCAAGTAGTAATAGTTAAAAAGTCAGCATGCAACCATTTTTTATCAAATCAAAAAAGCAGTTTGGGAACTAACCTGAAGTTATGAGCTTCAGGGCTCTGGGCTTTCTTCTGAATGTCTTTGTACACCGGGGACTTGAGGTAACGGAAGAAAGTGTCCTGTAGCAAGGGAAGCAGAAGAGACGGTGCATTACCAGGATGACTTAAGTTTCTCTCAGTCAACTCATCCTGCAGCTGAGCTTGGTAAGTGGCATCAGGGGTGCTGGATGGTTCATGGACCAACCTTCTTCATGAGCAGAAAGACGTGCGTCTGGGCTGCTTCCAGCACGTAGCGGTGTGGATGATCCAGGCCTTTTACTGTCAGACCCATTGTCCTGCCATCTATGTTGATCCAGCGGGGGGCGCCAGGGGCCAGGAAGGTCCTGATCACACAGACTCAAGATCAATATCTCTCCATTGGTGGCATTTGGAGTAGTATTCAGGCACAGTGATTAAAGGGATATTCCGGCGTAAAATTAATTTAGGGTCAATTTAGGGTCGCAGCTCAAGGAAGAACATTATTGATAATTTCTTTATCTTTTCCTTGAAGTAATAATCACCATATTAATCATTTTGCACTGCAGACATGGTAGTTCTTCTGCCTTAGCGTCTCGGTCTGATTGCATTTCCATGAAGAAATGATCATAAATGTTCTTCCTTGAGCTGCGTCACCCCACTGTAGTCTGTAATGCACTGGCCCGAGGTCTCTGTACAAACAAGCAGCTACTGGAAGGGAGTAAGTGAGTTGTATTTAGTCTCTTTGCTAAAGAAATTAGGCAAAGTTAAAAAGATGTTTGGTGGCTGGGACCCTATATGTACTGTTGATGAAGTTAGGTGCTGTTCTGAGCATTATTTGTGGCTATAGAGTGGCGTTTTGGTTGAGGTTTGTTTATGGCTCCTCAGACCGCTGTGTATTGCTATCGTGCAGTCATTACTAAAGTTGGTATAACTAGAGAAGCAGCGGTCGGCAACATTAATCTCTCGATCAGGTGTCTAACTTGATGTTATGGTGTGTTTGACCCTAAATTAATTTTATGCCGGAATGTCCCTTAAAGTCCAGTTTAATGGTCTTACTTGAAGATGGTCTCTGCCTTTGTCGACATGGAAGATGCAGTGCCCAACTTCAGTTCTTCAGCTGCCTCCCAAAAAGCCAAGTTCTCCCCTGAAACACACACAAACACACACTTGTCCCTCTGTACGCTTTTGGATACAAGGATATTATAGTCTCTGCTTTGTAGGGGAGCAATTCTGTTTATCTGCTGTGGATAAGTCCTCATTAATCGCTGCATTGATTATTACATCCTTTGATAATGAACTGAGTCAATCCCAGAAGAAATAAAGTTATGGTCTAACACAGAAATATGCCAGATGACATTCAGTATCATACCGCTGAACTCCTTCTTGAGGAAGATCTTAAAGTCGTCCCTGCCTCTCAGGTCACTCAGAAGCTCAAACAAGCTGAAGGACCAGCGCTCCACCCGCATCTTCGTGGGGACATCAACTCTGGACAGAGGTAGAGTCATTCATTTCTCTTATTTCTAACACATGTTTTTCAAAGCCGCTCTACACAAACATGACTTAAAAGATATTTCTTCATCCTGCCAGTCAGGAAAAGAAAGAGTGTCAGGCTTTACCTTCTCATATTAAGAGTCCAGTAGCTGTCATTGTCTGTTTGCCAGGGGTTGCTGGGTAAACAGGGAGCTAGGAATGGGTCGTGGTTCTTGTAGGTTGTGATGTACTTCACCAGTCTGCAGGGACAGAATTGTAATCAGACCACAGAGTCCCAGTCAACATTCAAACTGATCTATGCACTGATCCTGTTCTTATTACAAGATCTAGTATCAGAAACGAACCAGATTAATTTGAATATTTAGAAAGTTTATTGAATTGAAACCAGAAGAACTCACGCTCCAAGAGACACACTGGATTTGACTTTTGACCTCATGATGGCTTGTTGATAGAACATGTTCTAAAGCAAAACAAGAGTATGAACAACGTCAGTGTTTTGGTTCCTTCGTCAATCCACTTTTGCCAAATGATTATTATCCAAATTCCAACTCACTGCTGATATTTTAAAAGTTAAGGTGGGAAATATCCTGAAAGACTTACCATGCGTCTGTACTGGTCAAAGGAGATTTTCTGAGAGACAAGAAAAAATATTGGTAAGGAAAAGTTTGTCTGCATGTTAAATGTAGGTTTAGGATTAGTCGTTACAAAGGGCGCAGGAAGGAAAATCTTAACGCCACACATGGGATCAGACCTTTAGAAACTACTGTAAAGGTTTCTACTGCTGAAGCGCAGACAGAAAGTGAAGGTACGGACACAAGTTTCTTCTTTTTCATGTAATCACATCCAAGATATTTGCAGAAAACATCCTTCATATTTCATCAGTCGTAGCTGTTATATACAATATTTTCTCCAGAGGGAGTGAAAACTTAGATTTGGAGTTTTTATTCAAACTGATTTGTTTATAGTCAATAAAAAAACTGCAGGCCCTTGAAGATAATTACATGTCTAGTTGATTTAATATCAGTTTCTGCAACAACAACATCCTTTCTCTCTGGAGACTGGCGGAAGATTACATGAAACACATGTCAGTTTAAGCTTACACACAGGAAAGGACGATGGGAAAATGACTATTACTACTCTTTATTCTCTTAGCTTGATCAGTCTGAGGAGATCTGTGTGAGGACAGAAAAGACAGGATGGAAAAGAACAATGAGAATGACACAAGTTCAACCATGGTTAAAAGGTTTAAGACACTGTGATTGTGCCTCACATTATCTAATTGTATGATCTCAGCTATAACAGTGAGATAATGTGCTCACAAATCAGCTGACGACTTTTGCACGTACTTATTTTGATTCTGAGACACTCTCAGGTAAAGACGTGATGTTTAAGGATGTCATGTCACTTCTACATCTCATACTAAGATGAAGTAAGTTCGCTGTGCGTCAGTGCATGCCTGTATATGTGTGTATACATACTGAGTGTGTGTGGGTGTGTTTATACTGACCTGTTACCTCGTCTATATTAGGATCAATAAGACGCTCGGGGCCGACATCCAAAGCACTGTGAGTACGACGCTGGACAATGTACAGGGAAAAGTACAGTGAGTGTTTGTGTGTGTGTGTCATATTGGAGAAGTACATCAGAGTGTGTGTTATTATAATATTCCCAGCACAGACACACACAGCAGTTTCACACACACTTACCGGTGGTCTGTTTACTATCCAGTAAGCCCTCTCCTGGCAGTCAAACACCACACGGTCTGGTTTCTTTCTCTCCTTACCCGCCCTAACACACACACGCGCACACACACATACATGTACACACAGAAAGACAAGGGAGGAAGAGAGACGACTATCAAAAGTATGTAACCATGGTAACCATATCACTTATAATTCATCCATCAGGCGGGTTTATTTTTTAAAAGTCATGAACTTGGCTCAATGTTTAACGCCTTTAGCCTCTATTTGGTCAATTCATTCATTCATTCAATCAGTCTGTTCAGACTCAGCAGATGGCTGTTCACCGTGAGTCCGGTTCTGCTCGAGGTTTCTGCCCGATAAAAGAAAGTTTGTCCTGCAACTGTTGCCAAAAAGTGCAAAGTGCATGTTCAAAGTAGATGTATGTTCTGTAAATAGAATAGTTCAGTCTGACCCTGCTTTCAACTATCGGTAGATTCTTTAGAATGAATTGACTGATTTACAGCTAATGGCCGCTAGGGGGCGACGTACCTGTAATGTAATAATCACAGATAAACTAAGAGTTCAATACCAAGCAGTGAAAGGCTTCACCTACTTGTACTGCTCAGTGGCCTGCATCACAATAAAGTCCCACTTGTGGTTCAGCCATTCATGGAGGTGGTTGTAATGGGCCTGTTGAAAACAGGAAAAACAGCGTCAAACAACAAGCTGAATCATTCAGCCATAGACATGAACAAATGGAGGCTAAATATGAGATATTTCCATGTCTGCTGTGTCAGTTATGTCAGCTTTTCCCAGCTTGTATCAATCCATGATCCTTAAGTTTGATCAGTTCAGAGACATGTCACTACATAATGACGATGGAATAAGTAGAAGAAAAATGGATTACCTGTCATAATGATAATAATACTGATAATAATGTTTACACTTTAACTCTGTTACTATAATAAATTCACAGATGAACGGGTGAGTGTATGTTAAAAGTTTTTAAAAAGCTCTCTTTAGATAGATAGATAGATAGATAGATAGATAGATAGATAGATAGATAGATAGATAGATAGATAGATAGATAGATAGATAGATAGATAGATAGATAGATAGACTTTATTGATCCCAAACTGGGAAATTCACAAATAAGTGCATTCAGTTTTTGGTCTGCATGACTGCCATTATAATTCACAAGCTGCGCTGACCCCTGAATGATCGCTTCTGTTTGAAAGATGTTGCAATATCAGGTCTTTAATTCCTGAATATTTGCACAAACCTGTTCGTAGGGCTCCAGCATGCCTTTTTTACGGATGTTCCTCTTTGCCAAGTAAATAGCTGCAGAAAGACAAAACCATTGCAGATCAACACAACAACAAAAGTGGACACTTACCCAACCTTCTTCTCAACAATTTTACCCACAGAGACTGTTGGACACAAGCTACGTCTCGTGATAGAGAGGGCTGTGATTGAACAGATATGTCGAGTGGTTTCGGATGGATTTGGATCGGAAGTACATCCTTGTCTAAAAACTCTTAAGTCTCGCTTAACCATCTCATAAATCATTAAAACTTGGCTGTGGTTCAACATAGTCGTGATTTTGTAAGTAACACTATATATGGCATACTGTACCCACCATAGTCAATGTCCTCTGCAAACCATTTCTGTGTTGGCCAGAAGTATGGAGTCTGAAAGGTGCAAAAAGGAGAGACATTTCAGTTTGATGCATGGATAGATCTACCAATTTCTGCTGACTTGATATATCAGAGCATTTTTAAGTAGCCCACATCACTGTAGTTTAAGTCTCTTAAACACCAGATTTTAACTGGAAATACAGCAACAGCAGTATCATTAATCTCAGACAGGCTCTGTAGGATCTTGTGTATATGGTGCTATGTTGTCTTTACATAATTAGTGAGTCTGTTCTCTATGATGAACAACATTTAATTCCAAGAAGACAGATTTTTTCTTCACCTGGAAGCGATAGAGACTATCATCATTGCACATGACCAGCTTCCTATGATTCTGCAGAGGGTAGATGTATCCATAAGCCACCAGCATGGTGCCAAAAGCCTGAGCATCTGAATAAACGACAGGGAGAGGGGAGGGATATATGAATGAAGTGCTAAAGGTCAAACGTGAGTGAGGATTTCATGTTTTACTATGATATTAAGAAATCATACCTTCTGTAGTGTTCTTCATCTTGTTGGTAATCCATGCAATCACATCCTTACCTGAGTGGAAACACAAAAAAGAGATTACCCAAAGAGGTCTCTCTGAAGCACCTGGTATTTAACCAGCCATGAGGTAACTGAGTGGAGCAGATTCCTGGTGAATATCAGAGCTTTCTGAAGCTCTTTTCTACCCTTGGATTAGCTTACCTTGTTTCTCAGAAGAGATAAGGCCTCTGATGTCGAAAATACTTTTACCAATGTTATTAAAAACACACTTTCCTGACTCAGACCATTAAGTGTTTACTGTCTGACCAGTTGGTTGACACCCAGCAATTATAGAAAATTCTGATAAACATGCGTCTTGCAGGAATAACGTGAGACTAATGTAAGCTGGTGGAGTGAAACAGAGACTCTCTTTGTATTTTAAGGCAACATCTGATTCCTCTTAAATTTTGAGCTGGGACATGAATCAAGAAAATTAAAGTTTAATTGAATTTTTTTCTGTCTTTTTTCAAAACCCATCTTTCATAAAGGACAAATGAACTTAATAACTCAGTGTCATCAGCTAGAAGACATGACAACACCAGGTGATAATCACTCCCCATGAATCACTCAGCTCGGCCTCTGCTTCACCTATCATTTTGTTGAATTGTTCCTGCTTCTGCTGACACCAGTTCACATTGGAGGTTTGGTCCTTGCTTGCTGACCTTTCCCTCACTGGTCTAAGAGGGGATTAAAAACATTTCGGTACTGCCCAGGTCTCATCCAATTGTGGGCTGCTTTATTTATCCTGCATTAGCGGCTTAGCCAGCAAGGCAGCCGACCAACAGCTTCACTCAGACCAAATCTTACCATCACTGTGGAGAGTTTTTTTCACTCTCTAACAACATATCTGCTCAGAGAATAACTCATTGTAGGTTTGTATGAACCAGAAAGGGTCAATCTTGGTCATTTTAATCGCTGGATCAAAATAACTCTCCAGCAGGGTCCCTTTCTGCCTCTTAGTAGTGGGGAATTGTAACATCATTGCATTGACTCCAGGCCAACACACCCAATTGACTTTTAGAGGTTAACCCAGTTTTCACTGGTGGCACATTGATCCACGCTGGGTCAATTTTTGGGGTCTAAGGTTGGAGGAACCTGCTATTTGGAGTTATTCTCTGCCTGCTCTGCGTTACTGAGTCACTTCATAACAATATATACAGTGTAAGGCTATATACATGCAGCAGCTGTTTCAACCTATAAGTAGATTTAGTTGTTTACTGAAAGCATGAAGATTATCATCCGATTACACTCTGTTTTTGCAACGTAGAATAACTATACAGGGAACAGCAAGTGCTCAACAGAAAGGCTGTCGCATTATACTGGTATTGACCATTACCTACTTTCAGGAAAAATTATATTGTACTTCAAATTAGCTTACAGTACTGCCGTAACACCTCCAGATGCCACACATCATAAGACAGAGGAGGGATGATGAGGAGGAAGATGCATTTAGCTAGCTTTAGTTAGCTAGCTAGCTTAATCTGAGAGTTGACTCGGCACTTTTAAAAACTGACTTTCAAATATTTACATTGTGAGAGTTTGTGTCTCATTAACTCCTGCAAACTGTCTGTTATGTTTTATTGTTTTTATTCAGATTTGTAAATTATGATATACAGGAAGAAGCTTCAAATTAAAAGCATAGTTTTACCACGCAGAAAACAAAGCAACGTAAGCACAAGACGGAAAGAAATTCAGAATAAAAGCATTTTGGTGGTAATGTCATCATTTAAAATAGATGCTGACGTTTTAGTTAATGCCCCCTCCCATCTTGCCTTTCTCTAATTTGATTGAAATTGTTTTTAAGTTGATCAAAATGATCAGAATATTGTTGTTATTGTGATGTTTTATTGTCACTGTACTTCACAGTGAGGTGAAAATGTGATATAATGACAGCCATTCAGTATTCAACATTTTGTCCCTGTGTGTATAATTGTGTGTAAAATTGTGTGGTTCGTCTCACCAGAGATGACGTGTGGGATGGTGGTGACATTGAGTTTCTGCTCTGAGCCTTTGACACCACTTTTAGAGTCCTGCATCTCTACCACCATGGCCTCCAGCTGAAAACAGAGAGAAAAATTAATCAGGTTAAAACCCAATAACAGAAAGAACATAAACCAGTCACAGATATGTTTTGGAGAAATGGGACTTCACGATTTCTATCAGCTTCTTCGGTTTAAATAAACAACTACATTGCCACATCAGTTTGTTGTCACAGTTTTCATCCTGTCGTGGCTGCACAGTATGTCATGAATGCATATCTTATATCGTTTATCCTTACCTGTTATGACTATTTTAAGGCTTATTCAACGTTGAAGCAGAATTTACTCTGATACCTTAAATGTGTAACCACAGTTCACCATCTCATGTTTTTTCCATTTAAAATGTCAGACTCTTTCAGCAAAGGTTGTATGAAGAAGCAATGTGTGAATATGCTGGGAATTTTGAACCAACAATAAAAGCAATCTGGGTCTATGATAGTAGGGGGTAGTAGTAGTATGGTATCAAGGGCCCATAGAAAGTGCTTTCTGACTATATAGATGTGGTTTTGTCATCCTTACCCTCTTTACCTTCACTTTTAGGCTGATCACGTAATTTCTGTCTCTCTAAATCAACATAATAAGCCATGCTATTGGCATAAAAGAGCAGACATTTGTTGACATATAGGACCACCTTAAAGTGTAAAGAGTTAATTTAATGTTATCTAAGGACATTTGGTTTTATTGCACTCTTACACTCAAGATAATTAATTCACGACTTGGTTTAATGTGATGGTGAATTATCATTATTCTGCCCTGCTTCTAAACCTGAAGCGAGATTTTTGCTCAGTTTTCCACAGCGTCTAGTTGTTTTTGTTTATCTTCTTCAGTTGTAGTTTTGCCAGAGAAAAGTTTTTGTGTGAGTTTTCTGCCTGTTTCAGCTGTCTTTTGCTAAACGCGCCAGTGAAATCAAAGTTAACATTCACAACGAAGGATTGCAGTAGCTGAGGGCAGGATTTTGCTCCTTAACTGACCCTCAGCCTGCAGTAACACTCAGCAACAGAGCAGTGAAGCTAATTGGCTTTGAAGTGAAAGAGGGGATTATCTTTAACAAGCCCCTGCTCCTCTAGAGGCAAACAAATCATGTGTAAATCTTACACACACATATGTATGTAATAAGATCTTTAATCTAGCCTCAGGGAGAAGAAATGATAAACACAGTTTATTTCTAAAATCTCATAGAAAGGGATGTTTGCAGGAAAGTAGTCGTGCTTGGTATGAGAAGAAACAGAGATGTGAAGTCAAATTCAGCTGAAGATTCACCAACCAACAAAACTCTTACATTTTTCTGATTATGGAGCAAAAAACAAAGCAAAACACAAAATAATTAATGTGATAAAGATAACCACTCACCTTTTTCAAGCAGTGTGTCCGGGGTCGAAAATGTTGTACCCGGTCCTGGCGTGCTGTTCTTATCGTCATATTTGCAGGCGAATGAGGACTAAATCAGAGGTTAAATCCCAAAAAACGCTTGTAAATATCCCAGTTGTACTGTCTCCTGTTTCTGAGAGGTTTTCACAGAAAGGTGACTTTACCACAGTGCTCCTGTGTGGGGATTGTGGGACAGGAAAGGAAGGATAGGTTTATCCTCCAATCAGCTGTAAGAAGCTTCTGCTCTCATTTCCACATACAGATAACAGCCTGTCTGTGTGACTCTTAAATTAACTCCTGCAGAGAGAGTCAACAAAGGTGTCAAAACTGGCAAAAACTTCGACCAATGTGTCACAACCAACAATGACTTTTGTAGAGTTATCATGATTGATGATTTAAAAGTAAATCAAATAATAGTCTTCAATTAATTAATTGATTCAATCATTATCAATCAACTTGTTATTTATAAGGAGCTAAACTGATATGTTTGTTACAGCCCAAAATATTGGAATGCAAGAAGGTGACAGAAAAACAGTGTGGAAGAAAAAACAAGAAAAAGTCATCACCTGATTCAACGTTTAAGGATATATATATATATATACCTTTTTTTCTTGCTGAGAGATACATTTAAAAAGACTCACGAAAAACTTGGTTTTAGATAAAAATCAGAACTGTAAATATGTATTTTAATCAATAAATTACTTAAAACAGATTTGAAACTATTTGAGGTGTTATTAGCTGTTTCTGAAAGACACTATTTTTATATTTAAAATTATTTATATATATATATATATATATATATATATATATATATATATATATATATATATATATATATATATATATGTATATATATATATATATATTTATATTTATATATATATATATATATATATATATATATATAGTATTTAAAAGTGATGATCAAAAGTAATTCAAAGTTAAGAAGAGAGAGATATTGCTTCATGAATCCGTGCAGCCCACCCAAGTATTGAGGAGTAGGCGCGCTCATGTACTTTCTTGAGCGCGCCTCGCCCTAAAGTAGCTCCCACTTAAGCTGCGTTCACGAACACAAGAAAATCTGTAATTCATAAATACTTCATGATTTCTCGAGTCCAGTGCATGTCACTAGCAAGAGGAGGCTAATTTGACAATCATTCAATTCAAGTTTGTCTGAAATCCTTAATTTACTACTGTTTTAGAATAAATCACAACTTTAGTATTATTCATTTTGAGTGTTTACATGTGAAGAACAGACCCTTTACTATTTTATGTCTTAATTTTGCGAGTTTGTGACGAATCACCATGAGTGGAGAATTCTCTCTATTGTTTAAAGACAGACCCATTATTTGCATACACATGATTTTATAGGTAAAAACGTTTAAAAACAACGCGGTACATTGTACATAATTATCTAACAAACAACTGTCGTAATGTGGTTGTTGGGAGAACTAGAGTTAAATGTGCATTTCAGTTTATTCCCACGGCCCTCAAACGCACCATCGGACTGGGGTGAGCTCAGACCTCCTCGCTGTCTGTATCGATGAAGTTGTTTCAAAGATGGCGGATTTCCTGCCGTCCCGCACCTTCTTATCTGTATGTTTCCCTAACTGTCTCCTCACGAGCGGAGAGGCAGAGCAGTTACGGAAATCTAAAGAAATAGATAAGTGTATTAATCGAGACAAGACGTACGTAAAAAGGCTAGTAAAGATCTTATTGCTCGGAGCGGGCGAGAGCGGAAAGTCCACTTTCCTCAAGCAGATGCGCATTATCCACGGGCAGGACTTTGATCAGAAGGCGAAAGAAGAATTCAGAGCTACGATTTTTAGTAATGTTATAAAAGGTAAGTCATCTCTGAGCACTATTTGAACTCTTTTCGTGAGGCTGGTGTGTGAATTCAGGGTGGAAAGAGCACTGAGTTGGTGGGTAGCCATGCTAGCTGCAGCTGAACCGACTATAGGGGCACTTTTCTGAGCTCGACAGTCCTGGTGTGGTGAGCTGGTTCTCGACCAAGAAACGCCCGCATTGTTTGTGTTTGTCTGCACGGTGGGACTGAAGGGGGCGGTGGCGCAGTTGGAGTCATAATATGGGTTTGTTTGGGGTCTCTGAGATGTTAAAAATGTTCTTCTTTTGTTGAGGCAAGTCATATTAAACCTAAATGAACAAAGGTTTGGCATGGTCTCACTTTCCCCGCGGGTGCAGTGAACACCTAAACAGGCCAGTTTGACCACTTATGGAGGGAATATCTCAACAAACCCCTCAAAATGTGCCTGTTTACTGTAAATTGAAGTTTCAATATAGGGGGGATCTCCAGTTTAGCCACGGTATGCTTCCCTTAACCGTGCATGACAACGAGGCATGTGCGAAGTGATTGGGAAAGGCTGTCAGTGCTCATGTGTCTCAACATATGTGAGATTTACACGAAAAAGACCTCATTTAATGTGTGTTTGTAGAGCTGGGACGATATGCTTTTCTCCCGATTCGATTCTTCTACGATTTTTGTTTTATGCCGATCCGATTTAAATCGCGATTCTACGATATTGTCGATTTTCTCGATTTTTAGTCATTATTTTTAACACCAGTGAAACAGTTGAAACAAAGTACTGAGTCGGGGCCAGTACCAGATAAGCACAATAAACTATAATCCATAAACGTAAGGTAACAACCGAGACCTTATGAGGGGGAAAGATGCGTCTCGGGTGGAAGTGAGACTGACATTTTCAGTTCTGATTAGACACTTGTGTTGAGATGGCTGTCTGTCATGATAGCATGTACTGAGTCGGGGCCAGTACCAGATAAGCACAATAAACTATAATCCATAAACGGAAGGTAACAGGTTAGCTTACGAGCTAAAGTTACTTAGCACAGATGAAAGTTAAAACAAAGATGTTTAGCAAACTGTTAAAGCACACAAACTATCGTCAAATGAGAAATCCGATGCTATGACTCTCCACAAGTTGTCCTTTGGGTTGTTATCTTTGTAATATTTGTGTTTTTTTTATCAGAAAGCACTCTGTTCTCCAACACTTAAACAATCAGCCAGTCGGCCATGTTGGATAGGTAAATGTGACGTCGCAACAACACGAAATCTGATTTTCCAGAAGTGGACACACAGTATGCGAAACTTTAGAAAAATTGACCGTGATACGAAAAGATAAATGCCGCAATATCGCAGGAAGGGAAAACGTCGCTGATGTGAACGCTTGTATTGACAGGATACAGGTTAAAAAAAAAATATTGATGTCGTCCGAAATAATCGCACACAAAAAAAAACGTTCCCGGTATGTAAGGACCTTTATTCTTAAATTTAAAATAAAAAGATCAATCTTTGAACATAGAAATTGATTTAAAAATTGTAAAACAAAAAAATTGCGATACTTTCTTCTTCCACCCCTAGTGTTTTGCCTTCAGAAGAGGTAGCAAGGAAGATTTTCATCAGAATTTCAGCAGCTCATAGGAATAAAATCACCTCGCCAGAGCCTCATGACAGTTTCTCAGATGACACAAATATTTACTCTGGGCTTTGCTGTTTTAAATGTGAACAAACTGTGTCAAAAATACTAAGGTAGGGTATATTTTTCTTCGAAATGGGAGCGTTGTGTCAAAGGTAACCGCATACAGACATGTAATCTGTTGCAAAACAGTGAGTCAGAGTTACCAGAGAACATGTAAGGAAACCCCTAAGAAGAGTGTGTGAGATTACTCCTACTTGTTTCAACTATAGAACGGCCTGTTGTCATTTAAAATTGGATTTTGCAGATTGTTGTCGTTCCCTAATATTGATCTATATAACAAAAAGCGATTGAGTTATTACAAGAAGATATGAGAGCTCTATTTTCACAGACACAGCCCAGTTGAGGTGGTATTGTTTCACCATGGCCTGACTGTAAACGATATAGAGGTGGGGGTGTGATCGCTAAGCTGGTAGTGGATGTAGCAACAACAGCAGAGGCATAACAGAGGCGTTTCGTTGGTGTGAAAGAGGCCTTCCTAGTCTTGAGAATATGAGGCCAGTGCTGTAAATACACGTGACACCTCTTTTGCTTCTGTAATGCCAAAACACTCACAAATACGAAGACAGCATAACAAAATGTCTTCATATTGCTGCTGTGTGATTTGATGAGGCTTGCGACCAAGGCGGCTCCCCCAAAAATCCATGAGAGCAGTCTGAGTTGTAGGCTGGGTGGCACAGCTGGTTGCCTGTAATCAATTAAATCAGTTCAATTCAATTCGATTTGCTATCAGTTTGAATCGTACTGAGTTGGATGCAACTGGATGGTGTATAATTTAATCAAACATTCCTGAAACAGATGGTAACCATTAGGAATTGAAAGATTTAAAGTACGACCTATTTATCATTTATTTTAAAGACTATCAAGCATGACAGATATGGAGTGATGAGTGAATCTCTGACGCTGGTTTGCAGAAGAAGGATAAATTCAAGTGGAGGTAAAATAAGTGGAGGATCAGCTGCATGCTGGTCTTGTTTGCTCATTTAGATCATAGGGACACATAGGCATTGTTTTTAGTCTGTGTCTAATCAGCTACAAACTCGACACAGCATGTTTAAACAGGACACAGAGGAGCACCATGTGCCACTGTTTACTCCACCGGGCATCAGCTAATCTACTGAGAGCAGGTTCCCTGGATCAAGATTTTATGACAGGGCTACCAACTGAAGGCTCACTATAGTTTCATTTTTTATGAACCCCAAGAGGGTTGGCATGTGCTGTTCTTCAAGTGAGTTCACATTGTGCCCCTCCTGCTCCTGCTCCTCACTGTAACTGACACCAATAATCTCAGTTAACTACTGATTCTTCACAGGTGATTTTCAAGGAAGTTATTGTTCTTATTTCAGTGTTTTAGTGGCCAAACAGTCCGAGGAGACCAGTGCAGGTTGCCAAAGATAAATCCAATAACAGGAACAGGACTCAGCTGTTAGAGCTTTTAATGGTCCAAAAAAATCAGTTAAAACAGACTCAAAAAATGCTGAATATCAAATAATCGGGTTGATATAACTGTAATTTAAAACACCCTGAATATGATATTTAAAGTGAGTATAGTGCTCGACTGACTCGATCTTTGCTCTCATTCATCGCTCCCTCTCTGTCTCAGATACGCAACCACACTCATGCATTTAAGTGCAGGAAAAACTCTAGCTGCTAAATCAGAGATGGGTATCAAGGTGGCCTCAGTATCAGCCTCTCATTGAAGGATGATTTTTCACATGTATATTACTCTTCATGGTGACCATTTGAACAATTTTTTTACCGTTAATCCCACCATATTACTGTATACAGACAGGCAGGTGGACAGACAGCAGTAAATGACGAGTAAAGATAAGAAGCAGCTGTGGATGATGGAGAGACAGTTGATAAGTAAACAGTGTTACTCTGCTTAAACTAAACTAAACGACATTATACATTTTTGTTTTGTTTTTTTGTACGTTATGTAAGTTGAGAATCTGAACTTTGAGTAATAATTATAGAGAGGGTGGTGCTTTTTTCAGATAACTTGATTCCATCAATGTTCCCAACCAGGTTCAGCTTAGCTAAGTGATCTAGCTGGGTTATAAGTGAGTGAGCTGTTTGACTCTGAAAACTCTTACTTTGAAATAACAGACACGATTTTCCCATCAGTACCCCCCACATCCCTTTTATTTAGAAGACTTAACACATATTATTCAGATACTAACTTACAGAAAGAGTTTCTTCATCCCGTGTGTGTTTAACTGTGTGAGGAGGAGCATGGATGAGAAGCGACTTGAGCAGATTTTAGTCATTAGTGAACAAGCGTGATTTTAAATTAGAAAATAAAGCCAACATAGAAAACATAATATACTGTCAAATAGGTTTGTATGGTTATATAGTAGACTGGGGTATTTAATAAAGAACATTGATCTGTTTCTCACTGCCAAAAAACAGCGGTCAGGTCGAACACCAAGTAAAAATGCACAACATTTGTAATTTGGTGGCATCTGGGGTTCTTCTGCTCAAATGTAACTCTTAATACAGTGGTTCTCAATCCAGTCCTGGAGCCCCCCCTGTCCTGCATGTTTTGGCTGTTTCCCTGCTCCAACACACCTGATTCAAATGATCAGCTCGTTATCAAGCTCTGTAATGGCTTAATAACGAGCTGATCATTTGAATCAGGTGTGCTGTCTTAATGAGACTGTGTGTAAGACTTGCAGGAAGACAACGGCAGCAAAAGACATGGGGATACATAGAATTTAAGGCACCATCTAATGATCAATCACCTGCTGACTGTAAGGATGCTGCAGAGCTCCCCGTGGTGCCGGGTCAAGATGTAAAAGAGCACTCCGAGCGTGTCGGAGCTGTTAGTATGTCTCTGTGTAATGACACATTTCTTTATGATGTGGAATGATGTGGTAACCAATCTCTGCGTGGGTGCAGATTTACAAACTTTGCACAGATTTGCATGTCGCTCTTTTTACGTCCAACCAATAATAATGTAGGCATCCAGTAAAATACCTAAAAGTGTAAATTTCTACTTTGGGTGTGATGAAGTGAGGCTTCCCTGAATGAGGTTGTATGAATGAACCAATCATCTTCTTCACTGTGAGCTCAGGGGGGCTTGTCTCTACACAGGCTGAGGCGAACAAATAACTAGAGAAATGATCTTTTTATTTGCCGTTGTGTGATGATGTCAGAGGGGTTGTGGGGGCAGTTCCACGATAACGCTTTTTTTTTTTGCAAACAGGGAAGTAAGACTCGTCAGGCTGGAAATACTTCAGCCAGCTTTAGTCAGAGAGAAGTGACTGATGCCCGATGTGGTTAGTCTGCAAAGGAAACTGTTGGTGCAAGTGTTATTTCAGTTAGAGTAAAATATCAGTTAGGGTTGTTTGAGTTACGTGTGCGTGAACATGCAAAGGAAGCAGCATTAGAGGTCATCTGTGACGCACTATTGATGTGATGTTTACAGTTTCTGACCATAGAGGTGACAGAAAACTGAAACAGACATTAAATAGTTCATTTTCAGTAAATACAGATTTGACAAAGATCTATTTCTGCACTTTGTTCCCAATATGAAGGTATTCGAGTGTTGGTGGACGCTCGAGAGAAACTACACATCCCATGGGGCGACCCGTCCAACCAGCACCACGGGGACACCATGATGGCGTTTGACACCCGGTCAGCAATGGCTCACGGTCACGGCATGGTGGAGCAAAAAGTGTTTCAGCATTATCTGCCGTCCATCCGAGCCCTCTGGGCGGACGAAGGCATCCAGAATGCGTACGACCGCCGCCGGGAGTTCCAGTTGGTGAGTTTGAAAACATCGTTATCAGTGTATCCATGTACCAGGATCCTTTCTCTGTTATCGATCAGGTTACTCCTTATTTTACGACAACTTTTCAGAACTTTTTGGATGTAACCATCAGGATGGTCAGAGAGTCGCTGGAGCATTGTAGGAGTGTACAGAGGAGCATTGATTGTAGCATATAAAGACACCTCCTCACAGCTGGTGGAGCAGAGCTGCAGCTGCTGAATGCACAAAGACTGATACAGACAAGCTGATGTTGGGCTGTTCTCTCACTGCTTTCTGTTCCTCTGCTCCCCGACACCCTCCCATCCTGCATTTCTTACTCTCTGCTCTTTAGCGTAGATTGTACTTGACAGTGAAAATGTTCAGAAACTGTCGTGAAGGGAAATTTCTTAAAGGAGAGAAATGTAGACTCCCATGAATGCAGTTGGTATAATTCATATTTCTACTATTCTCATTGTATTTGAATTAAAATGGTAAATCTAATCTGATGCTGAGGCAAGACATTGACCCTGAAATATTCTCTAAAGCTGTCTGAATCAGTGCATGGATAGGTTTAATGATCAGCAGTATTTGAGTGGTATTAGTCATCTCAGTACAAATAAACCACAGTGAAAGTGAGCAAATAAAGGACGAACTTTAAAGTGCTTTTTCTTCATCAAGCATTGAGTATACGCCAAGCATTTATCTGTCTCTCCTCTGTCCTTCTTTCTCTTCCTCAGGGGGAGTCAGTTAAGTATTTCCTGGACAATTTGGAAAAGCTCGGACTGTCGGTAAGTCCTGCCCTCACTGTCCAGGCCCCACCAACCACAAATCCAGAGCAGGCATGATAGCAGATTGCTGTGATAGCTTTCAACTCAGTTTGTTAAAAAGAGAAGTCACAATGTTTTTTTTTTTTTTTCTTGTCCTCAATCATTTCACCACACTTGCTTATTTTTGTGCTTACTCTGTGAAACACGAGGTTGAGCAAAGCTTTCCCAGCTCACTGCGTCCCATCCTCCAGGTTTCAACTTCTCTCGCTTTGACTTGTACGTACTATTCATTTATCCTCGCCTGACCCGGTGAGGGACTTAACCGTGCTGGTCTCTCCCTGCTTCAGTGTAGTGGGGGTATTGTTGTCTTCACTTAAATGGTGGGATTATTTTGTATTCTGTGTGCTTTAAGTACTTCCTGTGTCTTAAAGCCAGCTGCGTTGCAAACTTCCTACAGGATGGCGACTATAAACTTGAACTTAAACTTAACCTTGCGTGATAACAGATCAGAGCGCTGAGCCGACAGTGTGGCACACACCCAAAAGTGGGGGAAAAACACTTCAGAGACAAGTCCCAGACAAGTCTCTGACACTACTATAAGACCTAAAATCAATTAATCAATCTGTGTTTCTATAGCGACAATTCACAACAAGTGTTATCTCAAAACTTGTACTCTATTAACAAAGACCCACCTCTTGTCAGGTCAGACCCACTAATATCTCATCTTCAACCACATGAGTATAACACATTGCAGCATTTGGGAAATTAAATAGAAAACATCATTTAATTGGTAGAAACCTTGAGCTAGGGCTGGGTGATAAACCGAAAATTTTAACGATACAGGAAGTTACAACAAAAACAAACGTCATTTTGCCCAGGTCAATGTATTCAGTGTCAAAAATATAAATAAATCAAAGTTGGTTTGGGATGTGTGTAGGTAGGCTATGGTCTCATGTCCCTTTAAGACGCTGTCCTACGTCGGAGACGTGACTCCACCCCATAACAAAGAGGGTAAGACAGGTGAGGAGATATAGGAAGGTTCAAAAGTTGTAGCGGCTGAAGAAGACGAAGTTAATGTGGGAGGGGGGAGCAGCTTGCAGAGCAGTAATCGTCGATTCATCGTTATCGAGGTGAACTGCTCAATATATCGTGATATTGATCTGAGGCCATATCGCCTAGCCCTACCTTGAGCAGAACCAGACTCATGTAAGACTGTCAGGTCCAGAGCATGTAGTCCTAATTCATGTAGGCTGCAGGTTCATAATTTTACTACTCAAATAGCTGCAGGTTTTGGGAGTTCTGTCTCATCCCAGTGTGCTTTCTGGGACTGTCCCTGTGTCAATATTTAGATCTAAAACGAAAAGGACCTGTTTTAAATAAAAATTAGATTGTTTTTCAAAGCTTAGAAACAACTCCTGCAGGTAAGGCATATTGACTGAAGAGTGATCAGCGTACGTACTATTTAGGACACCATGTTTTTTTAATGGTACTTTTTTTTTGTTATTATCATTTGGATCACTATAAAAGTGAGTGTCCAAGATCATCATTTATCAACACTGAGATTACTAGCTGTCCATAAGTGACCCTTAATGTCAGTGTGTTTCTGCTCAGGGATGTTTCTGTTGCTCGTGCTCTTTCTCCATGTTTTTGAGTATACCTTCAGGACATGATCTCTGGACTTGACAGTGTGTTTGTGTTTGTGTATGAGCAGATCCACACCAGCATGGTCTGACTCAGGGATCCAGGGATGACTCATTGCCTCAGGAATGCAATGAATTAGGATCTGGTGGAGCCAGAGCACAATGACATGTAGCTGAAGGTTGATTGAGAGCACTTTTCGATCATATTTGGTCTCTAACAGCTCCAAGTGCTCTTTCTTTTGCTCTAGTATGATTAATGGTGAGTTCTGGTGTCCTCCAGAACTCACACACACACACTCCCTTAAAGCTTCACTTTTGTTTAGGCTTTGTGGTATTTCAGGAATGCTAAGGGTTCAGCAGGGATGTCCCCAAAGCAGCAGCATGAGGAGTGTGTGTACTGTTTTTTTTAAGTGGAACACAAAGATCCGCCCTTTCCCCCCTTGACAGTCTTTTTCCTGATCGTTTGTTTATGTGTTTGCAGTCACTCATATTACTCATTGCGATGTGTAAAATCATCATAAACTCGATCGTTTTCTTGCAGAATTACCTCCCCAGCCAACAAGATATTCTCCTGGCCAGAAAACCTACAAAAGGCATTCACGAGTATGACTTTGAGATCAAGAACGTGCCCTTCAAGATGGTGGACGTCGGCGGTCAGAGGTCTGAGAGGCGACGCTGGTTCGAGTGCTTTGACTCGGTTACTTCCATCCTCTTTCTCGTGTCCTCCTCTGAGTATGACCAGGTGAGTCAGCCGCTGTGAGGCCACACAAGAAACCCTCGCAGGGCTAGAAAATAGATGTGTGCGAATTGTAAAGTGTATTTAGGGGCATATGTGCTCATAAAAAGAATTATCTGAGGCAACAACTGTTTTTTTCATGTGAATACTGCGTTGGAATTAGTTTTAGGTTAGATATTCGACGGATATTCACTGCGGATCTACCTATGTCTTCTCACTCTCTATAACCAGTAATAGCAACAGCAGCGCGGTTAAATCGACTCAGCATCCTCCCAGGCAACTTCGGATGTTGAATAAGGGACCATCAATAAATTACCGGTTGATGTTCTCAGAAAAGGCAGTTTTCCTTCAACAGCTTCCATGTCATGTGACCAAAAGACCTTAAATTGATTTCAAATAATAGTACTTACGTCGACCAATAAGACAAACATTATTTGATCAGTTTTCATTGTGTCCCTAATAGGGATGGGAATTTATAAGATTTTATCGATATCGATGCCGTTAAAGATTCTGCTTATTGATTCAATTCTTTAACGATTCCCTTATCAATGCCTTTCTTTGATTAAAAAAAGTAGACTTTAGGTTTTTAATGTTAACTCAGATAACAGAAAACAGATGTATGCCACCTTTGATGAGAGGCTAAAAATAATCAAACGACAAACTGTTTGTACAGCATTTACCTGGTCGGTATGAAGTCAAATTAGGGTGACAATATTCTGGATCCCCAAAAAGAGGACACAGCTACTTGGGGTAGGGTCGCATGAGAAATTTTGAGGGTTTTTCTTGTCAGGCCGAGTGTTTTTTATGCACTTCTAACTCAGTCCATGCTACACAAACTCAAAACTTCTATACAAAACTTATCGTCTTTCTTAGTAAAATGAAGCCATGCTTTAGATCGTTTCTGCCTACTTTACTTTTTCCTCAGTCTCTGTTCTCGTTCACATAGACTGCCTCTCACAGGACCGTTTTCCAAAGCACCTGAAAAAAAGGGATCATTAAGAGAATCATTAAAATGAAATGTAAACGATGTCGATGGATTTAACCATTTGGAACCGTTTTTCAACAAGAACCGGTTCTCGATTCCCATCCCCAGCCCTTAAAGTTCTTTGTGTGCTCCTTACTTTTTCAACTTAGGAGCACATGTGCTCCATGTTAAATGAGTCAGTGTCAAGCCCCGCCTCGAGTGTCCCAGTCACCTCTTACCCGAGCACACATATTTGTCCTCCTTCAGGTGCTGATGGAGGACCGGCTGACCAACCGGCTAAGCGAGTCCCTCAACATCTTCGAGACCATCGTCAACAACCGGGTGTTCGGCAACGTCTCCATCATCCTGTTCCTAAACAAGACAGACCTGCTGGAGGAGAAGGTGAAGCAGGTCTCCATCAAAGACTACTTCCCAGAGTTCTCAGGGGACCCGAGGAGCCTGACAGACGTCCAGCGCTTCTTGGTCGAGTGCTTTCGCAAAAAGCGCCGTGAGCAGCAGCAGAAGCCGCTCTACCACCACTTCACCACAGCCATCAACACTGAGAACATCCGGCTGGTGTTCCGCGATGTCAAGGACACCATCCTACACGATAACCTCAAACAACTGATGCTACAGTGAGAAGATGTACGGAGAGGAGGAGGAGGAGGGCTGAGTGGAGGAGGAGGAGTGGGTGTCACGGTGCCTTTCTTAACACACACACACACACTCACCCCAGCCTGCAGGGGGAGCCGGCTGTCACCCTCCAACCATCCCTCCTTCCTCCTTGACTTTGATCGACTCCTCATTTTTGAACTTTGACTGTGTATTTAACCCACCACTACTACAGCCAACCCCCCCCTCCGTGTCTGCTCTCTGCCTTACTGAGCTTGCTCATCGTGACTTTTAACAGCGGCCTTTGGCTCAGAGCCCGAACCATCCTTTGAAAACCACTGTAAATGACTTTGAACTCCCGCCCTCTACCCCACTGTCCACACTCTGCAGCGGACCTCCCCCCCGAATATCCTTCTTTGGATTTCCTCCTTGTGTGTGTGTGTGTGTGTCGCTCCGACTTAAACTCACACACTGTTCTGTCTTCTTTGCTGCTCCGATTGCTGTTGTTGTGGGGGGAGGAGGAGGAAGAGGGGGAGGGTTTGTTTTATTGTTGTGTGTCGTTACTGTGTAGCCTTCAAGGCCACCCGCTCATGCTGGCGACATCAGTTGCTGTAGCCAGATGTTGCCTTTTTTTTTTTTTTTTTTCTTTTACTTCTCTTGTTTTGTCTCTAGTTTCTGCCTTTCCACTGACACTTGGTGACGACATCACTGGGCTGGGGTGGGGATTTCCTCCTGAGGCAGCCAGACAGGAAAGAACAGTGCTAACACTTGCGCGCGCACACACAAACACACACTCGCACACACCTACACAAATAGGAATTCCTGTTCTCAGAGTCCACTTAATTCTTTTCTAATCATTAAGTTGCATTTTTTTAATATATGAATATACTGTGCAGAAATGACGCATTTCTCTTTAACTTATATTTTATAGAGGTTTACCTGTAGTGGATTTGTGGCTGCTGATGGACTCTGTGACATGAGGGGTTTAGAGAGCACGGACACGTACATGTAGATCACTTGTAAAGAACGAAACACCGTGTTTTAAGGCGAACTAGAGCTGCCGGGTTAGAAGTAATATTTTACTTTTTCTCAGGGCACATTGTGAACCACTTTGCCAGCTGAATCTCACGTGCCTCTGACCTCCTCGTGGTCCGAGCGACAGACCTAAACGCGTCTTTCTCTGCGTTCGCCGGCAGAGAAGGATGATCCACGGCCAAGGTGATAAAACATGTTAAAAAAATAGAGGGACTAACGGGAATTGTAAATTTTTTTTAGACAAGGAATCGAATTCAAAACACAAAAGATGAAGAGATTTGATCTAATGCTGGGTTCGAGTTACCTCGGAAGTCAGAAGTCCGAGCTGAAAATGACGTCAGTTCCCAGCGTTTCGGTTACCAAGTCGGAAAAAGCAAAATCAGACAAGATGGCTACATCTATGAAAGTTATTTTTGCACTTGCCTTGTCCAAATATAAGGTAAGAGCTAAAATAACTTTTGTAGATGTAGCCTCTGATTTTGCTTTTCTCCAACTTGGTAACTGAAATGCTGGTAACTCAAGTGTTGCGTAATTTTAAGCTCCGACATCTGACTTCCGAGGTAACTCGAACGCAGCATAAGCCTCGACATCCAAACATCTACTCTGAGTCAGAAACTGTTTAAAGCTTTTGTACATTTTTAATGATTGAAAAAGAGAAGGCAGGTATGAGCTCGACCAAAATTCCTCAAATTTTTACGGCCTCTGTTTCAAAAGTGAACACAGAAAACACTGATTGAAGCTTTTATCGTGATTGGATCTCAGTATGTCTGAAGGTGGAGCTTCTAGGAAGCCGAGACGAACCCTCAGGGCCGATCCTGGTGCTTTATGACTCTTGTAGTCCAACCGTCTCCCAAAATGTTGTTTGGCCTTCAAGACGAATTCCTACTGCCAGTTTTTGTATAAAATGAATGTGTCCTTCCCGGTGACGGGTCCACGATGTGCTTTTGAAGCACATCTTTTTTCCTGCATTGCCAATATTTTCATATGAATGGAACGAAGATGAAGCCCAATGACAAATCATGTGATGAACTCTAACTATGCTCCTTTTCTAAAAGGTACCGTTCAGAGCTATCTGCCTCTCAGTCCATGTTTAAAAAAGGGATAAAGCCAGCCTGTATGCCACTTCTACATTTGAAGCTGCCCTTACTGTCATGTTGAAGTTATGTATAGTTTACACAAAGTGTCCTCTAACTCCCTGTTTTATGTCAAATGCATCAGTATCCATCTCTGACACCGAGCTTACCTTCCTCTCTAACAGCAGCTGTACCCTCCACGCACATTTGTATTTGTGACCGTGAGTGTTAGATTTGGTTTTTCTTTCTTAAGCAGCTGTTTGGTGGCCCAACCAAAAGTGCTGAAAGGCACAACTATCTCGAGATATGTGGAGACCGCAAAAACCAAATCCCTCCTCGCGTGTGTGTGAAGACGATAACAGGCGCCACTGGTCCATGCCGACATCTCAGCTTAAGTAGAAGAAGGATGATAAACCACTCAGATTCACTTACAAGTATTTGCTGACTTCATTTCAACCACAAAGTATTAACGACTGTAGGAAGTTAGTTTCATTTTTGACAGATGTTAGCTGTGGATGTGAGAGCTAAAGCTAAGACTGAATGAGATTGTTAAGCAAAGCCAGTGGAGTGTTATCATCTGACACGTCATCTCCAACATCTGCCTTTCACGGATCCAAAATCAGGTTCACTCTGAATGCAGCTGTGACCCTCATGGCCTTGAAATGATGACCAAATTTTTTTAGATATTTTCACAAATGTCACAAAAATCGTCCAAACTGTGAACAGCTGAATTGTGGTTGGAAGAAAACCATTTTAAAGTACCATCATCAGTATCGATCATAAGGAGGGGAAGTTCACTGATCACTGTTTTTACATCGCTGTAATGAACAAAGACTTGAACATGTGAATTGTTCACTCGTGTTTTTCCTCTGAGGGAGGCTCCCCTGAATAAATAATGCAGACTCGGCTGCCCGGCAGTCTGCTGTCTCTCTTCTGGTTATGATATCAGAATTTTTTGGACTTTTTGTCGCCCACAAAAAGGCGAGTGACACACTATTAGTCGTCTTTCTCTACGTTGCAAACGTCATATCGCGTGTCTTCCTCTTTCCTCTGGATGAATCAGAGTGAAACTAGATGAACAGCCCTTAACATCAGGTTTTACATGACTAGAAATGACGTCTCTGACAGGACAGCCTTTTTTTGTTTGTTTGTTTGTGTTTAGTCAATCTGCGTTGTTCAGCGTGTCCTACAGACCAACAAAGAGCCTGCTTTCACTCAAAATGAATGTTAGCATGGAGCAGTGAAGTCACATGGCTGATTCTGATCTGTTTCCTTAACCAGAAAAGAGGAAGTTGACAAACAGGACTGTCGAGCAAACTCGCTGTTAATTTCTCGAAACCATCATCAGCCTGTCTGCATCTGGATGAAGCGTCCTCTGTGCGAGTGAGCACGAGAGAGGGGGACAAACGCGCTGTGTCTCATGCGAAGCCGAGCAGAGGCCTCTTTGTCCGGTTGTCTGACTGTTGTGTCATGTCATCACTTCAGCCTGTAGCTCGACACACAGACACGCCATGAAGTCATTGCAGAACCTGGACCTTGAGATGCTCTTTGTCAACACTGAACAAACTTCTTCTGATACTAAGAATACAGACGGTGTGTTGTGACACGGGATAATAAAGATGATCTCAAATATTTCAAGTTTAAAAGCAAGAAGCAATTTTCCATCTCAGGACTGAGCTTTGTCCAGTATTTGACCTCGAATCTTCATAATTTTCACTTCATTCCAGAAATAAAGGCTGATTTATTTTACTGTTGGTATGTTAAATAATAATTTTGTTAAATAGCGACATGTAAAACTAAAACCTGAAGGACTCATACCCACCCGTTTGTGTTTGTCATAGCTCTGGATCCTGAGTAAACAAACCAGAGTTTAGACAAAGAGGGGGGGTGTGAGGCTAAGAGCTGACAGATGTGAAGAGGTGTAGGCTTTCTTTACAGTGTGTGAACGGTCTCAACCAATCAGCAGCAGAAAAGTTTGACAGCAGGAGGTCGATAGGCTGAGGAAGAAACCAAACATGGTTAGTTTACATGCAAAGAATTCATGAGAAACTAATGGATGAGACATGACAACAGTTTTCTCGCTAAAACCATGACATTAGTGCAATTTAGTTAAATGTGGTGGTTTTGACCTCAATCAAAAATAAAATGTCTGTAAATCCATGAATCTTAAAAGTCATCACACAGCCGACTTAAAGGACCCACATTTTCCCAGAGCACTTCCTATTAGTGGTTTTTATGATGCAACGGTTAGACAAGAATGTAAAATGTGGAAAATCATGATCTTTTTTCATAAAAGTCCTCATGTATTTAAAATCAAATGTCTGTACTCTCACATATTTTTCTCCTTTAGTCTGAAACTGTTAATGAAAAAATCCAAAGACCCTCCTTAAAAGAGAAACTGCAGCCATGTGAACCTGCTCCAATCACAGCTGATGTTCAGCTGATGTGCCCTAAAGCCAGATTTACTTTTCTGTCACCTTTTTTTTTTACTTGTTGGAAAATGTAAACCTCAAAAACTGACTGAGACAAGATGATCCGATTCGAAACCACACTTTGAGTTTCCTCCTCATGCTTGTCTCTCACCTCTGTGTCAACTTTGTCATTGTTCCCAATCTCTGGGCTTTTTAACATCTTATACTGACTGTTCTGTGTATGAGTCAATGTAGACACATAGTCACAATCTGCCTTTCAGCTCCCACACGGACATGTCACCAGATCCCGTGGGGGCATGGGAAAAAGTTCTAGCGACATGTCCCATGTGACTGTCGTCCGTTTCTGTGATTTGAGTGTAAAGAGGAACTGGCCGTGTTCGATGATGGACAACATTCCTGTTTTTGCCTTAAACTTGTACTCTCGTGTCTCTGCTATGTGCTCTTGTGTCCGTACTGTGGATCTTAACCGATCAGTGAAAACGTGTAATAATGTGCTCCACTGTAAATACTTATCCAAGGAAACCAGTATCACCTTAAACGGTTCGAACTATGCAACAAAAGTGTCCCACAGCCATTTCTGTGTCTAATATTATGTTGGAAATAATCTTGTTTGAACTGACCGATGATTCTCTTAAATCGATTTGTTTTCAATCAAATGAGCAAAAATGAGAACCTCAAATGATCTGCCAAATGTGTCCATGTTTAGTGCCTCCTTTCTCCCCGTTCTGTCTCTATTGTGCAGACATGCTAACAAAGGTTTATACTGTGTTGTAGGTTTTTGGAAATGATGCCGCCTACAGATTCTGATGTCCGTGTGTAAAATACGACGGGGCATTTCTCCTCCTGGTTTTCTCATTTGTAGTCACATGAGCTTTCAATGTACAGTAACTTATGCTTTTGTCTTCTAATCTCCGAGAAAATACAGTATTAAAAAAAAACAAAATATTTGTCTTTTTCATCTTAAAATTATGTTTTTTTTTCCATCTGTGTGTGTAGAAGTGTGGATAGGGAGCCATGGGTCACATACTACCCCTGCTCAGCCAGCAGAGAGCGCTGTTTGACTTGACAACAGCATCAAGTCATCAGGAATGATTTTTCCCTTTCATTCTCAAGTCCCCAAATTTTATCTTCAAACTTAATTGCAACCTTTGATCAAGTAGTTTGAAAGAAGCTGTAGTCCACACACAAGGAAAACCGAGGTTCAAGGTGTTTATTTAGGAAATACAAAATGAAAGTAGAACAAAGCAGAACAGGCAGGACCCGCCAGTCATTCAATTAGATAAAAAAAATCTGAAAAAGTTATATATTATAAAATTAATGTTAAATTATCAATATGGAAAAGTTAAATAAAGGTCATACAGTGATCGAGGAACTAAACTTCAAGTCATGTCGTCGTAGGTGGAGGAATATTGTCTCTTCTTCAAGCAGCAGGAGTGATGATGTGGGAGGGTGCTTCATGCGGATTGTGTGACTTTTACACTATTGTGTGAATTTAACTGTACATAATAACCACATGGTGACACTTTAATACTCACATAGTCAGGGAATGAGCATTAGAAGTATACATTTCAAAACGAGCAGCCAGTTCAGGAAGTCCTGAAATAGACATTCTCTATCGTGGCCAACAGGGGGCAGCTTTAAGCGACGTCTTGCAGGTTAACAGCGTTATTTACTCAGCTTACGAGGTCCGTGTCCAAGTCCACACAGCATGATGTTCAATTTGTAAATCATGATTGTATTTCAAGTAAAACGGACAAAAAAAGTGAGTAAAAGTCACCACCAGAGTGAGGTTCGAATCAGGATAAAGGCCCAGAAATGTAAAAAAACATAATACAGGGAGGGCTAAAATGCCAACATGGGATCTGAAAGGTGTTCAGTGTAAACCACATTTTTATATCATGATTGCTTTACATGGTCATAGGTGAGTCACAGGCGTACAAAAGGAAAGATGTCAAGTTTCTGAGGCTCATGCAAAGGGAGAACATGAACCTCCAGAGTCAGCTGGAAGTCTGTAATTCACTCTGTTACATCGATGAACTGTGATGCAGTATTGCTTTACTCACCACGACCAAATATGTGCGTAAGACCAGCAAATAGACGACATCTGCGTACACATGACATGACTACGATTCAAGTGAAGCTTTAGCAGTGGTGACGTCATTCTCGATGAAAAGTGCATAAAGGGAGATTGTCTTCCGTTCGTTTTGGTTTTCCCTCGGCAGCTCAAACAGGAAGTGTGTTGTTGTTATGAAGGAGTGACACCATGTGCTCGGCATGGATGTGTCTTTGGAGTCTGAAGAAGGGACTGCCTCCATCCTGCGAAGGACTGAGCTTCAAGTTTGTCAGAATGTTAAGAGTGACACCTGAGATTTGGAGCCAAGTAGCAGCTGTTGTGGTTTCGTCCTAGTGACGCTGCAGCCTCTTCCAGTGCAAGTTGGTGGTTAGTTAAGAGGTGATGTCATGCTGTGGGGGTTAGATCACAGAGGACTTGTCCTGATCCACAGCTTGTTTGACCGGACTGTCCTCTGGAGTGAAGTCCACCTCTAAAAAGTCTTGCTGGTCACTGTCCTGAGTTATTCTCTCCTCTTCGGCTTCGCTTCCTCCTGTCTTCTTATTCCTGTTTTGGCAGAATCTAGACTTGGCCGGTCCAACCAGAGCCAGACAGATGGCACTGAGGCCCATGCCCACTGCACAGGAGTAGAAGGCAGCACCGTAGTCCTGTGTGACATCTACCAACACACCTACAGGGGAAAAACAAAAGAGGTGTTAGAATCGAACAGAAAACAGATCAGTGAGACCCAGTAAAGGCAGCAAAGGTCTTGTACCTCCTAGTGGTGGCCCAGCCAGCCCAGCAAAGCTCTGGATGAAGACATACACCCCCACAGCTGATGTCATTTTCTGGATGCCCACCACGTCCTCCTCTGCCAGCATCGGGATGTGAGTGGAGGCAACTGTGCCCATGAAGAAGCCATAGAGGGCACAGCAGACCACAAGCCCCCAGAACTCCCATACTTGAGTGAAGGCCACCAGCACCAGGCACAGCAGAACCACACATCCTAGCAGCACTAGAGTCTTCTTGCAGCGGACTTTGTTTAAGACCACCCCGATGGACAAGCGGCCGAAGATCTCGGCCACAGCCATCACTGAGAGCATGTAAGAGGCCATGCCAGGGTCTACTCCTTTGCTCTTGCTGAGCTCAATAACGTAGAGCTGCGGGGCAAAGAAGCCCAGTGTGGCAAACAAACCAAAGAGGGAGTACCAGATGAAGGCACAGTCTTTAAGCACTGAGAAGTCCAGGAGCTTAGGGCTGGAGGGCTGAAGAGGACCTGCCTCTGCCTCCACAAGTTCTTTGTCATTCTTCTCCTTGATTGGGGTCGGCTCCTGGTCCACTTTGTCCTGTGCTGCCCACTCCTTCAGTGCCTTACTATCTGCCCCTGCAGTCCTCAGATCTACATTTGACCCAGAGAGAGATGTGACACCAGAGTCCTCGGACCTCCTGGAGCCCCCTGAACTGATGGAGGTTCTGGTTTGTTCATTCTCTAGCTCATAGGCACTCTGAAGTTGCTTCAAACAGAGGGACTCTTCTTCAGATTCTTTGTCCTCTTTTACAGGTTCGGGTACAATGATTATTGGACGTAGAAAAACTCCACAGCCAATCACAGAAGCCTGGATAACGCCAAGGATGACCAGACAATAGCGCCAGCCAATGTGCTCCTTCAGTGCAGTGAAGGCTGTGGGGACAGGGTGGAGAAAGGTCTTCGTATGAGAGTGGTCATGATCCACGTACAAGGTTCTCTAGACACCAGAACTACTTACATAGATACCAGGATCAGATTGTTAAGTGTACTAGTACTAACTGCAACTGACATGAATTTTGAATGACTGGTTTTTGATGGTGTTGATTGTCCAGTATTCTAGGCTGCGTTCAATTTGTTTACCAAATCGGAAAAAAGTTAAATCGGAGGCAGAAACACGATGGCTACATTTACAGAGTTATTTTGGCGCTTGCCTTGTCCGAATATAAGGCAAGTGCTTACATAACTTTCGTAGATGTAGCCATCTTGTTTTAGGCCTCCGATTTTGTGTTTTTCCGACTTGGTAACCAAAACGCTGAGAACTCGTGTGTGATGTCATTTTCCGACATCTGACTTCCGAGGTAACAGCAAAAGAATGTCATATTTCTGTGGACCTAGCCACTTTATTTGGCTAATTCTGAGAGAGAGCTGATTGTTTTTACAGGTAGGGATGTTCATCTGTGAACTAGGCTGTATTCGACCTAATCCGAACGCTCACCTGGAGCAAACGCAAATATTGCAAAGGATTCCCCGGATGAAGCAACGGAGGTGACAAGGGCGCGCCTCCTGGAGAAGTACTGGGCTAGAATGGTGACGGTGGGCAGGAAGGTCAGGCAGTAGCCGAGGCCTATAAAGAGAACAAGAGAACAGGGGACATGACAGCCACTGGCCCGCATAGCAGTGACACTGCATGGCTAGGGTTGTGGGTCAAAGATCAAGGTGTCAGGTCACTCCTTTTGCAGGCTGCGTGTGCGGATTCAACTTTGCTACACCTGCTGCTGCAAGAAAAAAGGCATTTAAAGACAAAAAGAAAGAGAGAGACAGGGGAGAGAAGAAGAAAAAGAAGAAGGGGGTGTCAAATTAGCTGTCATCCATTTCAGCTGCAGATATGGTGGGAGAGCTAGCAGTGCTTTCTGTCCAAAAAGAAATCGTTAATTCCTTGTGGTACAAAACTCATTTGACCAATTTGTTTATCATCCAATCTTCTACTTAATTTTTCCTTTAACTCATTTCGTCCTCCTCAGCCACTTCCTGTTTCGTCAATCCTGAGCTGTAAGAAAACTTAAAAGGATTTTTTTTGGGTGGTTTAGCCACTTTTGGTTACTGTGAAATGTTTAGAAGAGGCTATCCACCTCTGAAAGAATCAGTTTTTGTCATTGACACTGCTAGGGGTCCCTTCAGTTCTTACAAATCAGGCTGTTAAAATAAACAGACATGAAAGAGTGAAACATAGATATGTGGGTAGATGGTAGATGCGAAAATTGCGAGATTGAACATTACCTGAGATAATGCCGATGGTGATGTACATCTCTTTGATGGATTTGCTGAAGGCTGAGGTGATGGTTCCCAGGGAGATGAGGAAGCCTCCCACCATCACCACTGGACGATGGCCGAAGCGATTGCTCAGAACGGTGGACAAAGGGGCTGATGAAGGCAAAAAAATATCAAAATCATTTCAAATCTGGCACTGATCCGTTTCATAGTGCCCTGAGATGTGCAAGTTGGCATCAAAAAATTATACAATGAGATATGAAATACTGTCTAACCGGTGAAGGTAAAGATGAAGACACAGATGGAGATGACCCATGACACTCGGCTGTTGCTCTCCCCAAACTCTTCCATCAGGTCTTGAAGGAAGACCCCAAGGCTCTTGAGGGTCCCATAGGTGCAAACTTCCACCACGAAGAACGCAACAGCCACAGCCCAGCCCCAGCCACCATCAGGAACCGCTGGGTAAACATTTGGACCCAAACAACCCTTGGCATTGGGGACCCTCATGGCTATGTCAGGCTGCCTGGAAGGACAAACATAGTTGACATCAGTGCAATCATAACAGTCCAGCTTTAAGTTGAGCAAAGCAAACCTAGAGAGGAGTGGTCTTAAGAATTCAACAAGTCTGGTACAAAAGACAAAAGACAATAAGATGCTCTTGAAGTGGATGCAGTTGTATTTTTTGACCGAACTAGACAATGCAAACTATGACTCTCTTACATTTGACTGTACACTCTAAAGACACAACCTGTACCTTATGTTCCCATGTACTTTTATCTGATTGTAGGCCATAGCACTAAGGGCCTTGCTAAGGACACACACTGGCGAATGTAGTTCGCACCTTACAGATGTGTCTCATGTGGGATTCCCGCCCAATACATACTGGCGTATAGCTACCCCTATATATATATATATATATATATATATATATATATATATATATATATATATATATATATCAAAGTTCACAAGGTCACCAGGTCACTTTATTTGCCATTAGACCTAGAAACCACGTAGAGTCAATCGAACCCAACGTTCTGACCCAATTATTGGGTTACTCTCAGAAAAATTACCCATAATTATTAACCCATTCAAATAACCCTCAAATTGGGTTACAATAGAATCCACATGACCCAAGAAATGGGTATGGATCTGAAAAATAACCCAGAAATTTAACTCAACGCGTAAAACCCAGGAATTGGGTTGAAGAAATACCCCAAGAGTTTTTAGAGTGTAACGGGCCAGCTCTGTACCAGAGAGTCTGTTATGGTACAACAAAAAAACAGTTTGTCAATCCATCAAAAGGTCTCCGCAGTCGATAGAAAAACATTGTTTTGCTTCAAATGTCTGAACTCTGTCCCATAAAAACCTTCACCGTGGAAATCTCCAATCATGAGTTTAGAGAAAACCACCAGCTGGGACATAAAGAAACAATACTGTAAGCTGAGGACTCACACATAAACATACAAAGCTATGCGAGGCAGGTGTGTAAACTTCACGGGCACATGCACATGCACACACACACACCTTTTTGTCTAACAGAGAGCTAAACTCCTTCACCTCAGACCCAGACGGGGCTCCTTTCTCATGTAGCATTTATGTCATAACAAACAATACATTTAAATGTCCCTTTTTAAGTTATGATGCAATTTCTGTTTACCGGGAAGCGTGGATTTGACAAAGGTGGTTAAGTTTGGATCACAGGAAATAATCACAGTGTTTACATTTGGGTGATGTGACAAACAGTACATCTGGAAGATAATAACTAGGCTGTCAGTTAAAGGTTATTCATGTTTGCTGTGGCACTGTCACTTCAGCACTAAAAGGAAAGAGTGCACTGCAGAGGCATTACCGTATGAGCCTGGTAGAGCCCTCAGGTCTTCAGGTGGTGGTCTTTTAATTGTTCCCAAAGTAAAAACTAAAACATACGGTGAATCATCGTTCCAACATTATGGTCCCCATCTGTGGAACAGCCTACCTGCAGACCTGAGAGCGACACCTAATGCTCATATTTTTAAAGGAAACTAAAGATCAACCTTTTTAGTCTGGCTTTTAGTTGATTTTTTAAAAATCTTTTATTCTGCATTATGCGATTTTACACTATTTTAGTCCTAGAGTAACTATTTTGTGTTTTATTACCTTTTTAAAATTAATTTTTTTTATTGCTTGATTTTAAGACTGTTATCTAATTATCTTTTAATGCTTTATCATCTTTATTATCTTTATTATATTTTATCATGGTTTTATCGTTTTAGTCCTAGATCCAGAGTTTCCTCATCTTTTTTTTAACTCAAGATAGCATTTCCTCGGTCATCTGTGGCAAGTTGAAGAGTCCTCACCTGGTCTTTTGAGTGTGCATCTGTGTGTGTGTGAGTGCTGTGTGTGTTGCATGGGGGTTGAGAGGGTGGGTGGGGTCTGGTAATTGTAGTTATATTTATTTTACTTCATTGTTTTTAATATCCTGCGTGAATGGACAGCACTTTGTGCTATATTCCATGTATGAAAAGTGCTTTAAAAGTAAAGTTTGATTGATTGATTGATCTTCTGATCCTGTCAGTGACTTGGTAGCATTTCTTCATTTATTAAAAATCTCACACAAGCAATAGAGCTGAAGAGTAAGGTTATAATAAATCATTTAATGATCCATCCACACTGATATTAAAATGTTTTAATCTTCTTTCTGATTAAATCATTAGTCTTAATGGTCCTGTCTAGTCCAGACCTTTTAGTTAATAGGAAGTCGGGCTATTCTTCCCGCAGTGCAGACTAGGAGGAGCAATGATGTCAATATGCGCATCCCTCGGGTTTCTAACCCACCAACAGACAAGCAAGTGGGTTTACAGACAAGCAAATGTACGCTGACATTTTTTGACAACCTGACTGCATGTTTTCCTAATTAAATGCTATTTTTTTTCTTAATCTTGACCACCAGAACCTGACACTAGTTGTCGTTTCTAGTAAAGCGGATCCCTCAGACTGCCACATCTGTGCCTACCGGTGACCTGAGCCCACACAGCATCCAAGTTCACATCCTACTTACCGGCAGAGTTGAGCAGAGAGGTGGAAACAGCAGCCTTTGGTGCAGCAACCAGGTCGTTATTTCATTTTTACAAAAAGGAAGTTAATACGTCTGGGTTTTATACCAAGATGGGAGTGAAAATATATACAACGGATTTTTCTTCTATTACAATCTCTAAGTCACTCGCTGTTTCGCTAAAAAAAACCGTTAAATATTCCGTAAAAAATAGCTTTTCTCTAATAATATTTTCGCTCCATCACAACCAGCCGCATCTTTTGTCCTCAGTGACTTATTTCCTGCCTGTTTTGGCAGCTCTTTACCGGCTCAAGCCGGTATTCAGACGCGCAATCCCGCGGCTTTCATGAACGCGCGGGCAGGGCGTCCCTCAAGAGTCAGCTTCTTCTTCTCTCGCGTGCTCAGAGCAGCGCCACGTGCTTTACTGCAGCACATCTAACGTCAAACACTATCATAAAAGCATAAAATAATATGTCCTTATTTGGTCACAGGAGGTTAGGCTATTAAAATGAATTGACTTCCACTAGGGCGAGGATGTTTCTGTCCTGTTTGGTCATGAAGGACAGACTATGAAGTAAAATAGAACAAAAATGACTGAAATTTCTCTACACCCTGGACCTTCCTCCTGAAATTTACGCATTGTTACTGAGCATTTTTCTGGTCTAAAAGAGGTCTAATAGACGTCTAAATGTTGCCTAGACTACTGGTCTAAAAACAGGCCACCACAGGTCTAAAAATGAAAGTTTAGACCAAGTCTAAATCTGGGCTATATCTATACTACACTGTATATTGCCCATTGACTATCATAATTATTATGGTTAAGTACTTGGATATCAGTTATGTGACTCACAGTTGCTTTTTGAAATAAATAGTTATGGAAGAATGGGTTAAAGTGTAACGTCTAAATTCTGTCTGAAAATATACAGAATCTAGACTGTTGAAATTAGGTCTAAAAATAAAAAAACTAGACGCCTAATAGCCGTCTATTGCTCAGTCAGTACTATGATTCTTCTCTCCCTGTGTAACAATATATATATTTGTATGTATATTTTTTTCATCTGTGCCTTTCCTTTCCTGTTCTTTTCCAGTTCTCTTAATTTATTTCACTCTTTACATGTATTTTGAAAAACTGAACGGATTCATAAAAATGAAGTTTAAAAAAAAAAGAAAAAATGAATTGACTTCATCTTTTAACCCCTTTGTATCATATATTATACATACTTTTATATACTTCTATCAAATCAATATGGTCAACAAATTACTAAAAAAACACCTGAATACAGTCCGATAAATGATATAAAAAAATGTCCTCCTGTAGTTTATCAGTTTCCAAAAACATCTAATGTTTCAAACGAGATAAATAAATTTATTTGTTAAATTTTAAGGACATTTTGATTTTTTTTTTTTTGGTTTTCAGTAGTGAGTGAAATAAACATTTCAGCTCCAAAAAATTTTGAATTTTCTGGCCATAATTTGTGGTTTCAGGCATTAAAAGGTTAAACTCTCATGTTTGACATACTCAAGCACTTTTCGACTCCACTGACAGAAACATAGGAAACAAGATCACATAAAGCAGGCTGCCTGACATTATGGTGGGATTTAGGTGATAAATAGGATGAATTCTCACAAGTGAAAGGGAGAGTCATGGGTTTCAGTGGATAGTGAAGGAGCCTATTTTTTCTATCACACAGTCAGTCAGCAGTTGACTTCCTTGCAGCTCAGGTGTGCGTCTGTGAACAGGAGGTGCACAGTTGGAATGAACAGGTTTCATCCGGCTAAAAAGACAGCAGCATCCAGTTCCCACCGAGGACCAGATCTGGCCAGTCAGGCTCAGGATAACACAATGACAGAGTTTTTACAGCTTCCAGATATATATTTACTAATAATAACAATAAAAAATAATATGTTAGAGGTTATAACTCTGTCTCTCTTCCTGTCCCTATCTCTTTAGTCATTTATAGTGTTTATTTTCCGTCATACCTGGAGCAATTAAAGCAATAATAAGATGTGGGAGGCACCTGTTTAATCAAATTACATCACAACTCACATTTGGCTTTTAGACAAACTTTTACTGACTTATACAGCCAATAAAAGTCTCTTTGTTCAGTGTGTAGCCAGGATAAGCATAAAAATATGGGACCAGATTATTCATAATTTTTAAAACTCTGTCCTCAAAGGCTCTAGAAGAATCTACTTAAAACAAACAAAATGCCATAATACCTTTCTTACATTATAAAATATATTAGAAATTTTTGCTCATACTTTAAGATTCATCAGAGGCTGACACAGCTTATAATTAATGTTGCAAGTCTTTCATATGTATTTAGATCAGTAATCTGTTATCAACTCACCTGTCCCCTCAGCTGTTCCTCTGCTTGGTGGAATGTTTTCAAAGGTGGTTGCAACACCTTTCCATGAGCGCACTACAGCCTCAAGCAAGGTGAGAGGTGACCAGAGAAAGTCCAGCCCTGAAATCTGATTGGCTAGTAAACTTGTCATAATTTGTTGAGAAAGTTGTCAGGGGTTGAGGGAAAGAAAAGAGTTTATCTTCTGTTCTCTGCATTTAATTTCACACTAGAGTGCTGAATGGAAAAGAAGTTGAATTTTAAACCTTTTCCTTTAGGTTCTTATATTATGCAACGTGAAATTTAATAATACATCACTTAAAGGAAGGATACTGTCATGTCTCTGTTTCTATCTGAGATATTCTACTGGTGTGCTCTCAGTGAATGTAACAAAAGTCCAAACAGTTGCATAACCGGGGTTCATAAAGGACAGGACTCACTCTCGTAAAACTCGTTCAATGTGTCAGTGAATTTATCTGGCTGCCATGAGGCATTCATAGAGATTTTCCTTTTTCAACTTAGATCCTTTTTGTTTCAAATTAACAATATTTCAGTGTGTGATTTGTATTATTTAGCCATCATTTATCATTATAAGTTCCAGTAAAATCTCAAAAGACAATATTCACCTCAGCGATCAGGTTCATAAACCGCCATCCATGATTCTTACACTTGGACTTCCCCTCAGGGACAGGGTCTCTATTATTCTACCCTTGACGTTTAACAGTCAGAAATCACTGTCTATGATTTGTCTTTTGTATCTTCCCTTCTTCTCTTTCTCCTGGGATCGTCGGTCATCCTTACTCCGTCTATTATCTCTGCAGAGATGAAATTCCAGCAGGCTGTTATTGTTTCCCTAAGCTATGACTTAATCAGAACAGTCTCGTGGTTACATGGCTGTGTTGAAAAAGGAAACAGACAGTGAGAAGACTTGATACAAAACAATAACACAGAGCTGGGATTTAGTGTCCCTCAGCTGTCTTTTCTCAAGGTCTTGTCCAAGTGTCTCTGGACTTTCAGGGATGTGGTTGCTCGTTGTGAAATTACAGAAAAACCATATGTGAGACCCCTCGGTGAACTGGTGGACTACAAACCTTGGCAACCATGTATTATTAGATGAAATCTTATCGCACTTATATCCTTGGGAGCTCGGTCGCACATTATCATTTATTCAGATGCTTTCATTCAAATCATGAAAAACTGGAGGCTGACAGCTTTGTGCGTGGAGTTCATGTTCCCTCCAGTGTCCAAACAAACATGTATAAATGTCCACTTCAAATTGACAATAAAGAATATTTATGCTGTTCTGACTTCACTCGACAGGCCCCTGATTGCTGGAGGCAGATAACATAAGACGCGTTTGAAAGGGACGGGAATTTGTACAGGCAAGCTTTGTAGGCCTGTTTGTTAAAAAAGTAGTCTGATAATCCGACCTGAAAAAAAACTCATTAAAAGTTTTAACAGTATTTACATGGGTTTAGACTGACAATACTGGGTTTGTTGATCAAGATTTTCTAGATTTGTGATCTAGAAATGTGTTTTCAACTCAAAACAGCTTTCAGATGCATACAGTTGTCATCGTTTGCTCATCTAACTCCGGGAAATCTGTGTAGCTGATTTATTAACTGATGCTCCATGAAGCAAGACTATTTTTAGCAGATAAAAATGCCATTCTTGCTGTGATTGGTTCTGAAAGTAGGAAAGAGGGTTAGGGCGACATGAAGAGCAAAAAAAATTACAGGAAAGAGATTAAAGTCGAAATTTGGAGATTATGAAATGGCCTAATAAATGTTGAAATTTCAAGATTAAAAAAAAATCTAAATTTTGAGATTAAAGTCGAAATTTTGAGATTAAAAATTGAAATTTCACAATTAAAGTCAAAATTTCAAGATTATGAAATGTCCTGAAAAAAATGGTTGAAATTTCAAGATTAAAAAAATCTAAATTTTGAGATTAAAGTCGATATGAATAAAGTCGAAATTTCACCTTCTTTTTAATTTCGGCTTCAATCTCAAAATTTTGACAATAATCTCGCAATGGAAATTAAAAAAATCTCCCTCCTGTAATTATTATTTTTTCTCTTCTTGTGGCCCTAATCCTCTTTTGTATGATGAAAATGGATTTCATCAATTTTCACACTAGTTTAGCTAAATTTAAGATTTTCGTGGTAATGTAGTACCAAATAAAAGTATAGAAGGGTTACAACATTTAATGATTACTGTGTAGTGATAGATACAGCTTATGACACAGATATATGCTTATGAAACATTTTAAGCATGCCTTTATCTGTTATAATCATGAAATGTTTCACCCCTGACCTGAATTATGTAACCATGGACACCCATAAACATTGTTCAGTAACAATACTCCTCAGCATGAATGCTCTTTGTTACAATAACAGACACAGACAAACATACACACCTTCTGAAAAGTATCTATGAGGCATACACAGAATCATGTTACACATGACAATGTAGTAAAATACAGTACAAAGAAAAGTTTTTCATACATGTAAACCAAGATTAAATTGAAAGGAAAATAAAATGTTGCTACGTCAATGCATTAAATGTAAAATTTGTCGTGAAATAAAGCTATTAATACATGGGATATGTTTGTGCTCCAGCATGCATCTCATACTTTCATAAGAACTCCACGTTAAGATAAACTCCCTGATTTTTTTTTCTCCCTGATTAGAGAAAATTCAGAGCTACTACAGCTGCTGTGACAAAATCAGATCATCTAACATAAAGACCGGAGTGTTCTTCTCCCTGAAAGTATAAAAGAGCATCTGCGCTTTGCTCAGTATTCACCACTCAAGCTTAAAAAATTCTAGTCAAAGTTATTTTCTCTCTACATGAATAAATAACCTGGCACTGTTTTTTTTAGTGTTGCTGTTCAAGTCATTGGCCAGCAACCGTCTGTCTACATACATCCATCCTTTTACCCAATCATGAGCTCCGCGCCTGGCCTCCTCCAGTCCCATCACGGCACCAATTAATCTACCAAAACACACAAACAGACCCATTAGATTTCATAAAGCTTTTCCAGGGTACAGTTATCTAGAAATACAATGATTCATGGGTTATATTGTGAAAGAAGTTTAGCTGTGTTGTCATTTAGACATTCAATATGTGTAACCAAAAACCGAATAGCCTGAATAGCTTATCTTCATCTATATATAAATATATAGATATAGATATATAGATGACTTTATTGATTCCCGAAGGGAAATCCACATATAATCAGTGACAGCAGCAAAGACAAGCCCTTTCCATGTAATAGAAAAGACTGTTTGCAAAGCAGCAAACAGTTTAGAATATATATATATATATACATATATATGTCAGTATCTCTTGGTCAATAAAACTGAGACAACACCCTGAATGCGTCTGAAGGGAAACTGCTGCTGCATGCAAATGGTAAAACAAGGCAGAAAGTAGGCCAGACATCTATAAACTGGGGTTAAAAGTCAGCTCGCTTGCTATCTCATTTTTTCCTCTTTGCATAAATACTTTGTTGTGTCTGAATTTACATCTGACTTGGCAGAGGTGGTTACAGCTGAGAATTAGCGTTTCTGGATGCTCACAGGTGGAAACTCGTTCTCATCATCCAGACACACGGGTCCAGCAGCGAACTCGTGTTCGGGAATGACTTCACCTTTCTTTGCCCCACCATCTTCAGAGTAACCTGGGTAGAAAAAGGTGAAGGGAATAGACAAATATTAGAAGTCTGGTCTTTCTTTTAATGAAAGCTGATTGGTTCTTTGATGGGTCCTAATGTTGAACCTTTCCTGTAACGCAAACTGTACGTGGACGATTGTCAGCAAACACTTACCAGTGAGGGTGGCGGTGACAGGACCCGAGGCTGGCAAGGCAGCAGTTGCAGCATAGGATGGACAGGCCTGTGTTTGCCCTGCAGTCTCTATACCCTCTGACTCTGATCCTTCCTGGTGGTCATTATCATCATCACCACCGAAAAGACTAAAAGAAAGGAGAGGGCAAGAATCCGGTGATCAAACCGTTCTTTTCCCTCCTCACACTTACTCTACCCCTGTTAAATTACTTGTTGCCTCACCTGTGTTTGTGGGCCAGCATGCACTCGCCTCCTTCCAGTGGATCCACGTTGTAGATGAACAATTCCCCATCAGCTGTTGCAACCAGCAGTCGCAGAAGCTTCTGGATTCTGAAACACCACACTGAGTATCCAGTTAAGTTGTCTTGAAACATTTACAGCCATTTACGTAGCGTGCAACTGGTGAAACCCTCTCCTTCTGATAAATAACACCTATCATGCAATACGAAGGTGCACTCCCTGCCTATAAGACCTCAAAAAGAAGCTCACATAGCCAGGGTGCAAACGTTCTTCTGGCAGGAGGTCATGAGGTGAACAGTGGCAAAGGCCCGGTCCTGGCTCATCATGCCAGATACCTGAGCAGGGAAGTAGCTAGTGGCTGCAGAGAACATCTTCCCAACGTAGGATGTCCAGGTGGCAGCCTCGTCGCCTTCACTGCAGATAGGAGAAGAAGAAGAAAACCGTATTTATTTCAGGGGCAAGACCTACAAGAATAAAACGCAGTCACTCCAGAGTTTGTGTGTGTACCTTACCTCGGTCCAAGTTGCTCCAGTCTAAATATATGTACTGTTTCTGTGTTGCTGGATGCACAGAGGAACTGACCATCAGTACTGAAGGATAAAGAGTGTATGTTCACGTATCTACAGAGGGAGAGAGAGAAATTCAGACATAGACTCATCATTAAGTTTGGAGTTATGGAACAATCAGACCTCTATGATGCTTGTGAGTGCCTTTGTGCATTCATAGTTATGAATCCAAACAGTATTACAAAGCCTTCAAGCATAAGTGCATGCATTCTGAGTGCCCAAAAGGCCAGTCTGAAGGAATAATGACAAATGTAGGTGAAGTCCTCCTCAGTTAAGACTCTTAAATACAGATTTCATTGTATGCGCTAGAACTCTGACCTCTTCATGCCTCGGCGAAATTCAAACAAACGCTGGCCATCAGGAATGGAAAACACTCGGATTACGGTGCCCTGAAACAAAGGCGCTCAGTCAACGCTAGAAACAGTTTACAGAAATGTTCCCAGTCATTTTTCCCCTAAAAAAGGAGATTTCTATGGTGATATTTTGCCATACTTCCCTTGCAATGATCTCTAATGTTCAATAAATACATAAATAAATAAACATTTAGAAGCCCACTTAAACTCAACCGTGTCTGGCAGCACAATAGAAGTAAAGGTGAACACATCGCCCAAGCTGAGGTTATTTCTTCATGATCTTAGAATATACATCTCAAAGGAATATCCCCCAAAATAGCATAAGAAATTTAATATGTGAGGAAATTTAACAAAAACTAAGCAATATTTTGAAACATCCTTGCTGTGGATGAACGAAAAGGTCCTCCTCACCCTCTCTGAAGCACTGGCAAGTTTGGATGCTGAGCCATTGAAGGCGAGAGCTGCAAGAGGACTATCGTGAGCTGGAATCATTGTCACTGTGTTCTGAAACCACAAAGAAGATACAACAGACAGAAGGAAAAGCTGTTATCACACACCCATGGGCCCCTTTGAGTTTGCGTAGATATCAGGTCAGTTTGGTGTTATTTACACGGCTGCATCTTCAGGTTCCTGTAAATTCATTTGAGTAACCAAAGAACCTGAAAACCTTTATCTATTAAGATGTCACAGCTACCTTTTGTGTTGCAAGATTCGAGTAAAAGTTAATGCTGAAAATGAAGATCCAGGCTCAGTCAAGCATGGGCATACGCTACAGTTTTACTGAGCCAACAACTGATTTAAAGGCTGTAAATCATGTAAAACTGCAAAGACGCTATCAGAGGGACAATATCATAGAAGGACGAGTCTCTTACCAAATGGTTAGCATCATACACAATGATCTCCCCGATAGTGGCACTGCCAGGGTATGCCAGGTATGAACTGGAATGGTTGGTTGAAAGAGCACAGAGACCTGCAGGAGGATGAGATGTAGAAACAAGACAGCTACTGCTTAAATACTGGTCCAAGTATCAACACCATCACTGCTACAAAAATAGCCTCTTTAGGCTGAATAAACACAGCGTGCATTTGTTTTAAAGGTGACTTGAATCTTGAAGTGCATTCAGGCAAGTTTTGTCACAGTCGTAGTCAGAGTCATGGTTGTCTTTGTGTAGAAAGAGCGTGGCTAATTGTTCGCTTCTGCTCTGCGAGTCTCTGACATGTTCATCCACCAGCCTGGTTCTCTTTTCTTATCCTTTTTGCCTTGTCTAAGAAGCATAATTCAAACATTTCTTCTGTGCTGGACTCTGAGACAAATGTCTGGTTACCTAGCTGTGATAATATTTCATCGTGAGCGGATCTCTAACTGTGTCTGTCTGCTGTTTTACGCTGAGCAAATAGTGAAGAGCAAGTTAATTAGAGCGCTGGCGATGAAAAGATGTCTGCTCGTGCCAGAATGACGCAGAGATTGGGAGACCAAAACAATGTCTGAGCGGTGCGTGTCAGGTGCCGACCTGGTTTCCATACAGATTTTCAGCTCCAATGCTACTGCTAAAAATCCAGGGGTCTGCATTTAACAGTGGCTATAAAGAGTTTAGCATAATATAAATTTTACCTACGTTCAGCAAAACAGAAATCTAACAAAGGCAGCTGAATTTACTCCTTTACATCTATATCATGGCCAAACCTAAGGCAATATGACCTATGTTGATAATAAACTACAGAAGTGTCTTCAGTTGGTTAGTCCGGCTGTTACAACACCACAGAAAGTGTGTTTGTTTGTCCGAAACACCTGCCTGTCCAGTCTCTTGTTCAGAGTGTCTCACCTGAGGGGTTGGATGGAGTGTTCAGCAGAGTTTTGAGCAGCTTCATGTCTTTGATGTTGTGGATGTAAATGGACTCTTCAAGGCACACCACAAGCCTCTGAAAAGACACAACAGACCTCAGGTTGTAACACTTCAAAACAGCGACTTCAACGTAGAGACAGAGTGAGACATTTCACAAATCATGACTCGCACTCCGGCTGATATTTAAAGCTTGTGGCGGTGAAATGCGGTGGCTCACCTGTCTGTTTAACTTGACAGCCAGGATCTTGTTGGGGTAGCTGTAGTTGCAGATCTCTGTTCCCTTCTTGAAGTGGTAGATGTTCATGCAATGTGGCATAGTGGTGCTCACCACAACTACCAGACTGCTGGAGAACAGACGCTCCACAATGTAAACATCTGGAGTCTCTGCCAGGGTGGGAGCAGCAAACAGACAGACACTAAACAAGCATAAACCACTCCTCAAAAGAAGAAATAAGACAATTTTAACCACAAAAAATCAGACTTTCACTTCAGTTTGGGGTCAGAAGAATCAATTTCCCTGTTTCACACTTTGTTTTCCACACATCTACTGTGTTTATACTTATTATCAAACATTGACTCCCACACAACATCCAAAGTGTTTGAACAAATCTTAGGAAACTTAATTAATTTCTGAAAACTATCCAACAAACATCACAGAGGACTCCCAAACAGGTCAGACTGATGTCAGCAGCAGAACAAAAGTTGAGCCCTGCAGACGACAGACGCTGGAAACTCTCTAAAAACAGCAAACACAGCCTTGAAAACCTCAAATGACTCAGTGAGAACCAGTATGCGGAAACTTGGTGGTTTCTTTCAGAGATAATCACTGCCTCTGCTTATATACATGGAGAATCCTCTTTCATTTTCCTGGTTTTTATGTAGCCTGGTTCGGGGTTGACAGACATACATCATAATTATGTTGAGCTCACGTCGTAATGAGGTCATACTCTGATTCAACAGATACCGGCTGAGTCTGTATTTCAGCCCCCAGAGCTAAACTGCAGCTCAGTCGGGGTAGTTTCTGTCAGCTTGTATAAAATGTTTTGTCGTTTTTGTCGTGCAAGAATATGATATCACATATCCTCCGTTTGACTTTCAGATGACTTTTCTCTTGGAATTTATCCCTCAGGGTTCTTTTAAGTAACCTGAGGATGAGGATGTGACATTTCCTGGTTGCTCATCCAGAACAGATGGGTTATTTTGAGACTGATGAGCTAATACAACAGCTCATTTGATACAACGAATAAGATTTCCCCTTGTTTTTCACAAGGGCAATGAAGGGAGCTCAATGACTTAGACAGAGATAGTTCTGCTCTCTTGATACTCGAAGTGACAAGATGAGCCAGTTTGGCATAGACATACTGTATATACAGCATGTGTGTCAACTTTTTTAATACTAAAATGTAATTCCCAAATGTAGGAGCCAAAATATATTTGTTGAAAGTATGATTTCTACTTAGTACGTCACTCCCGTGGATCATCACTGAGGGGTGTGGTTTTGGGATGTTTGACAGGTTATTTAAATTTCACCGGTGTAGTCAGACAATGGATTTGTAGTAAGCTCTAATAATTTTCTATTGACTGTTTCATTCATCCTGTTTTAACCTCATTTCATCATATCACTTTTGAGTGTTTCCTTGGATGCAAGTGAAACGAAACCCCTGCGTCCTTTTTGTTGAAGGAAAGCAGTCGCTACACTAAACGTGTGAATGAAAGTTTTGCCACCTAGACTGAGTAAGACTTGAATACTGACCACTCTCGTGGATACAGTCCAGTTTTTCCACCATGGTCAAAGAAAACAGTTTATAGCCTGCTTTTGTTCCCAGAGCCAATGACCTGCAAGAAACAAACACAAAACACAGTTAAGACAACATCGGCAGGAGATAAATTATCAAGAGGATGATGAATTTACAGTTTTATCAAACATTAAATGTGCTGAGAAACTGCATCATTAGCCTCGTTTCTATTTTCTCCTATAGGGTGCCCTCTAGTGGTGACACTTGTCATTAAAAATATGTTATAATCAGGGATCTCACAAAGAAGAACATTGACTCGAGCTTGCAACAAGTGACCTTAGGCCTCTGTCTTGTGATAGCATTCACAACATGCTGAAGAACCAGCTTTATTCTACCCTTTCCAAGCCAAATGTTCATAGAGATGAACACATTTCACTGATGAAAGCCTATTTGATCAGAAAACAGTACATCGATATGTCATGGAAACATACTTTCCCTTTCCTGCCCATGTTTTGAATCACACTGTTTCTCCTGGCTGTCTTTGGCTTTAACCTGTTTGTTTTAACACTTGCTATTTTCTTAATGGCCACTCTGCCTCTTTTTCCCCTCTAAAAGAGCCGTTACATTCCTGTCCTGTCTCATCCTGTTTCTGAGCGGGAGGAAACCTGCACAGCAGAAAAAAAATAAAACATATTTCTCTGCCAAAGTACGACAAATAAAGAGTGTAACATGGGTATTTTTTCACTGATATTCTGTGAATTTGTTTAACAATTTAGTTAAATATTCATTTGGTCAGAAGAAGCTGGGAACAAGTTGGGATATTCTTGGTGACAAGGCATGAAAGTAAGGGGTGTGCTCTCTACTACTGTAAATTATACGCCTGCATGTGTAGGATGGCAAGTTAGCACGAAAGAAAACGCTGTTTGCAATCCTTTCTTTCACAATATCCTTTGTGCTCGTGTCTGTCTTACTCAGCACTTTAACGTGCCGTAAGTAGGTCTGTGTGAAATCCTTTTGAGTGAGGATGAGTCAACATAAAGCAACTTCAGTGTTGCACCAAAACGATACTGGATATCCTTAACTAGCTCTAACCTTCTATCACTGAAGCATGATAGATCTATAGTCGATCTTAACACAGTGAGCATGTGCATTTTGAGGAAGGCGTCATTTGCTGTGAGTTGTTCAAGTTTGCATTCACCAAATACTCAAGAGGCTTTCAAGAGATTTTCTGCAGACTACCAGGGTTTTCACTGCAGTGCAGGATTAACCAGACTTTTAATGTACCCATAATTATTGTCACGCTGGGTTGGTAAGCTTTTTTGAGTCTGACCCATATCTACAAATATTCAGTTTTGGAAACTAAGATAATGCAGTGCTTTAATATCTCCATACTTAGTTTGATGTTGTGGTTTTATATGAGGTTGTAAGTGGTAGTTTTGTCAGCCTGTAGCTGCAAGCTCCTCAGTTAACTACCCTAAGTTATAGTTTAAAGCATAACTAAGCTGTTTGTCATAGTTTGGATTGTGCATGTAGCTACTACTGCACAAGAGTTTGTGTCAAATTATCTTAAAGTTTACCCTGAAGTTTGATAAACATTTTAATTTAGTCCTAAATGCCTCCCCTCCAAATCACTTATTTTTTTATATTTACTATCCTGTTTCCTGCTTTCTACCCCCCCCCCCCTTTTTTTTATAACATTTCTTTCTCTTACTTATTTTCTGTTTTTATTTTGCTCCTCATGGTCTCATTTTATGTTGTAGGGTTCTTGTATTGTCTGGGTTCCTTATGATGAATGAAATTCGCCTTTAATTTGGAGGCCTTGTTTTTAACTGTTTTTATTTCCAAGTGCTGATGTTATTAAATTATTATTATTATTATTATTATTATTATTATTAATAATATTATTATCACCATCAGTTAGCCTGATCAGGTTAAATCAGCAGATGTGTTTGGGGTGTTTTGGAGACTTTATAGATTCTCACATTAGTGAAGAAATCGAGCTCACTCAACTATTTTTGTCCTGTTTTGTCTTGTCCCATGTTTGCTTGATAGGCTATTGATACTGTAGCTCTAATGTATGCAGATGGTATTTCTGCACGACCATGTCCTCAACAGACCTTATTACACAGATCCACTATGCAACATCATCATGCATGCTTTTTTGAGCTCTTAACTGTCTGATAGAGGTGTGTAGGATTCAGGATCTTTGTGTTCTGGGAGCATATCTGTAAGATTTCAGGGAGACCTCATGAGGGTTTGAGTCTTCCTTGTATTGTCTCTACTTCGTCTGTCTGTTTTCTTACGTGGAGTCTTGGTTGAACGACGCACAGCCAAACCGGGACACCTGTCCGTCCGGTCCGCCAGGCCCGCCGGCACCTTCTTCTCCGGTCTCCATCCCGATTCCCAGCGACCTCCTGTCCTCCATCCACCCTGGATTGGAGGCCTGGGATCGGCTGCGCCTCTTCGCTCGATGTCGGCGGAAGACGGCTCCAATGTGGAAGAATAAATGGACCGTGTGGGGTTAGTGGGCTGAGAGAGCGCTCGACGCGGATTTAGTGAGTATAAATTCAGTGTTAGCTCGTTATTTTAGCGCTCGGTTAGCAAGATCCCAGAAGAAAAGAAGAGGAAAAGAAGCAAAACAAGAACAGCTGACAGAGCGACGTCACGTTTCCGCCTCTTACGATTGGTTGGCAGCGAAACCATGTTGTTGTCAGCCGCTATTTTGATTGGCTCAGACCGCAGTCTTGTGTTTTTATTGGCTGTGAGGGTGGAGTTGCTTTATTTATGTCCCTCCATTCATGTGCCGTACACTCCTCAAAAACTTGAGAACAGACTGAATTTCACCTTTTTTTCTCTCGGAACTGTCTCAGGGGCGGGTCTCGGAGAGTCTATGGGGCGACATAAACATTTAGACGGTGGCAAGAATAAAAAGTGATTAAATCGTGTCAGAAACAGTGATAATAACGCTGAAACAATTAAAGTTACACAAGAAACTTAACATGTAAACTAAACTAGAAAATAAAATCAAATGATAGTAAAGTTTTAAAAGCAGTTGCTGCAGCAAAAAAAAAAAAAAAAAAAAAAAGAGGTCACAACAAAAGTTGCTAAAGAAACCAAAGCCTGCTGTAAATAAAGAAAGGAATGGTGCAGATAAGATAAAAAAAAAAAAAGCCACTACAGAAGTTAATGATGAAGTGACAATGCAAAAATAAATAAATTAATAAAATATAATAAATTAAATAAATGAAGAATTAGTGCGAAAATAAAAGTATGCAAAGAAAAAAGTCACAGCGGAAGTTATTGATGCAAAAAAGTAGCAATGCAAAAAAAAAAGGTAATTATTGCAAAGGATGCAAATAAAAAAAAGCTACAACAGAAGTGAGGACCAATAATGATAATGCACCAGTGTTTTACGATGTGCATCGGTAACTTCCGTTGTGACGTTTTTTTTCTTTCTTTTTTTTTTCAAATTTGAAGCAGTGGCAGTTCTCGGCCGCCGTACATTTGGAAAAGCCAGTGAAAACTAAGTTATCAGGGGATAGTGAACTCTTTATTTCTGTCAAACGAAGTGGGGGGCCCAGTAAAATAACATTTCATCAACAGGGTGAGAGGCTACACAGAAAGACTTCAGCTTCAGCTAATAAAAACTGAAAAGTAAGTAGAGATCTGAAGAATACAGAGGCCCCAAACAAGGAGCGATACAAGGCCCTTCTTCATTTAGCTCGAAGCAATTAAGTGAGCAAAACCATGTTTGAAAGAACCCTTTTCAGATAAAGATAAACAGTAGAAAAATAGGCCAGACTTGACGGTGAATTATGATTTCTTAACACCCTTCTCATCCACAGCAACTTCAAAACTCCCCACTCCTCCTGATATCTTTTCTTTTCCCCTCTAGTCACGCTTTTATTACTGCTGCACTCTTCCAGTCAGAACGACTTCCTTCTCCTCATCTCTGGCTCCTCAGTCACACAGTCCATGATTTTGGTTGGCAAAAATAAGCACTTTTGGTTGATGTTCTTTGACCTGGCACATTTTTCCATAGTCATAAAAGCCAATTTAACTGTTTTCTCAAAGTCATTAGTCATTTTTTTTAACAGGCCAGTCATTCAGACACAAATATGTAACACTAAAAGAGTGATGAATACAAAAACAGTGCATACAGTAGGATTTTTATTAAAAAGCGCATGTGCAGATGTTTTCTTTCAGTTACACAAAGCACATAAAAAGACCCCCCTGTTTGCACATGGATTGAGAAGAGTAGTGTGTCGGCTGACCCTGTGTGACACCTCAGGGACTGACAAAGTGAGGTTTCTCAATGCTGCAAAACAAAAGAACAGACTGTTAGAATTGATCGCAGACAGCTGTGCTGACAGGATGTTTTGAAGGAAGATAGCAGACACCAGTATGTTTGCAAAGCTTTGACTTGTTGATCTGAATAACATTTATAATTTTTTATTCATCAAAATATTATTAGTATGAATAAAAATCTGCAAAAGTTTTGGTTAAAATTTGAAGTATGACTTAAAACACTTTTCCCCCTACACCTATTCACTAAAATATTGTGGCAATTTTGTGCGGCAGTCTCTAAATCATACAGGTTTTTACTCTACTACTTATTCGTCAGAGTATTAACTGAGTATCCTGAAATCTCTTATCTTCTCCACAATGTGTAGAATACAGGGTCAAAATAACATAAAAAGTCAACATCAAGACAGCTGTATTATAATAAAGTTTAGTAATAATCGCAACAGTCGGCTATTGTATTTAAGACAGGATATTATGTACCTGAAAATCCCAGATCACCATGGCTCCATCCAGACCCACACTGCTGTATTTCTCCACTTTGTCCCTCTCCCCAGATACAACACACAGCTGCCTGCAAGAACATAACACAACACATACAAGAAAGACTTACAAGACGCTGATGTGCAGTTTTATAATAAACTTATCATACTATGAAACTTTAACTGCGAACATGACAAGGAGTGTAAAAGTAGTTTGAGTTAGGGGAAAGACTAGAAAAGCGCTTCGAAAACAAGTCAATTCATCATTCAGGGAGATTAAAAATTTCCAAAATAAACAGTGTGAGATTGGCTGTATCCCAATGTAGAAGTACACCAAAGCTTTCTTTGGCTAACCTGATTTAATCCTACTAAAGTTAGGGAAGGTTTTAAAAATGTATGAAGAAGATAGTTGTGCCTCTTTAAAAGGAAACTTTGATTTTGTTTTGAACTGCATGGTTCAGGAACAATAAACCTGACAGTGTCCAAATCTAAATCTCAACTTAAAGTCTTTACTTATTGTCTAACTTGTTACCATGACAGCTAAAGGGTTTTTGGTTTCCTTACGTGATGCTGTTCTGGTGAAGAGTGTCAAGCTCATTGCTGTCCTCCTCAGTGGCTTTCTTATCCAGGTTGCGGAAGTGCTGCATGGCTGACATGCTGGTCTTTGAGGTCTGCTTTGGGATGTCAAGTTTCTTCACAAACTCCAGAGAACCTGGACCCTTATAGCTGAACTGGTATGGGCAACAGTCATGGCCCTAATTGAAAGAGAACAATTGATTACAAATTCAAAACCAACAATTTACCTCAAAATTGTTTGGACAACTGCATCACCCTTTAATTCTTTTGTGCTAAAACCATGCAGATATAGATTTTTTTATTTTTATCTGTTACACTGTGAGGTTACGATTTTCAGCTGCAGAAGTTATCTGTACTTCAAAAATATTGTACGATCAATATAAATATTTACTTTTTCTTGCCAGTTCAATAACTTTCTGCCCACCAGAAGGCAGTAGAGACAAAATCAGTGATCTGCACACAGCCTGCTGTTCTTTCTCCTCACAGTTCAACATTGCAAAGGACTCTGTGCCACTGCTCTAACAAAGCATTTTAACTGAAATACATCAGTGATCTTTTTAACTAGAAGTTTAACTTGCATCTGGAGTTGGTGGACACACACACACACACACACAGGTGGGAATAATTACCGCGGCAACAATCTCAGTGGGGCTGACATACAGCACGCTCAGCAGTGGAAGATGGCCAGTGGTCAGCTGGGTCACTCTGGGTGGAAAGAGGTGAGATGTTAAAAAGTGCCTGTGACATTAAATTAAGTGCAAGGTCAAATATGCAGATTGAAAATAAATGAAAGAAAAAAAAAGAGGTATGGGTTGAAAAATTTAAGCTGCTAAGTGCAGTAAGCTGTTCAGAGACCATTCTTTAATCTGTCAGGATGTAAAGGAAATTTCCCTCAGTTATGAAATATGTATCTATGATATAGTGCCCAACCCAGTTTTAAAGAGATGCTTCACTTCTGTTTAAAGCTCCTGTGAGGAACTTCTGGTTAATCTTGTCCTCGATGTGCTTGAGTAGAGTTTTTGTTCAAAGAACCTCATCCTGAAGACTTTTGACAGTCATATGTTTGGTTCATAGTTGATATTTTTTGTAGATGTCGGAAAAACAGACTGTTTCTTGAGCTTCCTGGCTGTCACCTACCCCCCTTGTGCTGGTTTCAGGCATCAAAACCTACAATATAAATATTGTTAATCTTCTCCTTGGTGGTCTTGTTTGCTTACATGTATCACATAAATTAATCAATATGGATCTCAGCCTATTTCATTAATGTCAAAAAACTCCTCACAGGAGCTTTAAACTAAGTAATGATACAGACTGTATTGTGTTTTCTCCGCCGCAGTACTCACTCCTTCCCCTGGGTGGCATCAGCCACAGCGATGCTGCTGTTGTGAGCCACCCATGCCAGCTGGTCCCCACTGGGAGAGAAGGAGACACTGTGCGCCCAGCCTCCACAGTCTTTATGCTCCAGCAGTACCTCTCCGAAAGGCATTTTGGCCCCCCAGGCGGTGGGTCCCGGCTTGTCCTCAATGTCCTTGATATAAGCTGAGAAAACCCTGAAAGTCCCACCATGGAGGTTTGTTAAGTTTTTGAGAAAGAGTCATTTTTTATGTATAGTTGAGGAAAAATTAGAGTATCAGAGTGAACACTTTTAGCTGCTGGTTGGCAGTTGGGAAGAAATCTCATCTTTTTCATTAGTTTTGCAAGTTTCCTCACCTGCAGTTAAAGTCTGCAGACCCAGCTGCCAGCAGGATATTGTTGGGATGCCAGTCCAAACTCAGGACTGTAGAGCGCACAGACTTCTTGATGTGTTTACTCAGCCACCTGTGAGGGAGGAAGAGTGTGTTTAAAAGCTGCATTTGAATGTGCCCAGAAGATATGATCATAATCTGTGTATCTACAATAAAACATAGTGAGGTTAAAACCTGTAGTGCCAGTTTCGGTCTTATTTACTGAACTGTTGTAAGCTTTTGTTTTCAATGTGATCCGCTCACCAGTCATTCTCCTTCTCAAAGTAGCAGACAGAGATGATTCGAGCTCCACTGCCGAGGGCAAACTTGTTCTCTTGCGGTGACCACTTCACACAGCTAGCTGCGCGGTTAATACGCACCAAGACCAGGGTGGGCTTCCATACATCGTCCTTCAGAGTCCACACATAAGCATTACGGTCAGAGGCGCATGTCACAATACGGTTGGACTCTGGGGCCCAATCAATGCCTGTGGGAGTTGTGAAGAAATATTGAAGGAAAGGATGTCATACTTTCAATCAGACACAATTCCTAAATGTATGTACAGTATGTAACCACTTTTTAAAGATGCAGACATGTCCAAATTAGAAATATCAGGTCCTAATTTTGCTGTTTAAAGGAGCAGTTATGGGATTTCAGCGCAGTGTTCTTGATCATTCAAACCTTGGGCTGTTTTAATGTTAATTGTAAAAATCTTGTAGTTCAAAGCGAAACTGGAATATCTTTGTACTTTGACTTACAGTGGCGATGTAAATCTATTACATACAGATCAAAGTCAATAAAGATCTTTCACTCTTAAAATTCAGATTATAAAAATTATGAGATGTAACAAACTTTCTTCCTGACACGGTGAGTTTGACCAATAGCTCCCTTACCTGTGATTCGTCCACTGTGCTCAGTCAGCTCATGGATTTTCACCCACTCTTTGCCTTTCTTCTCGTAGATTATCGCCACATTGTTGTTCGGACTCACTGCAATCTCTGCGGAGAAATACATGTGCTCAAAAGAAAGTCACTGCAACACAAAACTTAAGATCATCAAATTTGGTCTGAATGTTATCATTGAAATCACTTACTTTTTTGCACCTCAGAAAATTTGATCAATTATCATAGATTAAAATAAAATACAAAGTAAAAGGCATTTTTTAATCTAAAGTATTTCATGACTTAATAGAAATGCTTGCAAAGCTGTGGCGTTGTTGAGAATCATCCTCCTAACTGACAGCTGACTTAGAGAAATGTAGTTAAGCCTGATATGTAGAGTATAAATCGAGTTACTGGCAAGTGTTCAACAATAAGTGTAATGTCAAGTACGTAAGCAGCTGTACATATCTGTAGCTGAAGTAGAACTCAGTGCACTCTGAGTCCATTTCCTGTATTGGTAATCAAATTCCCTTCTGCTGTCTGTAATGCACTTCTAATGCATTGGAGAAGGGAAACAGTATGTGCACTCTGACTGCCAGTATAGTCTCACCCACAGGCTATAGAGAAAGAACACATACTTGTACCTCCACTTACTGTATGCATATTTTTTTTTCATTCTGTAAGGAAATGTATCTAGGGTGGTTGTGTTTGCTGGTTCACCTACGGGTCCTATCTTTGTTCCAGGCGTGGCAAGAGAGCGGCTCCAGGCCAAAACTGTAGAGCGACATGCCTGAACAGAGGCTGACGAGGTTGCTGGAATGTGGCTGTTGTCACGGCTGGTCTGCAGATGTGCAGGTCTCAGGATGCGATCAGGGAAATGCTGTAGAGAAACATTCATCTTAAAAACAAAACACTGTCATTTTAAGTTGAAAGGTTATGAAGACGGTGGATACTAAGCGGTGTTATTTTACCTTATAATTAAATATTCACCTTTCCAGTATCTATTGTATGTTACTTACTGTGAGGAATACCTTGATTCTTTCCTAGTAAGGGTTGTGAAGGTGTACTGCGTATCCACAACTCCTTCTCTAACTCATTGTTAGAAACAAGAGTAATAAATGCAAGATAAGAGCATACCTCTATCAGGTGTGGTGGCACTGCTCAAACATGTTTTTACTGATACGTCTGTATACTTTTCTCTCCCTTTAATGATTACCTGATCCTGGCTGCTTTATGTTTAGTACTACTTTGTCATTATACAATATGGTAGCAGAAACCCAAAAGAACAAGGGAAAGACAATATACAGTGGATTAGGGTGTCTTTAGTGAAGTAATAACTTACCCAAAGGCTGAAAAGACCATGAAGAAAGCACAAACCTGTTTTATAGTGATAGAAACAAGGGAAGCTAATCAGCTGAGATAAAAAAACACTCATAACTAGGGTCAGTTCTTACCTTTGCTGTATATATGTGGTGAAGTTGAATATGAAGTGATGGTGTGAGGTGCAGGGCTGTATCCGTGGACTCTGGTCAGTCGACACGAATGGAGCTATGCAGTCTGAGAGGATGAAGGAAGTGACTGTGGTAATACTGAAACGAGAGAAAGACAGAAAGGTGGGTGTGTCTGCTGAGAGCTGTTAAGCAAGCCTTTACTCTTGATCAGGCTGGTTGTGATGAGCCATGATACCTTGTTTTTCTGTGTAGGTCAATTACCAACGCCAAACCAAATAATGCAACAGTCACGCAGAAACACCCAGACAAGTTTTATTAGCTTGTGGCCTAGGTAATCTGCTCAGCTCTAGGCATTTTAGGACATAGGAAAGGGTGGGTATCTGTTTTTGCTTGAAGGGACTGACAGTACTTAATGTATTTTGGTCAGTGTGCAGCAGTGAGTTAAGTAAAAGTGCAAAATTTTTCTGGTCAGTTGTTGAATTTTTATTTGAAAGCTACGGTGGCCGATAGCTGCAATAAAAAAGAATGCAAAAAAAAAAAAGTTGAAAAAGTAACTTTTTATTTTTTGCACCACCACTTTTTTGTGTCGTTAACTTCCGTTGTGGCTTTTTTCTGTTTTATCTGCATAGTTTCTTTTTTTTTTTTTTGCATCGGTAACTTCCGTTGTGACTTCTTTTTTTTGCATTCTTTTTTTATTTGCAGCAGTGGCGATTCTTGGCCACCATACAAATCATCCCCAAATCACAATTACAAATAATCATTGCAATCCACTCAAGTTTAGGGGATATTAAAGAGATTTCTTTCAACTAACAGTTTAAATTAAGGATATTTTACTGCAGTGCAATAAGTAAGATGTGAAATTCGCTCTATTTTCCTGTACAGCAGAATTTGTAACCAAGCCAAACAAAACATAAAAAGGAAAACTATTTAGATAGTTTAAAAAAAACCAGTTAATTTTCTGATAGATTGAAAAAATAATATCCAGAGATATTTTTTAATCCAAACGTATCCCCAAAATAAAACGTATTTCAGACGGCTTCATATTCAAAATCACAACAAATCGATCATAAGATAAAAAATAACCTACAGTAAAGATATTAAAAATATTGACGTAGAAAAGGAAGAAGACGAAAAATAAATTGAAAGTTACCTGGTTGTATTTGTCGCTTTTGAGAAGGCGCCTTTATTGTGAAAGGACCCAACCGGAAGTGGAAGACATTTGCCATCAAGAAGATAAACAAGCAGCCCACACGTCATTTCATATTTGGTAGGAGAGTTTGTGCTGTTTTAATATACAAAGTTGATGTAATTGTTTCATGGACACAGTTTGTCGAAGTTTGTGAGCGCTTTTGTCCACCGGGGTGTGTTGTTTGTTGTTGTTTTTGACGGTGAAAGGCTAACAGCAGGCTCGCTAGCATCGACATGCATCATGAAAAACTCCTCAGGCTTTGTTACAGAAACTTATCATTTGTACTTTAAATGCTCACGATAAATCTACAGTCAGTAAGCATGTACTGTTTGCAAAGTAAATCTACCGTTTATACTTAGTTTGAGTTAAAAAATATTCGCAAATTCTCCATTACCAGACAGTTTTCAACAACGTCCTCTTCGCTTCCTTATATAGTCAACCTGAAAGTCTCGACTGTTAGTTTGGATCAGGTCTGAGGAACTTGACGGGGCTGAAATAAGTTCATGATTCATCAGATATAATAGTTTAACGATCAATGAGCTCAATCCATCCATTAATTTAGCATACAGCAGGTTACAGCAAAAAGGAAAATTCCCCTTTAACAGGCAGAAACCTTGAGCAGAACCAGACAGCCATCTGCCGATACTGCATTAGGTTTAGAGAGAAGAAGAACTTTATAATCCCTAAAGGGAAATTCAATTGCCTGTTGTCTCACATGACATGTCTCTAAAAGTTATCTATTTACACAAGAGTTGTAAAGTCTAAAGTTAGTACAAAAGATCTTTTGAATCTTTCTGTCCTGCAGTGAAGAGAGAGGAACCGTCCACCACCATTGGCCCTTTGGTCCATCAAGGTGTTGTGAAGTGATCCATGTTCTTTAGAATAGTCTTCACCTTCTTCAGTGTAGATCTCTCCATCACATCCTCCACTGAGCCAGCCTTTTTCACCAGTTTGTTTAGACGTCTTGCATCGTTGTATATGATGTTTCCTCTCCAGCAGAAATCAGCGTAGAACAGAACACTGTAGATCTACACCACAGACTGATAGAACATCTGCAGCATCTTACTGCAGATGTCTATTGATCAAAGTCTTCTCAGGCAAAAGAGGCAGCTCTCCACCTTCCTGTAGATGAAGTCTATATTATTAGACCAGTCCAACTTATTATCCAGATGTACACCTCGGTATTTATATGATGTCACCACTTCAATGTCCACTCCACAGATGTTCACACTGGCTGAAGAGGGGAAGAGGGGGTTTGGATCTATGGAAGACCATCTCCTTTGTCTTTGAGGTGTTGAGGAGGAGGCAGTTTGTGTGGCTCCAGTCACTAAAGGCTCTTATCAGATCTCTGTATTCAGCTTCTTGTTAGATAGATAGATAGATAGATAGATAGATAGACACACACACAGATAGATAGTTACAGCAGCAAAAAACACAAAATAAAATTAAATATAAGAAGAATTAGGTACAATGCAGACTAAAAATACTAAAAAAGCAGACAGGTCCAAGACAGGAACAGGTCTGCAGCAATGATTCAGAGGAACCTGTGGTAGAGCACAGGGACTCCCCACTGAGGTGGTTTTGGTTTCAATAAAGGTTGAACTGATCTCTCATTTGTGATTGTGTTTCTCTTTTGTCCTTCCAGGTCACAAGAAAAATATGGCATCTAAAAGTGCAAGCAGCGAGGAAGAGCAGAGCCTTCGAGTGTGTGAGCAGTATGTCAAGAAACACAACATCCAGCAACTGTTGAAGGACTGCATAGTCCAGCTATGCACAGCCCAGCCGGATCGGCCCATGGCCTTCCTCAGGGACTACTTTGAAAGATTGGAGAAGGTGAGTGCTGACAGTGGTGCTGAGTGAAACCCCAATATCTCTTATTATATCTTATATCTTATCTTTTTATAAGCATTAAGAGAGGATTTTACCCAAACACCTCTAACTCAGTTTAGAGAAACCTGGTAACCTTATTTAGTAATGATTCTGACCTGCTTAGTAGCAGAGCTGCTTTGCAAAATCAGCTCCACATTGGGGGTCCCCTGCATGTTTGTTCTATGACCGTGTGAAGACACCTTTTATCTCAGCATGAATCTGTGGAGGGATAATTACAGGTAGGTTGTCTTAAGGTGTTGTTTTGTGTTCATGTTGCACCACAGGAGGAGGCCCAGCAGGCGGCTGTGCAACAGAGGTCTAGGCTACGGTCAGACTCCCGTGAGGATGAAGTTTCCCCACCCATGAACCCTGTGGTGAAGGGTCGAAGCCGAAGAGGGGCCATAAGCGCTGAGGTGTACAATGAGGAAGATGCTGCTTCCTATGTTCGAAAGGTCAGAGATGATAAGATCGTTTTTGTTCACACAGATCTTTATGACCCTGTTGCAATTTTCTTTTTTATTTGAAGTTTGTATATTAATGAGGGAAAATGTCATCTCCTCATACTATCATGTTGCAAAAACAAATAAAGTCATAAAAGGACACAAATCAAGGGATTTGTCTGCTAAAATTGGAGCAGTATTGCCTTTAATTGTACTTTACTTAGGGGTGAATGTGTGGCTTAAACTACTTTAGTTTTGATTCTATTGTAGGTTTATCCTGATATTCACTGATGTATGGAAAAGGAATCTTTGTTTTTATTATTGTTTTTACTGAAGGTCATCCCCAAAGACTACACAAGCATGGCCGCTCTGGCCAAAGCCATGGAGAGGAACGTGCTGTTCGCCCACTTAGATGACAACGAGAGGAGGTATGGCGTCCAAATCACTCACATAAATGTTTGAGAATCATTTTCAAAACATCTCAAGCTAATTCGTCGTTTTTGCCCACAGTGACATTTTTGATGCGATGTTTTCTGTCAACTACATGGCTGGAGAAACAGTCATTCAGCAGGGTGAGTCTAGACCACTTTTTATTGGAGACTGCTGCTTTGTCACTCTCTTCATTCTCCTTCTTTCAGTGAACTTTTTACCTTTTCTGTTCCAGGTGATGAAGGAGACAACTTCTATGTTATCGACCAGGGAGAGATGGATGTAAGATCTTTGTGCTTACTTTTGAGCTCTAGCAAACATCTGCCCGTGTTTATTAATAATATGAAAAGCTGTTGCTGTCCTCTAGTGGCCAAAATACAAACAAAAACATTGTTTCTGTGAAGAACTCAAACTGATTTTAAGGCCCCTTTTAGACAAACAAAATCATTTTATTTGTGTTAACTAAGAATTAATCGTGTGTATTAGAAACAGAGAGTACATGATGGGAGAGTATTCATAGAGTGGTCACATAAAATGCACCAGCTGGAAGATAAAGAGGAAACAAGTGCTTGTTGTGTGCAAAAACAAACCAACTCGTATCGTATACTTTTTGTCCTTGTAAGCCACCGTAACTCCACTTTGAGAGACGTGAGCGGGGGAGGGTGTGAATGTAAAATGTGACTGCCAGATAAAACTTAATACTTCCTGTTCTATACTGATTTTGACACAGCTTCATTTTTTTCATTTAATCTTAATCTAATCTTTAATCTTTATCTTTATTTGAACATGATAAAAATAATGATGAAGTAAAAACAAAACCAAAAGACAAGGCTTTATGAAAAGAAAATAATAATAGTAATAATAATAAATTAAAAAAAATAATAATAATAAAATCAAAGACAAGCCTAACAGGCAATAATCAGCCATTTGTAGCTGTAGTGGAAAGATATACAGTGTGTCATCAGAACCCTGATGAGTCAATCTTGCTCTCTTTTCTCTTTCCAGGTTTACGTGAACAATGAGTGGGTGACAAGCATCGGGGAGGGGGGCAGTTTTGGCGAGCTGGCTCTGATCTACGGGACACCTCGTGCAGCTACTGTTCGGGCAAAGTCAAACGTCAAGCTGTGGGGCATAGACAGAGACAGCTACAGGAGAATACTGATGGTAAGGTGTTAAGACGTGAAACTAATGGAAGTCAATGCTTTGGCTGATAATTACTATTGGTGTCTGTTTATAGTGGGACAAAGATATCTGACCAGATTGTTGGAGGCAAATTAAAGAATATCCAACATTTCAAATTATTTTAGGGAAGCACTCTGAGGAAACGCAAGATGTACGAGGAGTTCCTGAGCAAAGTCTCCATTTTAGGTAAGAAGTAAAGTTGATCTGTATTGTTTGGCTGAGTCAAATTACCTGTCATTGACCATATATATATATACAAAAAGTGTGATTTATTTTGATGTAAACAGAGTCTTTGGAGAAGTGGGAGCGTCTGACAGTGGCTGATGCCTTGGAGACCGTGCAGTTTGCAGATGGCCAGAAAATTGTGGTGCAGGGAGAGCCTGGTGATGAGTTTTTCATCATCCTGGAGGTTTGCATCAACTTTTTCAAGCGTTAAAAATTTAATAACACTCACTTAATTTTGTGATGGGTAGTAAAAGACTTCTTTGTTGGTCTGTTAGGGGACAGCTGCTGTGCTGCAGAGACGGTCAAACAGTGAGGAGTTTGTGGAAGTTGGCAGACTGGGGCCATCAGACTACTTCGGTAAGTCTTTCTGTTTTATGCTGCAAAGACAAAAAAAATAAAGACACTGTAGATAAAAGTCATGTGAGGCTTAAATTCATGTTCAAATATTTGATATTTAGTGTAATTCAATAAGTGAAAGGCGTCAACAAACCACATGGCTTCAGTTTACCGCCTTTCACTGATTATTTGTCTTTCCTCAGGTGAGATTGCCTTGCTCATGAACCGGCCCCGAGCTGCCACTGTCGTCGCATGCGGACCGCTCAAATGTGTGAAGCTGGACCGGCCGCGGTTCGAGCGAGTTCTGGGTCCTTGCTCCGACATCTTGAAGAGAAACATCGAGCAGTACAACAGCTTCGTATCCCTGTCTGTCTGAACTTGTCAGTATTCAAACTCCCTCTTCTTCCACTGTGGGTCCCACCATAGCATATAAGCTTTATTTCAATTAGTACTATGCTCTTTCAAATCTGTTACCACGCCTTTAAGATCACTTCTACACCTGTTACTGCTCTTTTTTATTGTATTTATTTTATTTCCTCTGTTTGTATATAAAAGCACAGATTTTTCTGATGTAAAGGAAAGTTTTGAGGTCAGAGGTTGTCGTCTCCGGGTGAGGCGGATCCCAACACCAAACAGGTCTTTGCAAATTGCTGGTTTAGATTATACTAGATAGTAGTGTGAGCCTGACTGGTAGCGAGATGATGCTGTCAAAAAAAACATCTGATTCAAAACTCTTAACTCAGATTTCATCATGTCAAAATCTTCTTAGTGGAGCTTCTCATGGCCACGAGTAAAAGTAAAGTTTATTATACATGAGGAACTGTAAAATACACAGACTTAAAAAAACATCCACGTGAGGATGGTCATACATGATCTTAAAATATAGTTTTCATTAAATTTATGACCAAAAAATTTGCAAAAATAACAACATTCCCTTAAATAAGTACATTTTAACATTGTGTTTGTAAAGATGGTTAAATTTGCTCACTATCAGCACTGTGTCGTGATGCTGGTATTGGCGTTATTCTTCTAAATATCTATATCTATATTTCTATATTCGTAGTATTTGTGAACCTTGTAGACACTCCTCTCTTGAACAGTTGCCTTGAAACTCACACTGCATGATTTTACACAGAAGTACTTGTGCCAGCTGTGGAGGATCGACTGACAGAGAAATGGAAAAAAAAATCTTGTAAACATTATTTGTTATGACTTAATAACTTCACTTCCTTTTTCTCCCTTAGCCAACTTCAAATTAAGCCTCCAAGCAGATTCGCTGCGGCACATACAAATAATTGGAAGATCACAGCTTTTGCTCATGTCGACTTTTGTTTGGAGTGAAGGCATCTAACTACTGGTTTAAGCCACATTCAGTCAAAGTCAACTCTAACAAGAATATACAGAAAGTGCTTGTTTAGCATAGATGAAACTATGGGCAAAAAAGAAGAAATAAATGAACAACCGTCGTTGACATTGATTGGACTGTTTATTAAGGTAGTTGCTTAAATGTTGAATTCTGTTATCGGGCTGGATAAACTGTTACACAGCAAAAGTTTCTTGTTAGAAAAAAAAAATCCTCTTGCAGTATGAAAGAAACAGAGCTCTGACTTTGAAATATCTCTTGACAATCACTTATATCCACCACTTTTGCCTTTAGTACACAGTGACACCAGAAGGATAGGACAGATGACTTCATGTGTTTACTTGAAGTATGCACAAGCTTCATACACACGTCTTATTAACTTAAAAAAAAAGTTTGAACTGCTGCGGCAAGCAAAAAGACGTCAGCACTCTCAGTCAAGTATATGGCTGCTGATAATTTCCTGCTTTCACTCGAGTGCTGAAGTCTATTTGCTTGCTGTGTTTACTTTGAGTCACAACTGGGTGGCGGCAGTGCTTCGTCCCTGCTGCTGTCCCAACACTGACACAGATATGGATGCAACATTAGAGTATGGTTACTATCTCAGGCTTCAGCTAGAAAAAAGCTAATTACACGAAATAAGTTGCCTTATTTACTGAGGATAAAATCCCATAAACCACAGCAATAAAACTGTTTTTCTTCTTGAAATTACCTGATTTATTAGAATTAGTTTTGCTTTTCCTTGATCTGCCTTTATATTAACTCTTAACCTTTTTTTCCCTTGATTATTTGTTCTGTTTTGTTAGTATTTAACTCATGGGTACTGATCTAGTTTAATGCTGTTTCTCATTTAGGATTGGCAGGATGTGTTTTAGGGTTTTTTTTCAAAATCTTAATCTTTAAAATAGTCAAATTATTTCTTAAACTCTGCTTACATTGAATGCTTTTATTTTTTTGTATACACCACTGTGCTACAGTGTATTAATGACTGTATTTTTGCACAGTTTGTGATAAACAGAACCATTAATTCAGATGAATTATGCATTTACACTGACAAATTTCGCAACCGAGCCGGTGCCAAATATGGTGTTGTGATATCAAGATTCCAAAGCCTTAATAAAGAACTCATGGTGTTATGGAGATTTGCAATAGTCTTAAAAGGCAGATGAAGTGTTGGTATCGTATCCAGGCTAAGTTTTCTTGTGTTTTCCTCGAGTTGTAAAAAATCTTGTCAAAGCAGCTAAAGTTGTTAAATGCCGAACACTGTTTAGTGTCATAACTCTGCCGTAAGAAAAAGTGAAGGAAACAAGGACTTGATGCATTGTTGTATTCTAAAGATACTATTGTTATAGAGGTTTGAGGTTTCACTGCTTCTTTCACAAAAAGACACATCAGCATGTAACCAACTTATTGAAACTGTGTACGTGGATCTACATCACATAAGTCAAAGCATCACTTCCAGTCTAAGATCTGTACTCTTAAGTGACGCTCACTACTCAGGTTTTGCTGTGTTGTTCTTCTCTCACTCAGTTAGGGTTGGGGTTTGGGCATCGGTCAATAATCAGAAAATACAGAGTGTTTCAAATTCAGGAGAGAAGTAGGGAGGAATCCAAGAGTAGATGGCGAGTACGTTTGTTATTGCCAACTGGCATACTCAGTAAACGGGTTATGGGATATATAGAAAGCTTCTCCTCGGACTCTTTACACCCAAGAATGCAAATCCTTTTTCCCCAAACTTGTTAAATCCACTGTTGAAACAACTCCTTTAACTTTTTATTCCTTTTCGGGGTCATAATCCTGTCTTTAAATTCTGTTGGATTATACTTTTGTTTAAGTCATGCTGTTTCTGAACATGTTTGGTATGTATTTTCTCTGATTCTGTATACCCCCATTATTGTAGTGTTATATCTCTGAACTATATGTACCCTGTACACAGTACTGTATTTTCAGATCAGCTGTATCTTTTGACACGTTTGCAGAGAACTTGTACTGAAAACTTTCTTTTCTTTCAGCAGTTCAAGCAATAAAGAGATTGAGTTTTAAGGCCTTTTGTGTCAGACAGTTGCCTTTATTTTGAACATTTAATGCAAAAAAATGTTAAATGTTAAATCAGAATTTTAGAAAGAGTCAGCGTTCTGAAATTGAAGTCAAAATTATAAAAGAGTCATAATTCTGATATTAAAATTAGAGTTCTTAGATTTAAGTCAGAATTTTAAAGAGTCAAATCTGAGATTAATTCAGATTTCTCAGATTGAAGTCAGAATTAAAAAAAGAGTCATAATTCTTAGATTAAAATTAGAGTTCTGAGATTAAAGTCAGAATTTACAAAAGGGTCATAATTCTGAGATTAAAATTAGAGTTCTTAGTTTTAAATCAGAATTTTAAAAAGAGTCAGATTACTGAAATTAAAATTAGAGTTCTGAGATTTAAGTAAGAATTTTATTAGAGTCAGAATTCTGAGATTTAAGTCATAATTTTTAAGAGTCAGAATTTCTAAGATTAAATCGAAATTCAGAGATTAAAGTCAAAATTTTGAAAAAAGTCAGAATTCTGAGATTAAAGTCAGAATTTTACAAAAAAATTTAATTTGAGATAAAAATCAGAACTTTAAAAAGAGTCAGATTTCTGAGATTAAAATCAGAGTTCTGAGATTAAAGTCAGAATTTAAGAGTTAGAATTTTGAAATGAAAGTCAGATTTTTAAGATTACAGTCAGAACTCTGAGAAAAAAAAGTCAGAATTCATACTATTGTCCCAGAATTCAGAAGTCAAAGTCAGGATCAAAAGAAAAAAGGCCGAATTCTGGCTTTAATTTGAGAATAAATTTTTGTTTTTTAATTTGGAAATTAAAGTCAGAATTTTTAAATTTAAGTCAGAATTTTTAAATTAAAATCAGAATTCTGAGATTGAAGTCAGAATTCAAACTTCAATCTCGGAAATTCTGACTTTTTTTTCTCAGAATAATAATAAAATACCGTTTCTTTGTATTCATCTGTTTATTTTTAAAATTTCCTGGTGGCCCTCATCTTTTTTTTGTATTTTTATACAGTTTCTAACCCAGATGTATATAAACCATTTCATAAATTTCAGCAATTTTTTAAAATCTAATTTTAATTTACAAAATTATTTTAGGGAATGAAAAATAACGCGGTTTTTATGACAGGACAAAGACCAGTATATGAGATGACTTTGGGATGCGGTTCTTTCCCCAAAAAGGCGAAAGTGTGAATTTTGTCCGCCGCTTTCGTACAGCTTGTGGTGAGAGTTGTGCAGTTTACTGACTGTACTAATGTGTTGACAAAAGACACAGCTACGCTTGCTGTTTATCAGAAAGAGGAAACGTTATGTAACATACGATATGACCCGGTCACACGCACATGCACTCACACGTACACACGCACACGCGCACACGCCTCCTTGTTTACCAGCTTCCTACTGTACAAGAAGGAGAGATTCTTGGAATCCCATTGGCTGGATTCGCCCACCCCGCTCTCCCATTGGCTGATTCCGCCTATTAAGTAAGAGAGCTATGTTTTCGACTGCAGACCACCAACATCTCAGCACTTCCTCGACTGTGCCAACAAAACTCAACTGAAGCCTTTCGCGCTTTGATTAAAATCAAACTTTGGATTAGATTTTGTGGTATGTTAAATTGATTGTGAAGGATGACCAGTAAAATGAAGTTTGTTCGCTCTCTGATGAAGACTGCAGCGCTGGCCAATGTGCCAAAACACATCGATCATTTCTCCAAGTTCTCCCCTTCTCCTTTATCAATGAAGCAGTTTTTGGATTTCGGTGAGTGTTGCATGGCTTCATCTATGATCACTTTGTTTTATCTCTGTAGAAATTATTCAGTGCACTTTTAGTTTGACATGTCTCTTTGTATTTTGGACAGATTCTCTTATTGTTTTACCTACTTGTTTTGAATAGCAGGATTATAGTTAAATTTGTTTTATCCACAGAGACTGAAATAATTTTGTTCTAAGTGGAATCAGTGTTGTATCAATAAATCTGAAGTTGAACTGCCTTGTTGCTCTCACTGATAAGCACTCTGTACTTGATGATCTGGACTTGGGAAGGGCGCTGAAACAAAGCAAGAACCAATCAAATTCTGTATTGAAAAAGCTTATAATGGCGTTTCTGCTGCCCTTATTTGTGATTTGATGGTGATAATAATGACTGGAACAACAAGACGGTTAGGTTGGCGAGTTTTCCTATTTCTATGCCTTTAAAAATGACAATATAGCTGTGAATTTGATAAGAATAAGGATAACTTGATTGATCCCCGAAGGGAAATTCAATTGTCTGTCGTCTCATAAAGTCATCTACGATTTATAAGAGTTGTAAAGAGGAAAAAAAAAGTCATTTAAGTTGTAGTCTCACTTAAATGAGATAAATCAAAAGTTCTTGATAGAAATCAGGGTTCATTGTTGTGCCATTACATGATATGACACCTCATGGGGATGATAAATGTGCCCTGAGGCATGTGTTTTTTGGCTCCCGTTGCATAAGTCTGCCTCACCCTCCCAGTTTTGTGAACCTGATACTTCAGGCACGCCTGGAGGGGATAGCTGCCAAATGTGAACAACATCCACTTGGACTCGTGGATGGACTGATTAGAAGTTGGAGGTCAGAGGTTAAAGGCTGCTCTGACCTTATGTCAGCCCCATACTGGTAAACAACTTTTGTTTGTAAAGCCAGGAGAGACTTTTATGACATTTGGTAAAAAGTCTGCTCTGACAGAAAAAGTTCTGTTTGGGAATTAATGGTCAAAGATTTCAGGAAAACATACATCCCCATAACTCAAAAGACAAACTAACACTCTGACATTAACATGGTCTGTTGTAAGAGAAAGCTTTGGTGGAAATTGGGTAAATCGAGTCAAATATGTTTCATATAATCTTGACTTTAACATTTTAATTGTCATTGTCATACTTTCTAGGTACGACCAATGCCTGTGAGCGCACATCGTTCGTCTTTCTCCGTCAGGAGCTTCCTGTGCGATTGTCCAACACCATGAAGGAGATCAACCTGCTTCCAGACAAGCTGCGAGCAACTCCTTCAGTCCAGCTGGTCCAGAGCTGGTGAGACTTCCTGCATATAGGAATTTGTTGATTTACTGCCTTTGGATAATAACCAGACCTAAACTATCCCTGCTTGAGCTTGTAAATATGATTCAGAGTCTTGACAGTGTTTGAGCAGGTTGATCTCAGTCCTGTATGAATGCACAACAAGAGGCTCTGATTCCACAGGGCAGTAAAATCTAAACTCAATGAGACTCTCCTGGTTAAACTAGTCCCCTGTGTGTAAATCTTGGAAGATATTCAACATATATATATGTATATTTTTCATGGTACACATATTTGAGAGTTTCACAATTTCTCTTGCTGCACAGCCTCAAACTCTGCTGCTTGAGCACAGACCGTCCTGTGATTTCTCAGACTTCTCAGAAACTCTTTCCAACCCACTTGAAGGCCTCCTTAATTCCTCACAGAGTAAACGTCATTTTTAAGGGTTTGATTTGTTCTCCCGACAGCTACAAATAGCGTCGGTAAACTGCACCGTTGGCCCAGCTATTAGAGGAGATTACATTGCAGTGCAGGGAGGTGGGGTCTGATGGCTGAACTTTGTTCCACTTACTTCTCTGGCCCCTTCCTCTCTTCTTCCCTTTTTCACGCTGCCTGCTTGTTGTTGCAGTTGAAGGGGACAGCTCGTCCAGAACAGAAAAGAGTTATGGAGAGATAAACACAGGCCAGTTTCATTTCTAAGAATAACCATAGAAGGTATTGGTAGATCTAGCCAAGATACTAAGATGAAATGTTTTGACATAATAAGTAGTCAGGGTTACGAAACAGAGAAAAGTTTTAGAATAATATCTTAAGACAAAATTAATTTCTGACAAAATAACTTGTTGAGGCTAGTTTAAGGTTTGGACTATTTTCAAAGTGGACATTGGGATCTATAGTCCTTTCTGTAGTGACGTGTTTTCTCTAGGAACATCCTAGAAATCTCTCACAGGGGATTCTCAGTCATAACACTTTCACGAGGGGAGGATATAGGATATAGGACGAGTGATGATCACATGATGATGGAGGTGACGCAGTAAGACTTCATGACCTTTATGATACCAGAGACGGAGACTTGCGTCCGTGGCGCAGCCGCTTAAAGGTCCTCTAATGGGAATGTGATACACTGTGTTTCTGGCGGTGTCAAGCCCACCTGCTTCTGGAACATGGTTTGGTTTAACCTCGCAGTCATTCGAGGAACGTTTTAGTCACTCAGACAGATTTACTCTGACCAAAACAAAAACAAGACACACGTAAAGTAGCATTTCTTTCTTGTCTTTTCCTTTTCGGTTACTGAAATCATCAAAAATATGTAGCTCTATATTCAAGTAACAAACTAAGATTCCCTCAAATCTGAACTCCAACCTTTATTTATACACAAACAGAAAGATGATAATGTACACAGTATTTATGAACATAAACAGTCCCTCGCACCACCTGCATGAGGGTGAAAATATGAAGCGAGGAAAACAAAGAGCCAATAAGGTGATTTGATGTTTTGACTGGACACATGTTTTCGTTATTTTTTCAGTGATTATCATTCAGGCATTTTGTAAACCAACTGGAACTATAAATCAATCAATCAATCTTTATTTATATTGTGCTCTATTTACAAAGACTAGACGTGAAGTTGGGATAAGATTGAACCCAATGTGGTTTAAGGAGCCACTATGAAATCACTGTAGGTCCATTAGTAGTTAATAAATAACAGAAAACCATTGTTCAGCTCAGGGAACTTAAGCCGCCTCACAGATATGTCTTTGTTTTTGTCATCACACATAAAAACCTGTGGTGGGTGGACATGTTTACATCATTCATGCTCTCTCTCTCTTTTTCCACCCGCCTGGTTGCAGCAGAGTTTGATGTATATACATGTTTGTCTGCCATGCTCACGCTCTCTTTATCTTCTGTGATAGCAGCCATGCTGAGTAGTCAGTGACTCTTGTGTGTTTCTGTTCACTTAGGTACATCCAGAGCCTGATGGAGATCCTGGAGTTTCTGGACAAGAACCCAGACGACCAGGAAGTTCTTGAAACGTGAGTGTGACATTGTTTTTTTTTTCATTTTTAAAAGATGCTGGATTAAACTTTTTTTGTCTAACCTTATATTTCCTGTCCACCAACTCCAGGTTTGTTGAAGTCTTGGAGTCGATCAGAAACCGGCACAACGAGGTGGTCCCCACCATGGCTCAGGGGATCATTGAGTACAAAGATGCCTTCGGTCAGCAGGATGCTGTCACTGACCACAACATCCAGTACTTCCTGGACCGCTTTTACACCAGCCGTATTTCCATCCGCATGCTCATCAACCAGCACAGTGAGTTGGCTTGGAAGCTAAATCAGAATAAATGATCACCATCCGTTTGCGGAGGATTAATGAGTTCATCTTTCTCTCATTTCTTGTAGCCCTCGTCTTCTACGGCAACACAAACCCCGCCCACCCAAACTCTATCGGCTGTATTGACTCCATGTGCGATGTGACAGAAGTCACAAGAGGTAAGAAGATGTCATTTAAATAATAAGTGAAAAATCAATGTAGTTAATGAGCTTGTGTATTATAAAAGCCTAGTGGGCTGCTTGTCAGGTGTTTTCATCCTCTCTGTTTCGACCCACCACTGGATCACGAGGGCTCACTGCTACCTCTATTATCTAACACCACCAACTATCTTGTTACATTCAGCTTGAGATGTTGACAGTCGAGTACTCCCCCTCATGTTTACGATGTTCCCTGGTTTGCTGCCCCCTTGTTTGGTGTGTGAAAGAGTTTACATAATGGTTGTTGAAAGTGATCATGCCATTAAATGTCACTTTTTGCACGAGTCAAAACAAACAAACATAAAAAAAAATCGATATTGAGATACTGTTTTATTAAATTCTCTGTTAAGTTTTCTTCAATAGTTAAATAGTTTAAAAATAGTTTTTTTCTTTCCATTCAAAGCTGCTTTACTTTTCACATTGTGTACCTTTTGCAGAGGTTGTAAGGATGATGATGATGTAATGAAATGAATCAGGTCGAAAACTGGGACAGAGCAGTTAGTGCAGAGCGGGGCAGGCTGTACATCCAGTCTGGCCCAGTTTCAATACTTAAACAAACCAGGCAGTCCAGGCAGCTGGCTGTGATCCAATTCTCATGCTGTTAAATTCTTAAAATGACCTTGTATTTATCAGATCTGTTCATCTTTATGTCTCTTTTACTGTTGTTTTATCTCTTTAGATGCCTATGAGAGCGCTAAGATGCTGTGTGAGCAGTACTACCTCGGAGCACCAGAGCTGGAGATGAGGGAAATGAATGGTGAGACCCAAAAAACACCATGACGGAAAAACACTTGAAGTTGTTTTAAGGATTCTGTAAACTACAGCTAATTATGGTCCAATGTTTCCCTCGTTTGGAGAAACCACCATAGCACCATTAAAACAACTATCTGACCTCTCCTCATTTTCACAGCCTTGACCGTTGTTTTATTTCCCCTCTCCTCTAGCCAACAGCGTCAGAGAGCCAATCCACATCTCTTATATTCCATCTCACCTGTACCACATGCTCTTTGAACTCTTCAAGGTAATAAATACATTTGCTGCTTCAAACAAATCACATAATAAGCACAGCAGGATTAAAGCTGTTTTAAAAAGAGTGAAGAAAACCCCTGTTATCTTTTTCCTTTTCGCACAGAAAGTTACTTTCTTTTTATTAACTTTCAACTTTATTTGGTTCCCTCTCTGTAGAACGCAATGAGAGCAACCATTGAGAACCATGAAGCCAGCCGGACCCTCCCTCCTATCAAAGTCATGGTCGCTCTCGGTAAAGAGGACCTGTCAATTACAGTGAGTATCTCTTCTGTCAAATATAAAACTAGAAAAGCACTCGGAGAACGCAGACCTCCGCCAAGCAGCTCATGTCCCCCCTTACATAAGAAATGCCTTGACCAGGATTCAAACCCAGGGCCTTCTGGTTGGGAGGCAACAGTGCTAACCACTACACCACTGTACCGCCTGTCTACACCACTCTGCCGCCCATTGGTTATCTTTCAGGGTGTCGTTCAGCATTCCAACGACACCCTTATTTTTTTGTGTTCTGGATCACAGTATCCAGAATTCTGGTGAAAATTTCAGGTCAATCCGTCTGTTACTTTCTCTGTAAAGTTACTAACAGACAAACAAACCAACGCTACTGAAAACATAACCTCCTTGGCGGAGGTAAACAGTCATGTTTCTTTAAATTCTTGAACTGTTTTAGAGTTTTATTTGATAAAAAAGTGTCTAAAATCACGTCAAACCAAAACTGTATGTATTTTAGTGCAAACGAGAGCAAAAATCACCAGGAAGGAAATAAGGTGTGGGTTCGTAATGAAAGTGACGTCAGAGACAGGCCACAATGGGGAGAACTGATTCTGTGCTAATCTTGCATGGGAGCGAGTTGAGAACCAGCGGCCGACTCGCCCCGTAATCAGAGCTTTAACTAAGCTTTCTATTACGTCACAATTTAAACAAGAAAAGGTTTTATCCAAGTGCTCCAAATTCTCAACTAGGAATAGAAACAAAGTCGGCTTCTTTAAAACTTCCCACTTTAATCAATAATCCAGCCTGTTAAAGTATGTTACACATTCGATGTGTTTAAACTGAGGACTGTTCAGAGGCTGTCAAAGCGAAAGAAAAGTAGACTTTCCCCCCGTCTGCACTTAAATGACGTGTTCTGCCCCCTTTGCCCGCTGGTGTCTGTTACCTCAAGTCACCTCTATTCAGCTGCTTCGCTTGGCGAGATAAACCTCATAAACATGCTTTATCTTTAAAAGATCCTCACCCACCTACACACAGCGCCGTCTCAATGACGTTATTCGCTCCTGGCACACCCAGCGTGCACATTCACACAGCATAACATCATAACATTGCTGCACACTGGGGAAGTAGAAAGCTGGATAAGAACTTTTATTTTGACCCAAATCATGGCTGCTAAATCCTCAGCGTCACATCACCTTCTTCATTATCTCTACTTCTTTCTAGATGAGCGACAAAGGCGGTGGCGTCCCCTTCAGGAAGACCGAGCATCTGTTCAGCTACTTGTACTCAACAGCTCCAAGACCCACCTTTGGAGAAAAACACAGAGCCCCATTGGTGAGCGGCTTAAAAACAGACACACAACTTAAAACATCATGTTAAAGCCGGCGAAGAGCTAACGCGTGTTTGTGTTTGTTTATGTGTGTGTGTGTGTGTGTGTGTGTGTGTGCAGGCTGGGTTTGGCTACGGTCTGCCCATCTCTCGTCTCTACGCTCGGTACTTCCAGGGAGACTTACAGCTCTACTCAATGGAAGGTTTTGGCACTGATGCTGTCATACACCTGAAGGTAACACATATAAACACGATTTCATTCAAACTGGCCTGTTAATTGTGTTTATTACTGTTTAAAATGTAGTTTCTAGATTGCTTTGAAGTTAAAACATGAACCTTATAAGTGATATAATCAAGTTGACATTGAAGTAAATCTGCTTTGTCTTTCTTCAGGCACTGTCGACAGACTCGGTGGAGAGACTCCCAGTTTTTAACAAGACAGCGTTGCGCCACTATAAGCTGAGCCTGGAGGCGGACGATTGGTGCGTCCCCTCCAAGGAGCCGCTGGACCTCGCCATCTACCGCGCTGCCAAGTGAAGCCGTCAGGACCAGCGAGATTTCTCCCACTCAGCACTTTGACGTTATTTAAATGAAGGGCATTAGATGAACAGAACATGGTGGACCTTGATTTGTTTAACTACCGCACATTTGCTCTTTACTTCACTCAGAAGCTGCAGTTAGCGTCTCATGACCTCAGGTTTTATTTTACTAAGTGCCAACTATGAACGGTTTCTCCTCCGAACCCACAACCTGTGGTGCCTCCATCTAACCGAACAAGTTTCACATTTTATTCCACACTTGTGAAACTGTGGCAGTTTGAGCTCTTCAAGGACTTTGCACCCCTTTAGGTGCAGAATAAAGCCTTCAAAAAAATGTAGATGTAACTTTAAAACACAACCAAATAATGGCCAGAGCTGAAGCGACCAAAAGAGATTAAACAGGTCCTGATTGTCTCGGTACTTCCTCAGTCGTCTTTGTTTATCTCCTGTAGCTTTCTTTACACGTGTGCTCACCATTAAAGAGGAACAAAAGACATAGTTGTGAAAATTTAGACAGGAAGAAAGAGAGAGTGAGGAGAGGAATCAAGAAAAGAGGATTTAGCTGGTTTTGGGATTGATTGTGAAAAGGACAAAAAAATGTCACGTCAAACTTTTCTCATACTTCTGGAACAATCTGCATTTTGTTTTCCAGTTTAATATTTTTGTTACAATAATTTCAATCACAGAGAAACACATTTTAAGTCAGTTTTTTTTGCTTTTCCAGAACATCTTGTGAAGCTCATTTCGGTCGTTTAGATTTTAAGTTGGACTCCCTCAGAACAAAAAGCGTCTCTCCGTGTCGATACAGAAGTGTGTTTTCCTTTTTTTTTTGCTACTAAATAGAGGACCTTTCCCTTTTTCTTTGTGTGTCTCTAGGAGTGATTCTGTTTTTTTTTTTTACTTGAACTTGACACTAAGTAAACTCCCTCCCTGTTTTACGGCCTTGTACTGATTAAAAATGCAGAACAAACACATGCTCAGCTGCTTAGTTACTGATAGCGAACAAGGATTAAAAATCATTTAGTCAGAGTTTGAAAGGGACTGTAACGACATGTAAGAGTTATGTAAACTTGTCGTCTGTTGACAGAAGACGAGTTATTCATTAATAATCTTTGCTTGATGTTTGGAAGTTATGAAATCAGCTTTTTCTTCATGGCTCCAAACTGCAAACGTGTGTATCGGTTGCTACTGTGATTCACGAGCCCAGAGTGTGTTATATGAAGGGCCTGTATTCTGTTGTATATTTGAAGTGAAATGTTCATATCGAAGGACTTCTATTTTTATAAAGAAATGTTTGAAAATAAATCCAGGAGAGAATTAACCTTCTTGTGTTCATTATTTAATCTCAGTTGGAGCTGCTGTGATCTGCGTTTAAGAGGCGACAATATAATCAGACACTGGGGTTATATAACACCATCATGAAGAGACGTGGCAAAGCATTTGTGTGTTTCTTCGTGCGGGTGACCTGGATCAAGCCTCAACTGTTACAGGTCAATGCAGGGACTTTGCACACCATGCAGGATGTTTGTTGGGATGGTTATCAGACAGTGTATCTGTATCTGCTAATAAAAATAATGCCAGTACTTCCATTTGCAAAGTGACTCACAAAGCACTTTAACTGCAGTTTTAAGTCAAAATCTCTCTAGTGGTTTTTACTGTCTGCTGTGATCGATCAAACCTGTGCCTTTGCATTTGTGCTCCTGTTTCCAAGTTTAAAGTCATCAACCTCTGACAGTTCAGACGATCAGTAAACCTCTTTATTGAGTTTCAGATTAATAATTAGCTGAGAGGCATTTCCAGAGATCAGTCCTGTGAAGGAGAGAAAAGTTTGCAGAGAGCAGGTTTCATTATATAAGGGTGTAGAAGAGCCTGACTTTGACAGTAATCACAGTTTTATTTTTATCGGTTGACTCATCAATAGAGGTTAAGGTACAACTGATGCACGAATGAGATCAGGAGATCAGCATGTCATCTAGTGTGGGATGTGAGGGGGAGTGGCTGAGGCTATATCAGGTTGTCCCCGATCTGAAATGTGGAGATCTGATCTCCTGCGTGCTCATGTTCTAAAAAGTATAAGGTGGTTTGTATGGCTGGAGGACTTGAGGTTTCTAATCTCTAGTATAAGAGCAGAATATCAAAATTAATAGTGGAGTGAAAATTATTCAAACTGATCAAAAGCAGATCAAACCTCACACCTCTACCCAGCACTGCAAGAGTAAAGCTCCTTATTTATACACGATTAAATGTTGTTGTCCAAGATCTCAGGAGAAGGTCAAAACCAGCTGATAGCCTCAATACACACTGATAACCTGATAACCTACAAAGCAGGTCAAAACTGGAGCCCCAGGTTTCAAGACGGTTGAGACACTTTCTCAGATATAATACTACTACTACTACAACTGATAATAATAACTAAAAGAAGAAGAAGAATGAAAACAGAGATTAAAAATGACAGAATAAAAGCTTTTCTATGAAAAACAAAATAACTGAAAACTAATATTTACGTGGACATAGCCCAGGAATCACATACCCAGTTTAAAAATGAAGACATCATTGTTTTAGCAAAGTTACAAGCCCAAGTTAAATCTGAAGCAGCAACTTCTTTGTAAAAAGTTAGGACAGCGACATCTGATCCCACCCGAACTGACATTTAAATAGATATCAAGAAAGCATCCAAGACAGGCTGAGGAGGAACTGGCTATTAAGACAAACAGTAAGATTCATGTCTCTGAAGAAAGAATTAAGAGGTTAATAAATTAAGAGTGGATTTTGTGATCTACAAAATATCATTTTAAAAATCAGGGAATGGGGGTTGCGTAACTAGACTATTCAGTGCTACAGTTCTGATTCAAAGGAGACCTGAGAAAGGACTAAATCAGCCGGTCATTTTAAATCTTGGTATTTAGGATAGACAGACGCAGATGCATGTTCAACAGACCAGAGTCCGCAGATTTTGGTTGTTAATAAATAAATAAATGTGTGCAGGAATATGTGCAGCTCCTCCAAAAGTCCATTAAAATATTAAGTCCAGGCAGCCTGTTTGGTGATGCAGAAGAAGAATCAATTAAAGTTTTATAATCCTTTTTTTAAAAAAGTGAGAAAACAATGTTTTAAAATTCAAAACTCTGAATTATAAAAGCAGGTACGTGATGTTTTAAACCTGCGAGTCAGAGCTAATGACCTCCATGTGATAAAACTATTGACTGACTGATTCAGGTCCTATATTTAACCAAGGCGGCATCATTCCAGCAGCCTGGACCAGCCAGATTTGTGATGGGTGACTGAGCCAAATCTTGGTTTTATTTACAGCAGGACGTGGACCAGGTCACCCCATCTCTGTTTGGTTATTACATAACCGTCTGTGAGACTGTTCGGGGTCTGAGAAAATCCAGATGGAAAAGAAACATACTGTGCATTACCACTGTCCGAATAAATAGTTTTGAATTATGTATAAATCATCATTTTAAGCTTCAGTATGGAGTTAAAGACGGGTAATGTTCACCCTTGACAGATGAAAGCAGGAAAATGAGACTTTAATGGTTTTACTATTACTGGCTGAGCAGCGACCTCTTGTGGTGAAGATTAAGAGCCATCATCACACAGGGTAGGGTCAGTCGAGGTAGACTTCTTTAGCTTTACAAACTGAGATTACAAGTTAAGTTACTGTATTTCTTTAATTCATATAAAATTACAAAATACATACATCAGTGTTTCTCCTTCATATTTTCTCAATTTGAGCTGTTAAAAGCACTTAAAAGCTGAATATGTTTACCTTTTTACAGCATAATAGAGAAGTCATGGGAAAGTAAAACATAATAATAAACAGTTATTTGTCTCACATGCTTATTTTGTGTTTGACAAGAAACCTACTTTTGTAGATACTTTTGTAAATTTCTCTGTGCTGTCGACAGTACGATGAAACAGGAAACAGTACAACAGAAGAGTTAGAGCAGTTTCTCTTCAAAACTTTATTTTACTTGAGTTATTGGAGAAAAAATCCTCAGTATCTGTGTTGAGACCACAGATGTTGGCGTGGAGGGGCTCCCTCTTGTGTTCTGGCAGATATTGACAAAATGTGAGGCCTACTGCAAACCTTCCTAATGTCTGTGTTGTGTTTATTATTTTCCCTTCAAACCCTGGAATATGATCGTTTTAAAGTGAGGAAATTTAAGTTTTAAGAAATTCAGCGAGCACACATCTGGTGTTTTTACTGGCTGTGCTTTTCCAGAAAGACTGCCAGAGGGTGTTTTATATCACCTGAGACCTGCGCATGGTGGAAGAAGCTCCTCCCACCGGTTTTCTACCTCAAAGCCATTATAAATGGGGGGTAGGGAGGCACTGCTGAGAGATCAATAATAAATGAAGACAGACGGACAGAGTGAGGTAAATAAAAAAAGGAAAGGGAACACACACACACACACACACGAATATACCTCTTAAACCTCAGATATACAAGCCCGCTACACACAACATCTTAACTTCTCACTTTTCAACATGAATGTGATTTCATACTTTAACATGATCAATATGTGATCACTTCCACAGAGAAGTCACAGCGGTGGTTTATGGCCCCAGTATTTTATAGCCTTGAGTTATTTGGGAAGCTAGAGGCAGTGAAGTGAAGACAAGAAGGCGGAGCGGTGGAGGAGAGAGGTGCTGACATGCACTGAGAAAACCCTAGCTGGCTTTGTGGCGAGGATTAGGGTTTAAATTTGTGGTTAAAATAATGGCTAAAAAAGTTGTGCATTTTGATTGTATGATAGTGAATTTAGTTTTACTTTTTGACTGTGAAATTTACAGACCTGATGCCTCTTCACTGTCGCAGCACAAAAGGATGTCTCATATTTATTTAGCTGCTATTTCTTTACTTTCAAAAAAATACAATTGGAACTGTTTTATTCAACAGAAAAACAAAACAAAATGAAACAGTTTTTGGAGGCAATCTTTTGTTTAATTAATGGCATAATGGAAGGTAATTTATGGTAAGAACTTGCGCATTTTGAGGTTTTGATAGAATTGTTTCAGTTTCATAGGAAGATAATCATAAAAGAAAATTAAATTTTAAACAGGAAATAGTTGGAATGAATGTAAAACTAATGTGTATTTCTGTTGTTGGTGTAAAAATGTGGAATTCTTTGACAGCAGAAGAAAAGGACTGCAGAAACATTTTTTTAGGTTAAGAAAAGGTTTAAGTGGAGAATATGGAAGATATACAAAAGCATGTTATGATGAAAGAGTTTTATTTATCTATTTTTTGGTTTTATTTATATATATATGGAATTGTTTTGTACGTACCCTTTCCTAAGGTTATTCATATGATTATTTTATTTGATTCATCTATACGGGGGTTTATTACACAACAGTCATCTGATGTAAGTGGATATTTGTTTAAAGAAAGGTGCAGGGACTATAAATTTGCTTCATCCTGCACGTTTCCAGTCATTGTATTGAAAAAAAAAAACCAATAAATGAAATATCTCATTCCATTTCCCTTCAGTGATCAATAAAGTTCTTCTTATTTGATGTACATCTCCTTTAAAACTCTATTACACTCATTAACCAAATCACAACAAACACACCACACCCAACATGACGTCCTCTATACCATCAGTTGTGTTGTTGTTTTACTTACATGATGTTGCTCTTTGCCACTTTAATTTTGTATCAGCCAGTGCAGACAGAGAAAGTCCCCATGTCCCCTGGCAGACAGTAAAGTCTCCAACTGTTTGGTCTTGAAATTTAATGTATGATCTTAAATTCTTATACATCCCTCCTCCATCATCCCTCAATCCACCAATCAATCCCTGTTTTGCTAATCCCTTGTTACTGGCTAATTAATAAAACTACCCTTTCCTGCTAATTGTCTGCCGTTTATAGGACCACAAGAGACACCGGAGAGTGAGGGAGTGCATGTTAGGAAGACAGAGATAAAGAGAGAGGTAGCGGAGTAAGGGTATAATTATGTTAAGCCAAATCACACAGGAACTTGATAGAGCTTATTCTTAGCACAGAGAATGTAGGAAAAACGACAGGAAGAAGGAGGTGATGCAAGTTTATTTCAGTTCAAGGAGCTGATCTGATGCACTCTGTAAAAAAAAAAAAAGAGTTGATTTTAATGGAGAACAAAGAGACTGAAAGTAGAGAGAACAAAACTGAAATTGCAGTCCAACCGCTCTCAGGGCTCATTCGAAAGCCTCTTCACATTTTTCAATTACAACCATCTGAGCGGTTTAATACATACGGCCTTTATTTCATAGAGAAATTATTGCACATTACATCTAAACTCCTGCCTTTCTAACACCAGATACCATTTGCATATTT